TTAAAAATGAATTAGCCAATCCTTCTAAAAGACCCTTCTTAAACATATCATTTAATTATTTTGAAGGTTTACCAATTTCCTCATCATTTATTAAATTAACAAGCATTAATTTTAATCCTGCAACCAATTAAGATCTTTATTCAGCATAATGATTAAAAAATATATGTTAAAACTTTTTAATTTCATTATCAAAAAACTTACTTTTTTCTGGTGCTTTCTATTTTCTTTAGAATTGATCGTTCAATATCTTAACTCTTGATGCTTACAAACTATCTTTTAAAACATAATAGACTTCACTTTTAATTTTGTTATCAAAACATTTAGTTCTAATTTCTTAATCAAAAGGAGTATCTGTTTAAAGTTAAATTTTATTATCAGAAAAAGAGAACCAATTAGATCCTTAGATCATTATTTTATATAAATTTTCGTCTTCTTTAAATAAATTCTAAATTTTAATTTCATCTCTACAATTCAAAACTTCCATAATTTTATAAAAATCTCTATTCTTTGAAAGTGGTAATTATAATTTTTACTAAGGCTATGCTTAACCTGTTGATTATTATTGAGATACTGATTGCTATTAAGATACCTAATTAGTTTATGGTAACAATGGTTATTATTGTGTACTTTATTATAATGTTTAAGTTTATTATTTAGGCTATTAAGATGTTTATTATTAAATTGGTTATGCTCCAATTTAGATGATGCTTGGAGTAGTTTAATTTGTTATTGGTTATTAGGTAGTTAATTATTGAGCTGGTGGTTGTGCTGAGGGTTATCCTATTGGTTGAGTTAGCGGTTGTAATGATGGTTATCCTAGTGGTTATGCTGATGTTTATCCTAATGGTTGTGCTGGTGGTTATCCTAATGGTTGTGCTGATGGTTATCCTAATGGTTGTGTTGATGTTTATCCTAAAGGTTGTGTTGATGGTTATCCTAAAGGTTGTGCTGATGGTTATCCTAATGGTTATGTTGATGGTTATCCTAATGGTTGTGTTGATTGCTATCCTTATGGTTGTGTTGATGGCTATGTAATCCAATTTTATCCTATTGTTTATTATTATGGTTATGACAAAGTTTAAAGACTGCTAGATGGATTAGCAAATAAATTATTTGAAGTACCAAGTGGACTTGCTTAAGTTTGATTAGGTTAAGCTTGATTAGAACCTTGTGCTGTTGTTCCTAATAGGTTTGAAGTAGGAGGAGCTGATGATGGATTTTGGAGGTTTAATGGAGCTGACGCTTGATTTTGTGGAGCTACTTAATTATTGTTAGTTTAAGATGGCTAAGCATTATTTTGTTATAATCCAAACAATCCTCCACTTGTTACTCCTAATCCATTACTCTAATTAGTTCCTGTTCCTAATCCAGTTGAAGTGACATTATTAAAGGTATTTAAACCTGTGAGATTTGATGCATTTGGCTAGGTTGTATTTGGTTGAGTAGATTAGGGAAATGGATTGGAATTAAGGTTTGAAAATAAAGACGTAGAATTGTTATTTGCTTATGGTGGTTAACCACCTAATGGTTATTATGAAAGAGAATCTAAACCACTTAATCCTGTTTAATTTATTTAAGGAGCTGCACCTCCAAACAGTGGTTGTTACTATTATGGTGGTTAGGCTGCAGCTGATGTCCCTGAGAAAATATTGTTATTATTTGTGGGATTATTACCAAATATATTTCCAGTTGGCTATGTATTCCCAAATATATTTTGGTTTGAGGGCTATGCTGCTGCTTATGAAGCTCCAGCAATATTACCCTATGAATTAAATATAGAACCTTAATTCTATGTCTATCCACTAGCGTTAAAAATTGGTGCTGATGGACTTGTTGATGAGCCGAATAGATTAGATCCTAGTCCCTAAGCATTTCCAAAAATTCCTTGTTAACTGAAAATAAACCAAATTCACTTACTTATTTTAAGAGTTCATTTTTAATTATTTAAATTTATGAATGTAAACCACAATAGGGAAACATTTCATATATAATTGAACAAGAACCCGAAAGAACTCAAATTTTCAATAAAGTATAGTATAGAATGTAACACCTAATCAAAATTAAGCAATCCTAAAATTTGAAGGCATTCCCTAAAATGAAATTACACTAATTATAATATTTTATCAACTATCCTTATTACTACATCAATGTAATTTATCTAATTATGATCCTTAAAATATTAAGAAATTAATGTAATGATAAGTTTACAGAAAGTAAGTGTATTTTTAATTTATAATTTACTCTTCATAGATTAACAAAATAATATATTCCAATCTATTCCTCATATATAATTCTTTAAAATTCTAGAGATTTTTCATTTGGCAATTATGAATTCTTAAGTCTCTTGATTAATGTTAATTACAAAATTTATATTACTTTCTATAAAATCTACCTTACCTTTTTTTTGTAAAAAATGAAGGTTAAATTATATAAATATTAAATATTTATGAAAAAAAATAAATTTTTTAAAAAGAAAAATCCTTTTTTCAAAAGTCTGTATGAACATAGGACCAACCTTAAATATGAGAGGATAGCTCCACTTGTTCATTTTCAAAAAGATTCTAACCAACTTATGTATTAATCTTTATCTTTCTAGTTGGTATAGTAAATTGCAATTCTTTATTATAGACTTTTTCCCAATCAACATCTTGAAAGTATGGATGCTATTTGATTTCTTTAGAATCACTAACTCCTGATCCCAATCTTTTAATAGGATTTCTTTAAAGTAGCTATTGAATGAAATTAATAATTACTGATTTAATAAGATTTCTACCTTCAGGTGAAATATAAGATGGAATTTTGAGAACAGCATTTTCAATATTGTGAAAGAGCTGTTCTTTTTCATGAGCATAATAAGGAGGTACTCCAACTAATAATTCATACATGACTACTCCAAGTAAATACCAATCAACAGCTTTTCCATGTCCTTATCTTTTAAGCATTTCAGGTGCTAAGTAAGCAACAGATCCACAAAATGATCTTGCTCCTTAATTGGCATCAAATATTCCCTCCTTTGAAAGTCCAAAATCAGTAAGCATAGCATGCCCATCTGCATCTATAACTATATTTTCTGGTTTAAGATCTCTATAAATAATATCTCTTTAATGTAAATCTTCTAAAGCAAGAATAATTTCACAAATATAATTTTTGACTTATTCTTCTGGTAATCTTTTTACATCTTCCAAAAGTTATCCCATATCTCCTCCTGGACAATAATCTAAAATCATAATTAATTTATCTGATGTTTGATAGGCATATCTTAGTTTGACTATAAAAGGATGCGAAGTTACTGATAAGACATTCCTTTCAGTTTAAGCATAACGAAATAGATTATGTTCTATAATATGTTTATTGGATATATACTTAATATCATAATTTTATCTAAGACTTTCATTGCATATAATTAATTTTATCTCTTTATTAAATAGACTTGACCAAAACTACCTTTTCCAATTAAACCTAAGATTTAGAATTGAGATAGTTATATTTCTTCATTTTCTTTTAAATTTTTACAAGATTCAGAATACTTATTTGAGAAAGTTGTTTATTTTTTGAATGCTTACAGTTAAGTTTTAAATTATTCAAGTTATTGTAATTTTGTTTATAATTATTTTATTATTGGAGTTGATTCTTATGTAAAATCAAAATTATTTTATGACTTACTTGTTTAAATAATATTTTTTATTTATTTAATATTTCTTCTTTGAAACATTTTTAATATTGTTTCTGTTTAAGTATTCAAAATTATAACTTCTTTAGTTCGTTTTTCTAAAAAAGTTAATTTATAGTTTTACAATTTGACTACTCTAAATAGTCTGCAAATATTTAAGCAATATCTGTATCCTCAATATAAAAATTTGGATATTTTTACTCATGATTTTATAATAAGATAAGATGTTTTTTTTAAAGTAAGAATTCCACAATTGATTTGAAATTATATTTGCATGCATAATGGAGAGAAGTATTACCATGAATATCTTAATGATTGATGTTAGCTCCTAAATTGACTAATATTTATAAAGTTTCAAATTTCCCACTATGTTTTTATATTTAAATTTAATACTAATAAGCACTCAATAATAATGGTGTCATTTTATCTTCATTCTATGTATCTATTTGTATATCCTTATACAGAAGTGCTTGAACAAGATGAATATTTCCATTTTTAGCAGCAAAATGTAGCGCTGTATTACCATTTAAATCTCTTGAAGTAACTGAAGCACGAAGGTCCGAATTAACTTTAACTTTAGGTGATAGGTTTACTAAATTTGATATGAGATAATTACACATATTGTGAACTATTGTAGGTTCAAGAAATTAGAGACAAGCTCCTGCTCTATTACATGAGCTTTCCTTTAAAAATTATTCATTCAATTATGATCTTAATTTGTCTATTCCCTCCTATTTTGGACTTTTTTATTCAATTGTTTGTTATTAATTCTTAGATTCACATTATTTAGTCTCTTCATCTAAAGATTGTAGTTTTGTCAGTTTGGAAATTTTGGAAGGGAAAGGAAAATTTTAATTTAGATTTATGGAGATGGATCTATCTGAAAAGGGTTTGAGTTTTAGTTATTTTGGAGTGATTAGTATCTTAGAAGAATTGATATTTATTTTTTGTTAAGGAGTATGAAATTTATTTGATTTTGGACTTCTATGTTCATGAATTTGTCGTTATTTGGTTTGATATTCAGAAAGAGTTAATTTGCGATGACTATTCATTATTTTTAGAGGGCTTTAAAATGAATTAAAATATTTGTGTATATCATTTTGTGGTGCTTTATGGATATAATAAATTTAAATAAGAAATATTAAATTTTTATATTTAAATTATGATTAAATCATTCTTATAATAGATGATATTATATTAATAAATAACTTTATATTATGAAGTTTTAAAAATATAAATAATTTAAGATATAAATATATGTAATAATATTAAATAAAAATGAATTCAAATTTATTTTAGGTTTTTCTTTAGAAATTAAATTATTTATTTAATGAAAGTAGTTCAAAATCCAACATAATATTTCTTTGAACAATCAAATAATCCACCAACTGAATATTTATCAAAAATTAATGAATTTGTTAGCAAATTACTTAATCAAAGATAATGCATATTATGCAAAAATGATTATAATATGAAAGATAGGTTGCCTAGAATATTAATTCATTGTGGTCATACAATTTGTACAGCTTGTCTCACTAATTTTTATAGGTAATATAAAATTCTTATAATTTATTTAGAAATAGAAGAGTAAGATGTCCACTTTGTTTAAAATTAATTAAACATCTTGATTCAGTTGATAGATTACCAGTAAAAGAATAATATTAATAGATAGATTAATCATACAATTTTCACTAGAATGGCAGATGATATCAATAATAAGAGTAAATAACATGGAGGTACAGAAGTCATAGATCCATAGCAATATTTATTTACATAATTTCAATAATCAGCATTATAATCATAAAAAGCACGTCAATAATAATAAAATGCATATCCTTAAGTAGATCCAGATTCAGGATTAGAATTTTGTGAATTTCATAATGACAGAGTGAAACATTTCTTTTGTATGAAACATAAAGTGACATGTTGTAGAGTATGTTCAGATATGATTCATTAAAAGAAAGTATAAATGAATAAAATTACAATAGGATTGTATTGTTGTGGATTTATATGAAATTGAAGATGTACCAGCATTTTTAAAAGAAGCATACAAATTGAATGAAGATAATGCATAATAATAAAATCAAAGAAGAGAAGATATGGGTTTCATTTAAGATGGAGAAGCAAGTAAAATAGATTTGTTATAATTTTAGATGATGGTGAAAATTAGTTTAATGATGAAGATTTGGAAGATGAATTTGAAGGAAACAGTATTCAAAGCATATGAATATATTAAATATTAATAGTCATTTATATCTATGTTTTGAATTTATAGAATTCTCTTGATACATCTATTATATTAAAAAATATAAATAAATAGGTTGATGATCATTTTTAGTTAATTATAGATCCTAAAATTATTGAATTAAGAAATATTAATAGATTTAAGATGATATAATAGACATAATTTTCTATTATTATAATAAATTAGGATTCTTTATTTTTATACTTGTCCTTGATATCATGGATTCCTAGAATTATTTTAATAATGTATAGATTTACACTTTATTATTCATAAATAGATTTTTAATAAAGTATTTTTATTAAGGTAATTTTTCTAATTGAAAAAATTTGAATTATAAATTTGATTCCATTTTATGTTAGTCTTTCATGATATAATTTGAATGAGATTTGATCTAAATGTTATATCCATAAATTAAGAATATATTATTTAAGGATCTTGAGAAAATATTTATTGTATTTTATTCATAATTAGTTTTAGATTGGAAATCAATTATATTGATTCATTTTATCAAATTTTATTATTATTTTAATGGCTCATAAACTATCATAAAATTGGGTATTTTGGTATGCTCCAAGAGGTAGAAAAGCAATTGCAGGTTCAGATCATTATGATGTAAATTTGAAAGAAATTGGTGAATTTAATACAGTTGAAGAATTTTTCTCATATTATTGTTTTTTAGGCAGACCTAGTGAAGTAAGTATTTAAACAAACTTATAGATTGATATTGATAATAAAATAATGTTATTTAGGAAAGGTCATAGACCAATGTGGGAAGAATGTTTAGAAGGAGGTACATGGATTATTCATTTTAAAAAAAGAGAAAATGAATTATTGAATAAGAAATGGGAAGCATTAGTATTAGGTATAAATTATTAATTAATATTAAGCATGTATTGGTGAAGAATTTGATGATGATAACGTAATTGGTGTAGTATTGTCTATTAGAGAAAGAAGAAATTTATTGGAAATATGGTTAAAAGATAGAAGAGAGAGTGAAAAATTAAGAATTGGAGAGAAATTAAGAGTGGCTTTGGAAATGGATCCAAATAATCTTACATTCTTCTTTAAAGAACATAGTAAAAGCTTGAATGTATAATTCAAATTATAAAATAGGATAAATCAACTATGAAAGGAGCTGAATCATACACTTTTGTAAAAACTCCACTTGAAACTCCATAGAATGAACCAAAAGGACATCATCCAGATCTTGATCAATTTAAATTATGATTAATTATTTGCACAAATATATTGGTTACAAATTTATTAATAAATAAACTTTTATTATCTCTTATATTGTCATATATATATATATAATATAATTATTATATCAAAAATATTTAATACATTTTGTTTAAATATCTACTATAAATATTTAAGAATTAAATTCCAACACAATTACTAATTTTATATCATGAAAATTCACTCAGAATACACATTTAATTATAATTGGGAAACTGTAATAAAAGGTTTCTGGAGAAAATACCCTTGCAAAGAATTCGATTTTATTAAGTTTAATTAAGTTGTAGATATGATCCTTGATGATAATAATAAAATTTAAATTAAAAGAATAGTAAGAACTAATACAATAAATTAGGTTTATGCTAATAAATTCACTATTTGGTGTTTGACTTTAGAGTAGATTACTATTGATCTTGAAAATAGAAGTATGGAAATGTAAACAAAATTACTTAAATCATGTAAATTATATCCTAATCTAACAGGAGATGAATCAATCATCTATAAAGCAATAGATAATTAATAAACTCATTATTCTGTATCCTATTATAATGTATTTAGAAACTATTATCAAATTTTCATTAAACATTTTTAACCAAATTAATATCCCAATTTAACACTTCTTTTAAAAAGGGAATAGAAGTTGTAGAAGCTAGATGTAGAGAATTATAAAATAATAAATGATTCCAAGTATTATATACCTAAATTATATTTTAATATAATATATGATAAATTAAAAGAATTATTTAATATATATATATATTAAAATAAATAATAAAATATAAATTATTTTTTGTAAATTAAGATTTAACTATTATCCTAAATTCTTATTCTAATATACCATTAACTATTAAATTAATCTTAAAAATAATTATAAAATGTTATTTTAAATTATAATGTAGGAATGGTAGATAAAAACTATTTTGAACTTATAATTTATTTAATATACTATTTTATTTGCTAATTTAAAGGTTAAAATATAAAAAATTGTATTAATCATTATAAATAGTAATTAAATAATTAGTAGATATATAATTATGATATTGATAAATATTAGTTAAATAATTTTAAAGAATGTGTTTATTAAATGCTAATTATATATTTTCGAATTTGTATATTTGAATTGTTGATTTACTCAGCAGATATTATTTAAAATTAATTATATTTATGTTTCAAAAGAACGCAGTAGAGTATTTTCTTAAAGAATTGTAGATATTTTTGGCACTCCTTTTGGGTAATGATTGTTGATATTGTAGGATTATATTAATCTCAAGGAATTGATTCAATAATACCAATTATTTTGAATTCAATATTTGAGTTTGGTTACCTATTCCTTAAATATAAAAAGAGTGATCATATTAAAAATGTTTGGAGAATAAAGATTGTCTTTATTTTAATTCAAATTTCAATGAATATTGAGATGTGTCAATTTTGTTTAATAATTGTTCATTTAATTGAAGATGATATAATTTAAACTTTTATATTAAGCACAGTGTTTCTAATCAATCTAATACAAGATTAAAAGTATAATTATGTTACTGAAATACCATTCAATTTATTATTTTTTTTTAATGTGATATTTTGGATTTGTTTGCTTTTAATGAAATGGAAATCAATTAAATCTAATGAAGCATATGTTGAGTAAACTTTCAAATAGAAATCATTAGAATGTATTTATTTAATTATAATATTTTATATAGTAAAAGAATCAATAAACAATAGAGATTTAATAAGCAAATCAAATTAATAATAATCAGTTAGTTAAGAAATTAATGCTATAAAAATGGAATGTAATGAAGATGAATTAATTTTATAAAATGTAGCTTGGATTCAAAATTAATCTGCTTTAGTCTATAATAAAAAGCTTAACATAGTTTATTAGAATATATTTTTAGGGAAATTATTAAAGTAATCAAATTTGGATGATTAATAAACGTAATAGTAATCAAAGCCAGATTATGAAGAGTTATTTCTTGATTGTTAGATTTTGGTTGGAAGCAAAGAATTAATGGAAATAAATAGCAATAATAATGATTAATCTGTTAATAGCGAGTAATTTATTATATTGATATAATTTATAGTGGTTCATTTTTGCTTAATAGAGTGAATGATTATCATAAATGCCGAATGAAATCAATATTGACCATTAGAGATTTGAGTTTGATGATGCAAAATGAGATCGATAAGTAGTTTACTTGGAATTAAAGAGATGGCGACCGAGTATGGTGACATTGTTTAAATTGAGAAGCGATGTGTTCGATTTTGAGAATATCCAAATCAAGGCGTTTGTGAATAAAGTCAATGAATCCTCATTTTTAATCTTTCTTTTTGAGTAGTAGCCACCTCAAAGAAAAAAAGAAGAAACTGCCTAACCAATAATAAATGTGTTTTCAACATTTGTGCATGAATCTGTAAGTTATATCAACTGTATATTAACATTAATTTTACTTACATAACATGAACATGAAAATACACACAAAATTTCATTAAAGCAACATTATTATATGCCTATAAGAATGATGAGTTTAAGATATATTCTATTTGTTAATAGTATGAGAGATTATATCTTTTACATATAGAATTAGTTATTTTTAAGAATTTCAGCATTTAAAGTTAATGATTTGATAGAAGAATTATTAATTATTTATGAAGATAACTTAAAAATTAGAGATGTAAGTTTAACAACATCTATTGATTTAAGTGATAATAATTAAGTCATATTTAGTGATTTAGATAGAGTAAAATAATTATAATTAATTAGTTAAAATAAATTTTAGCATGTTTATTCTCTTATTGTTTGAAATATACAACTGCATCATAATTAAAATTAGATATTAAAAGCTATACTGTTAGTGGTATTATGGTATCTTTTAAAGACAGTATGATAGCTAAAGATGATAATATGAGAAAATCAATAACAAATTTAGTTAGATTACTTAATTCTGCTCTTAAAATGGCTTCATTTTATGATGTTGATCTTAACAATCCATTAGAATTATAGATTTGTGTCATTTTATGTTGGTAATTGTCTGGTACCTTCAAAAGAGGTCTTGAATTTTTGTATGATAGTTAGGGATATGGTACCTTTACATTTGTAATTGAATCATAAACTAATCAATAAAGAATGTAATCTCGTTAAGATACAGGTCCAATTAAAATTTTAGGGCAAAGAAAATATTATGAAACATCATTATCTTTATTATTAGCTTAAGATAGTAGTGGTTATAGAGAAGAATCTAAGTAAATCTACATTTCTATTTAGATATTTTTCATTAACCTAATTATCAAAATAATTTTCAATGAAACCAGGAGATCCATTTGATGTTTAGAGTGCTTATTTTTCTTAGATTTCAAGAATTAAATAGGATTCTTCAAATTCAAAATAAATATAAAATTCTGGATCAGTTCCTAAATAATCAAAAGAATAAAGTAATAGCTTTTCAGGAACTTGGAAATAAGGATTTCCAGATACTATATAATAACCTTATAAAAAGACTAGAAATGAAAAAAGTGATTCTTAACATGATTCAATGAAAACACATTCTAATTTTGATTTTGGAGCTGAAATGAGTAATCCATCTATACATCCTCCTGAATTAACTCCAAAATTATTATCATCAGTAATTAAATATAGATTAAGATTAACTTGCTGTGCTAAAGTTTTAATTGTAGATAATGATCATTATAGTGTTTTCTCATTATAAAAAGTTTTGGAGAAATATAACATTAAATGTGACAAGGCATTTAATGGAATTGAAGCTTAAAAATTAATATAGAATAAATAAAATAAACCATGTCATTGTGGAAACAGATCTTATCTATTATTTTTTATAGAATTTTATTTACCAGTATAATAATAAATATATTTAGATTTTATCGGGAATAGATTTAGTAAAATCTTTAAAAGAATAAATGAGAAATAGTATAATAGATAAAGGATATGTGATAATAATAGCTACATTTGTAGATTTGAATTCAAAATTGGAATGTTTCAAGAATGGAGCAGATTATTTCATCACTAAACCATTTGACTTGATAGATATAGGTGCAGCAGTTTAATATTTAGATTTTTGATAGTTAATTATAAATCATTTGCCTTTTGATAAACAATTTGATCTTTCTCTAATTTGAATTATTTGATCAAATTGTAATTCCATTTAAATTTAAGAAGAATGTTTCATTGATTTTTTTGACATATCTAACTCATTAGCCTTAAATATTTATTCTTTAGGCAAAAGAGATACAAAATTAGTATTAAACCAAGCTTATAAGATTTTGGATTCTGAAACAATTGACTTATGGAATATTTAAATGAGAACATCTCCTTATAAAAATATATCATTAAATGCATAAAGTATTTCTTTTTCTGATACAATTTAAGCTTTTTCTATTAATTACCTATCATTATTTTATATTCTTATCATTGTACCATGAGATACACCAACCAATCTAACTGATACTAATTCTATTTTTTTAAATGGCATTTTAATCAATTCATTTTTCAAACCATAACTGAAATAATGTACATATCGAATTTAACTAGGTATTGTTACACCCTTTTTATTTTATGTTCTAACTAAACCATAATAAGCTAATGCATCTTAACTTGAATTGTATTTTCCACTATATAACAAATAGCAACAAACCATAACACCTGTTCTTCCTTTACCTGCTTTACAATGAATTGCCACTACATGATTAGAATTTGCAGTTAACCATTCATGAACTTTTTAACAAAATTCAATCATCATATTAAATGGAGGTGCTTAATGATCATCAAAAGGAAACTCGGCCACTTTATAGAAAGACTCATGTTTGTACTTACGCTCTGAACATCTAGGTAGGAGTAGTAAGCTTACAAATTAATAACCATATAATTGTTTGGATGACGACTATTTAAAAATTTTTACACTTCTGGCATTGGATTTCTATAAATTGCTTCAAAACTTTCAGCTGGAAATCCCATTGCTATTATATTATCAGTTATATCTAAAATTAATATTAATCTTACAAGTTAAGTCTAAATTGAATCCATCTACTTTAAATCTCTTCTTCTATTTTGAAACTAATTCTTTTATTATTTCTCTTTAATAAGCTTCTTTTGCATTTTTCATTGATTTTTAAGTAATTTCATCTGCATGATTTTATAGAACTATTGTTTCATTTATTCTTTTATCCATATTACGATTGAATGATATTTCGTTGACTGTCTAAATAATAGATTGTTCTTAATGTTATGTTTTTTATGTCTATTATATTTCTATTGGACTTTCTGACTCATCTTCATCATCACTTGAAATTTAATTTAGAATCATAGATTCCTATATATCTTGCATTTAGATCATCTTTAACAATATTATTATATATTTTTTAGATTATTTACATAAGATCATATGTATAATAATCATTTTTATTCTAAACATTTATTTCTAAGTAAATCTCTTAATTTTTACATTTATTAGTTTTCTTTTTCAATTTCATACCAGTCACAGAAATACTTATAATCTTAGAAAGCAGCCACTTACATTAGATTTTTTACATATGCTGTTAGATCTTCATAGTCATCATTATATAATAAAAAGTCTGCTAATTTATAATTCTATCTTTAATTAATCAATTATATCTGCTAATCATTGAGGTTATAAAGATTGAAATCATATTTCTCAAGTATGGTCTTTACTTTTAAAAGAAAAGTGAATTTAGCTTTTCTCCAAGGTGGTAAATCTAGAGTGATAATATCAAAAATTAAATCCACACTAAAAATATTATCTTTTATTAATTTTTCAGCATAAGCATACATTGCTTTATTTTATAAATTTTCTCTTATTCTATTTATATCTACATCTTTTAATTTTGGAAGTTCTAAATGTTATTAAATTACATTTTCATTTTTCAATTACTATAAATCTTTCTATACTATATAATCCAATAAAACAGGAGCACAATTAATAAATAATTTGTTAAATAATCTATTAACCAATCTTAATTCTATTATATCATTTGCTTTCAAAAACACAATTATGTTAAAAAATGTTTATTTATTGAAATATTTCAATACCTATTATTTTTACAAACATTATTATTTTTATTAATTTGTATTCTTAAACTATTTTAGACCTTATTTATTCTTTGTTTGATTAATTTATTAGATTTAAGTATTGTTTTAACTTATTTATTTAGGTACTTATTTAAACATTTAAGTTATTTACTAAAAGAAAATAAAAATCAATAGTTTATATTATTTATAATTAAAACTGATAGATTCTGATTAATTTCAAATAAAAATCAAACGAAATTAATTAAATAAGTGAAATGCTTTTAAGTAAAATATAGATTTAGTTAATCTTAATTGAAAGAAGAGTATAAAAATATGATAATTATAATTATCATTAAAGAATATAATCAGATATCAAAATTACAACAAAAGAATAATTTGAACCAGAAGGACTTTTCATCCCCTGCATTTTAATCTTTAAACTTTGTCATTGATACCTGAACATTTTAACTTTATTTTGCGATTGAACTGACATAATGAGAATCAATTTTTGTTACTTTGAAAGCAAATTAAGTAAGATTTGTTTAACTTAATTAAGTATTATTAGATAAAGCTTTAGAGAATATTATAATATAATTTACCTGGATAATCTTCATTAGGTTTTCCACTCTTTTTTTTAGGAATGTACAATTCATAAATAAGGGATCCATCATCAGTAAATGGAGAATGAATATAATCATGTTGCATATTGAATTCTTTTATAACTAAAGCAATAAAATCTGATATCAAAGTATCTTATGGTGCTAATACAATAATTTCATATTTATTATCAATATTCTCATCATACCAAAATACTGTATAGAGATTGGGTTTCTCAATTTTATGACACTATTTAATAAATCATATAAATTGAATTATTACTTCTTCTTAAATGACTTAAATTGGTTCTACACATGATTGAGATCCTCTTCTTTATGGATGAATTGGATTAAGTTGAAGTAAACTTTCTTTTAAATTATAGTTATAAGTACTTTGAGTTCTTTTTAATTTAAATTTTTTAGAATTCTCTTATAACATAGATAGATTAGCATTGCTTTATTTAGATTGTGTAGATGTTGATTACTCTTAACTGGAAAGTTTTTCATCAATGATAAGATCAAATTATTCATCCTTTTCATTTTGTTATTTCATTTAACTAAGTTATTTTATGAATAAATAAATAAATATTTTCAATAATAAATAATTTATACTTCATTAATGGATTTCAATTGTAGAGTTAAATGTGCTTGTGTGATAAATTTAAGTACATTAAGCAAACATGGAATCTTATCATTGGTAGCAGAAAATCCAGTATTCATAAATGATTTGCAATAAGAAGCTTAATTATTATATTAGCAAATATTGAACTAATAGGATTAATAAAATGTTCCTTCTTTACCTGTTTAAAAGATTTATTCATAATCAGGAGCTTGGTATTGTTCATTAAAGAACAATATAGTAATTAGTTTATTAGTTACATCTACATATCCAATGGCAAGTGCAATGCGATTATTAAAATAAATAGAAGAATTATTAAAGAAACAAATATAAAGTGGAAAATATGAATTCTAATCTTTAGAACCTAATATTAGAAATGTATATTTTTAATTAAAATTAGTTATTAACACAATATGATAGAGATCCTTTTACAGATGATAAAATTGAAATAACTTGTAAGTCTGTTGATTCTATCCAAGGATTAATGGAAGAAAATATAAGAAAATTTTAGATGAATTAAGAATAACTTCATGTTATTCATCACAAAAGTGCAGATATATCTTAAATGGCAAATCAATTTTAAAAAAGAGCAACAGCTGTAAATAATAAATCAAATTGGATTATTTATATGGCAATTGGTATATTTGGAGCTCTTGTAATTGGAATAATAATTTACATCTTCTTATGATAATAAATTTTAGTATATAAACTATAATACAATATCATTTTGCTGTATGCAACCTTATATATCCAGGTTCTGTTGGATTTCTGAATTGTTTTAAAGATGGAGTTTTTCCTATATTTGTACTTTAAGTAACATTCTAAAATGAATGTAATAATGAAGTTGTAACATGACTACTAGTTTAAACATCTTTTTATTAACTTATTGAATGAGCATTTTTAAATTTTAAAAGTTCTAAATTTGTTTCAATTAAGAATTCTTTCAAATCTGGTCTTCTATTTAATATACTTTTTGAAGGTTATTATTTAACAATTCTCTTTAATTATTTAGATACTTTTAATTTAGCCCCAGAAATTCCTGGATCTGATTCACTATATTTTAAAAAACAACTTTCACAAATTAGAACTGATTTAATTAAAAAAGCATCATTCACTTTTAATTATTCAAATAATTGCACTGTTAAATGTGGATAAAGCTTTAATATAAGAGGTGGGATATGTGAATGTATATCTCTAAGATGACCTTCACATTATTAAAAGGATTTAGGCTTAATTATTTCAATATTATTCACAAGTGGATGTTAATTTACATCTTAATCAAAATGTTTAATGATATATTCATAAGTCAAATGGTATAGATCTAAATATTATATACATATATTAACCTTTCTATTAACATAAAACCCCACACTCAAAACATTCAATATCTTTAATTAATGCTACTGGATGCATTGTATTTACTGTAAGCATATTCTTAATTGAATATGGTTTCTAAAAATTTGTATTAAATGGAATTGGAGTATTATTCTTTTTCACATTTGTATTACCCCATAATGGTTTATATAACTTTATTTATGATTAAGCTTCTCCTTACAACCTTATTGAAGATGAATACAAAAACCAAACTTTATTGTTCTATAAACCATATAACCATAATTAATTACTTAATCTGCTTTATAATAAAAAACTATTCTTGATAGATTTGTTTGTCCATAACTCAAATTTGTTATCTTCTAAACTATCATCTAACATTGTTTTCTTATTTCTTATGATATCTCTTTGCCTCTTAAAGGTATCACTCTAGAATACGCTTCTCCACCATCAAAAGTTGTACATCTTTCTATCATAGACAATATCTTTACCATAAGGATCATATGCCATATCATATAAATCTCGATTGTTTTATTTCTTTGAAAGTATACACACAGATGGACTCCAAATTGCTTGAATTAAAGATTCATGATTTCCTAAGGGTTCTATAAACTTCTATAAAATTCCTGAGGGTGGTTTATTTTGAGAATTAACAAAATCAGGAAACATTTATTTAGTCAAATAGTAAATGCATATCTTTTCATCAAAGTCTAAGAGAGGTTTTGCTTTTTTTGATTGATTTGGAAAAGTTTTCTCCTCTTTAGGATCAGAATGATTGTATTTTTGAGGATATATATAATATGCTATAACTTATCCATTTGGTATATCTCCTTAACAAAAATGTTTAATTAGATTTTCAGATTTTCTAGCCTCAGATTTCTTTGTCATAATCTCTCCTTCTTTACTTGTAAAATACCAAACCTAATTTCTTGATTATTATTACTTAAGGAACTCCATTTTTATAAATTAATGTGTCTGGTATTCTTATTTAAAATGACTCTTTTAATAATGATTCATCTTTAAACCATAAAAAATGATATATATTGTATGCTACTCCATTTGTATTTGTTATCATTTCCAATATATTTTATATTTATTTAATAATATTAATATTTATATGAGAAATAAGAATATCTAACTAAATTAGTAGTTTTAAATAGAATTCTAAAAATCTTATTTAATTGAGAGATTCAATTTACATTAGAAAGTTTCAATTAATAAAAAATTAAATATTTATATGGTAATTTCATTGAATAAAATGAAATGAATAAAAAACATTTAATTTGAAACTTAAATAGTTAATTTAAAGCAATATTATCATTTTAAATAGATTAAATAAAAGTATTTAAATGATATTTATTTGCTATTAATGTTTTTTGAGATCATAAATTAATGTACTTAATAACATTTAATTCTTTTTATTTATTATTTATTTTTTTGTATTTTTATTGTTAACATAAACAGTAATTTATTTAAATTAAATTGTATATGAAATTAAAGAATACTTAACCACATAAAAAATCATAAACCACCTATTTAAACTATATGCTTGATGCTCGACTATCAAAAATAAGATAAAAAACAACAGTTAAATTTATTGAAAATGAGAATGAAAATAAATTTGGTGTAGATCACATTCATTTAAGAACTGATTATAGTGATTCTCATAATTGTTAAAATTGTTAAAAACAATAAATAATAATCAATGAATTAAAAGCTTAAATTTTAGAAAATTAGAAATAAATAGATATTTTGTAAATAGAAAAAGACATTATATAAAAAAAAGAAGAATAAACAATAAAGTTATTGATATAGGAAATTGAAAAAGCAAAATTAGATTAAAAAAGATATTCAATAGAATTACAACAATCATTAATTTAATTTGCTAATGAAAATATTTTTAAATAAAGTCAAACTCTATCAATTTAAGATAAATCAGATTAATATGTTCAACTAAAATAAATTAAAGAATAAAATGCAAATTATGCTGAACTTTTACATTAATAATATGATTTCTCAATAAATGTAAATATTAAATTCGTTTAATTATCAAACTCTTTAAATACATTAATTAATTTGATTCAAAAATATACAAAAATCATAACACATATACAAATGCAAAGTTCACCTTAATTAGATTTGCTATTACCAATTTCATTTGAAGATCATAATAAATAGGATCATCAATAATAATAATTAAATTTCATGGATTTAAATGATATGACATCAAAAATATAATAGATTTAAATTGAATCCTTAACAGATGTTTAATAAAAAATAGAAAAATTAATTCAATTAGTAGCTGATTACTTTACTTAAGCTTAAAGAATAGCAATAAATGATATGAGTAGAACTATGATATGATTTATATACTAATAATAATATGGGTATAAATATAATAATCATCTATTAATTTTATCAAATTAAGAAAATGAAGATTGCATTTTATCTCTATTTTTATCAAAATGATATTTTGGTATTATTCCAATAGTTCCTGTAATATAATAGGATCCTGGACCTATCTCTTCTTTTTCTTTTGGAGGAAATCTAGCTGCTTTTCCGAGACTAAGAGTAATACAAAATTTAACCTTGATCTAGAACCTGTATTAAATGGTAATGAATAGCTACCAGGTCCAATATTTTTAAATTTCGAAAGTACTGGATCAGATCTATTGCCTTTTGTTAAACTTGCATGTGCTGTTTAGGCTTTAGTATAATGTTCAAGAGGCTTAGTAAAAGAATCTTAAACAAGTTGAGAATCTGGATCATATTATCCTGGTCCTGGTGTATTATTATGATTTCTTTATTCATATTTAAGCCTAATTGAATAATTAGGACCTTATAAACTTGAATTGATATCATATTTTCCTGGAGAAGGTATTCTGTCTCTTGAAAGTCGAAATTCAGTATTAGGATTGTATCTTTCACCAGTTCCCATAGATAATTAGGATTTACTATGTGAAATTCGAGTGGGAGGCATTTAAGGTTCATGAGTTCCAGGTCCTGGTTTCTATTATGATTCTTTTGTAACAAGTTATGATCTATTTTCTTTTAGCATTTTGATTTCTTTGGCAGTGGAAGGATGAGGAAGTTTTGGATCATGAGCTATTATAGATTAATAAGAATACCTCCTGGACCAGGATCAAAATAATCAGTAGTCAAAATAGGAATATATTTATGACCAAAACTAAAGGCTTTTTTAAATTAGTTCATAGCTGGAGAATATGTATCAGGACTAGGAACAATTTTATGAGAAGGTAATTCTCTTTCTGCTTTTGGAATAGAATATTTTGGTGCTAATTCTTAAGACACTTCTCTATAATCTCCAGGTCCAACATCAATTGATTTTGGCAATTATAATTTTTTTGCAGTTCCAAATCCAGTTTTCTTTCCTTTATTTGTAGCCCAACTTGTGGCAGTTTTAAATTAGCTAAAAGTTTCAGAATTATAGTATTAATCTGGTGATGGTCCTTCTTTTGCCCATTTAGTTTCTTACTTGTAACCAAATCCAAAAACTGGTTATGAATGTTAATTTGATAAAGATGGATTATATGAACCAGGACTAGAATATTTAATATTTTATTGAATACCCTATTGGATGTTCTTTTACAACTTCAGGTTTATGAATTGCCCAAGTTTAATGAAGATCTAATTCACCTCCAGATAATCTTTTACCCATTGATGTTTAAATAGTATACATTTACTTGATTTTCTCTTGTTATTCTTTTGTTTAATTTTTCTCTAAAAGATCTTTAAGTTATTCTTCATCAATAACTTAAACATTATGAATGTTGTAAGCTCCAACAGGTGGATTAAGTGCTTTTACAGGTTTCAATTTTTCATCTTATGGAAGATTAGATTTTCTTCTTGATATTTTACTAGATATTCTAGATTCAGTCCTTCTAAGTTAATCATCGAATTTTTTGCATCCTTCAACTTCAATTTTATTAGCAATTATATCATCTTTTTTAACCCATGGTAATCTTTATGATTCACCAAATGTAAACGCTCCTGAAAAAGTTAATCCATGAGGAGTAGTTCCTGTTGTACTTTGATTCATGGTTATATAATTTTTATTATTTTATTCTAATAATATAAATTTCAATAGACTTTTTCAAAATTCATTATTCATATATTTACTTGGATTTTCAATTGCAGATTTCAAAAATTTATCGAATTCATTACAATTTAACTTTAATTTTTATGCTTCATCCCACAAAATAACAGCTGACAATTATTATGCTTAAGATTAATTAGAAATCTATAGTTTTAGTTTTAACAATTTTGAATAAAATAATCTTTGACTTTAAGATTCACATTTCCTTGATTACTCTTCTAAAAATCCAATATCACTTGTTGATATATTAGTTAGTATCTCACTCTTGGCATTTAATTTAAAAGGAACTTATAAGTTAAACATTTTTCTTTACTGTTGCCGAGGGAAAACTACTTCTCTTTCTTCAACATTCATCTATTTAGGACTTTTACTTTTATATAAATTATGATTAATTAGATTATTATATTGTTACTATTCCATCTTTAAATTATTGCATTACTAAATCTTATTACTTAATTATTCAAACTAATGCTCATTAGATTCACTATAAGTATCCTTTTAATCAACACTCATTTAATACATTTTATTACTGTATTGATTAGATTGGCTTTCCTATGTCATTAAATATTTGAATTTATTCTGAGAGCTTTGTTAATACTCATGTTCTTGCTTAATTTTCAATTCATCATTCAATATTTATATTTTTTATTCAATAAGTACTTGTATTCTTTCTATATACAAACTTAGATTTAATGATGATTTAGGAATGTATTTTAATTAAATGATTTCATCTAAATAAGTTTAACAACACGCTATTTCCACTTTGCCTATAGTAGAAATCTAAACAACAAGTTCAATTATTCTAATGAGTCTAAGCGCTAATATATTATTCTATTTTTCCATTAAGTTTGTTCGTAATTTTTGTAATTTATAATGATTTTCCTCTAATAAAGAGTAGGTTTTATCAATATGATCAATATTCTATGTCACTTGAGTGCAAACTAAGGAATGCTTATTGATTAAATTAAATCTAATATATTCTTAGCAATTCATGCAGGGTATTAGTAATTGTGAATGTTCTTCTTCTGCTTATGAATTTGTCTTGCATCTTTGCTTTAAAGAATTGAAGTAATTCATCGTATAGTATATGATTTGATAAATATTTATTGTCTAAATAAATGTTATAATTTCCATCAAAGCAGTCTTTTATAAGAATGAATGTCTTCACATTTTTTTTCATTTTTATAACGAATAATAATTAATATAAATGTCTTATTATCAATAATTGGATTTTCTTGTATGAAATCATAATTTAATTACAATTTTAATGTTTCAACAATTAAATTAAACTCATCTAATATACTAAAAATACTCTATAGTCATAAATCTATTTGTATGTCTAATATCTAAATTTGATAATTCATCTAAATACTATTTTCAGTTTTATTAACCAATATAATTTAAAACTTAATTACATAATTTATCCAAAATTATCAATTATGGAGTAGAGTAGAATTTTAAATTTACTCTAAAAATATCAAATTACATATCATACCAAATACAGAAAGTTTTACATTCTCATTAGGTAAGTTATAAATTTATAATTCTATTTGATTAATTAATAAAAATCTAGAATTCTAATATAATAATCATTTTTTCATCTTTTCAGAATTCATTTAATTTATTTTAGGATTTTATTAATAAATTTTTGGCTTGTTCCCTTAAGATCATATTAATTATTGTGAATAACAGAAATTTCAAACATAAAGAATTTAATACCTGAATCCTAAATGGTTATTTCTAATTAAATATGTAAAAATTAATTTTATATTATTCAAATAATTATTCTAATTATATGATTAAATAATCTTTAATATAGAAAGAAGATTAAAATTTTGAAACTATTATAAAATTCATTTTATTATTACTAAGCAATATTGAGTATTTCTTCTTTTCATTGATAAATATATTTATCTATCAATAAATTTAAATTTTCGATATTTGTCCTAATTTATTTTGAATGCCTTTATTTTAGAAATTGCATATATATCTTTATACAATCTTTAATCCAATCAAGATTTCTAGAATAATAATCTTGAAGTTAAAGTCCTAATTTAATGGTTGAGATATAAAGTCAAGAATGATTGGTTTATTTTCTAAATATATTTTGCTAAGATGATTGTGAAATGTTTATAGAAATATCCATAATTTAGTTTAAATTAAATTGTTAAAGTAACATAAATTTGATATAAAATGCTAATGGAAATAAGTTTTGTGAATTATTTAAATTTAATAAAAATGATCATATTTTCATTACTTATTTCAATAGCAATAGCATGCAAGTAATAAAATAATATATAAATTAGATCAATTAGTGAATCTGAATCTATAAATTTAGAGAATGGAAAGAAATAAGAATTATGTTTTAAAGTGAATAAAAATTTACCTACAATATTATAATTAGTTAAATATGAAGATGAAGGTTCCAGAAAGAAAAAGAAAAAAGGTAACAAAGAAAAAGAAGAAGAGAGTGATGAAAATATATTAATTTATGGTATCTATTGTTTATAATATAATGATTTAGAGGAAGTAGCTTTAGAAAAGTGTAAATTAAAACAAGGACAAAGAATATGTTATTTTGAAAAAGGTAATGATAGATTAGAAATTGATGTAAAATGCACAAAAGGACCATGTAAATTCAATATAATAGTAATGTAAGAAGAAGTAAAGTAATTATAGATTGGAAAACAATAAAAATAGAAATTGAAATTATTGAAAATTGTTTAGAACTCAATATATAGAATTGTTTATTCAATAAAATGTAGTAATTGTCTAATTAATTATGCTGATTTATGGTATTATGGAGAGTAGCCAACTATTATATAAAGTGATAGAAGATTTATAGTAGTATTTAATGATGGAATAGAGAGTGAAACAATATTGATTTTAATTGGAGAAGAGGAATTTGAAATTGAAAGATTTGAATATGTGAAATAACAGAAATTGAATGTTAATTAATTAATTATTGATGGAATAGAAAAATCAAAAAAAAATGAATATGTTATTGAAGGTTTAAAAGTAGTAAAACTTAAATCTTATTTTCATGACATCTTAAAAATTAAAGTAAGAAATTAATAAGGAGAAATTNTTGAGTATTTCTTCTTTTCATTGATAAATATATTTATCTATCAATAAATTTAAATTTTCGATATTTGTCCTAATTTATTTTGAATGCCTTTATTTTAGAAATTGCATATATATCTTTATACAATCTTTAATCCAATCAAGATTTCTAGAATAATAATCTTGAAGTTAAAGTCCTAATTTAATGGTTGAGATATAAAGTCAAGAATGATTGGTTTATTTTCTAAATATATTTTGCTAAGATGATTGTGAAATGTTTATAGAAATATCCATAATTTAGTTTAAATTAAATTGTTAAAGTAACATAAATTTGATATAAAATGCTAATGGAAATAAGTTTTGTGAATTATTTAAATTTAATAAAAATGATCATATTTTCATTACTTATTTCAATAGCAATAGCATGCAAGTAATAAAATAATATATAAATTAGATCAATTAGTGAATCTGAATCTATAAATTTAGAGAATGGAAAGAAATAAGAATTATGTTTTAAAGTGAATAAAAATTTACCTACAATATTATAATTAGTTAAATATGAAGATGAAGGTTCCAGAAAGAAAAAGAAAAAAGGTAACAAAGAAAAAGAAGAAGAGAGTGATGAAAATATATTAATTTATGGTATCTATTGTTTATAATATAATGATTTAGAGGAAGTAGCTTTAGAAAAGTGTAAATTAAAACAAGGACAAAGAATATGTTATTTTGAAAAAGGTAATGATAGATTAGAAATTGATGTAAAATGCACAAAAGGACCATGTAAATTCAATATAATAGTAATGTAAGAAGAAGTAAAGTAATTATAGATTGGAAAACAATAAAAATAGAAATTGAAATTATTGAAAATTGTTTAGAACTCAATATATAGAATTGTTTATTCAATAAAATGTAGTAATTGTCTAATTAATTATGCTGATTTATGGTATTATGGAGAGTAGCCAACTATTATATAAAGTGATAGAAGATTTATAGTAGTATTTAATGATGGAATAGAGAGTGAAACAATATTGATTTTAATTGGAGAAGAGGAATTTGAAATTGAAAGATTTGAATATGTGAAATAACAGAAATTGAATGTTAATTAATTAATTATTGATGGAATAGAAAAATCAAAAAAAAATGAATATGTTATTGAAGGTTTAAAAGTAGTAAAACTTAAATCTTATTTTCATGACATCTTAAAAATTAAAGTAAGAAATTAATAAGGAGAAATTATTATTGATTAGATTGTTAATACATTATAACATAATAATTATAATTTATTATGGAATTAAGAATTCAATAGTTTAGAATTAAGTTCTAATAATAAAATAAGTTATCAAATAGAAATTATAGAATAGACTGATTTGATTTCAATTGAAGGTAATAATTTAGCTATGGGAAAACATAATGGAATAGTGAATTACAAATTAAAATTATTAAATATTTAAGATAATCATTTTATAGTATCAGTAGATAGTGGATAAGATGTTTCAGTTTAAGTGAAATCATGTAAAGGAAATAAATGTGAAGCCATTCAAAAAATAAGAAATGGAGAAATATATCAATCTGTTGAATAAAAATGTGATAATCCAGATAAAGACAATTATTGTTGGTTTGTGATTGCTATTGAATCTTAAGGAATATATAGTCTTAATATTGATGATGATAATGAAGCTAAAATGTTAACAGAGAATTAAATGATTAATTCTGAAATAGATGAAGAAGAGAAACATCATTATAAATTTAATTTAGCAAATTCATAAAATTATAGTTCAATTATTTTTAGAGTTACTTCTGAAAATGTTTAAATTTTAATAAGTAAATCATCTAAATGTTAATTGGTTAATTGGAAATGTTATGAATATAGTGGAACAAGTGAATAACCAATTAGTTTAAGTGATTCTTAATTAAAAGATGGTTAATATTCTATCACTATTGAAGGTATGGAATTAGCAAAGTATGGATTAATAATAGAAACTCATCCAAAAGATAAGATTAATATTATTAATATTACTAAAGGATAGATTTATAAATCTTCAATTAATTCTAATTAAAAGAAATAATGTTTTAAATATGAATAATCTACTAAAGGTGTTTTAACACTTTTAATACATGGACCAAATTAGAAACTTGTTAGTTATGCTAATATTGATACTGATGATGAAATACCAACTAAAGGAGATTATGATGTAATTACAGGAAATTCAGCTTTATAATTAATTAGTGATAGATTTATAGCATGTATTGAAATATAAGTTTAGAATAATTAAGATGTTAATAATGAAAATACTTATAATGATATCAAATTTTCACTTATTTTATATGATTCTTAATCTGTTATTAATTTAGAATTCAATTCAGCTTATTATGGATAAGTAACATTTACAGAATAATAAAGATTCTCTTTTTTAAGTTATTTTGATGAAGATATTGTTTATATAACTAAAAACATACTATCAAGTGGAGATGTCAATAAAGATTTATAAGTATATGTTGGAAATATGTTATATGAAAATTTGGAATAATATGAATATAAATTTTTTGATAATGAAATAAGTACATTTTCACTTTCAAGTGAAAAAATGAAAAAATTATGTGATATAAATGAGAATAATTAAATTAGTTTTGATCATGATCGTATTAATCATCTTTGTGAAATATTTATTGTTGTTAAAAGTATATCTAAAACTCCTATTAGATATACATTAACAATTCATAAATAAGATTTGGCCATTCAATTAACTGATGGATTATAATTATCATACAATTTGTAAAATATTGAAGAATTTATGCATTTCTATTATTAACCTAATTCTAAATCTATTGATGTTAATTTATTTGCATCTACATTTTTTGGTAAATTTATTTTACATCTTAATATATGGAAATTAAATAAGTCTTAACATAAATCTGATTGGCCATTTATTGATAAAAAAGATGATTCAGATATTTCCAGTGGTTCAACCAATCAAATACATAGAACAATTAAATCAATAGCTTTAGATTAATGTTGGCCTGATTGTATATTATTGATATCTGTTTAAAGAGTTTAAAATAATTAAATTAATGTGTAAAATTATAATGATTAATTCCATATAATGATAAATTAAGGAATGTAAGATGTTATTGAAGGTTAAAAGTATGAAGTTTCAATTAAAAGTGAAGAGTCTGTTTTCTTCACATATAAAAATTTGTAAAAGTTTAGAGATGATGCTTATTTAACATTTTCTTTATTGTAATTAATAGGTAATGGTTATTTTACAATTAGTGTAAATGGTGGAGATTATTTTGAATATCCTAATATATATGGATCATATGATTTCCATTCTGATGGAACTTACTTTTAATTATCTAAAGATCAATTAAATGAAAAATTAAAGGAGAAAGAAATTACAATTTAAGATGCTTATTTAATTATCTCAATTACAGGAATGCAAAGTTATTATAATTCTATTCATTAATCAATTAAATTAGAATTTACTATTTCTTATATGAATATGGATTATATTTAAGTTATGCATAGTTAACCTAATACAATACATGCTAAAAAACATCAACCTACTATTGTTTAATTTTATAATTATCTTAATCAAGATATATTTATTAAATTACATAGATTTTTAGGATATGGATCAATGTCTGTTTTCATATGTAATCAATATAGTAATATTGCTGAATGTGTTAAAGATAGTAATGATGCACAATTTAAATATCTTGATACAGTTTTAGCAGCTGGTAATGAAAATTCTTAAATATTAATTTAATCTAATGATAAATCTAAATTCTGTATTTATTGCACATATATTATTAAAATTGAATCTTAAGAAAGTGAATTACATGGTTAATTAACAGTAGTATTAGAAAATGATTTTGTTAAATTGCCAGCTGGAGTTTAATATAGTGATTATGTAGAAAAATAGAGTTCATCTTAATTTTCTATTTTCTTTACATAGGATAGTAAAATTGAAATATTTATATAAATATTTACAGGAGATCCTATTGTTTAATATTCATTTAATTAAGATAATCTTAATTCAAGTAAAATCATTAAAGCATAACCAAATAATAAATATATTCATATAACTGTCCCTAGTCAAAAATTATTGAATGACCTAGAAGATTTAGCTTAAGGTTTATAAAATAAAAATAAGGATAAAAAAAACAAAGATGAATTTGGACTATTACCATCACATTTTGTTCATGATGAATTATTTATAAAGGTTTCTACTAAATCCAATTATCCTTGCAATTATACAATTTATTATACAAGTGATTTTATTAATGGAAAATTATAAGATGGTAGAATACATTTAGCCATCATTGAAAATAATATCACATTTTTATATGAAAATTATGATGACCAGATATCAATACTTAATCTATCTCCTTTGAATTAAACTTCATTATAAGATATTGAAATAAAAGTTCTTTATATTAAAAAGTTAGCATTTGATGATTATCATTATTAAACTTTAGAAGAAATTCCAATCAAAACTAGATTGATACATCCTCTCTCTAGTAGTTATGAATTACCTAAAGATAAAGGAATCTATGAAATTATTTTGAAAAATAAAAAATATATAGAAAATGGAAAAGACATATATCCTACTTAATTTATTGAAATCAGTGCTTCCACTAGTGATATCAGAATCTTACCAATTTAAAGACATCATAGTGGTTATATCAACACAGCTGAATTTGATTATTATGAAACTTATGCTCCATCTGAAGGATATTTAGCTGTTGAAATTTATTCATGCTCATCTGATATTAATTTTAGCTTCTCAAAATCAGATATTAAATCTCTCATTGATGAAGATTATGATGAATCTATTGATATTCCAGAAAAAGATTATCATGTTGAAATGATTTCAGTTGAAAAAGGAACTTTATGGATTGCCATTAAAGGAACATCTTCAACATCTGCTTATTATCATATTACAAATCATTTCTATTAAAATAGAAAAGATATACCTTTTGGTAAAATATTGGCTGGAAATGATGGTATTATAAAGTGGAAATTAGATAAACAAAAAGCTGATTTCATATAAATAGAATTTGAACATGCTACTTGTAATAATTGCAATTTAGAGGGAGTCTAAATTAATTATCATATATTTATTGCTCAAGATGAAAACAAACTATAAATGTTAGGTTATTGTGGCAATGAATAATTTGAAAGTCATAAGGCAGATGATGAAAAAATCTTTAAAAAAAGTGTACAATCATTTCGCTTAGCTAATCATAATGGAAGTATCGTATATGAAATTGAATTTCCTAATCTAGTTACATATGAATATGCATCAGTTGGAGTGTTTGCAACAGTTGATAATTTCATGAAGTACTTAATTCTACATATATATTAGTTCTACTTCTTAAATTAAAGTGTTTTATAGAACTATTCAAGTACCTGTACCAAATTATTTTGCCAAATTTTTAAATCAAAATAGAACAATTTTTACCTTCTTAATGATTGGCCTCATTTTTTTAATAGCATTACTGACACTTTGGTTATGCTATTATATAAAACGGTAAATAAAATTATTTATATATTCTTAGATATAGAAACACAAAAAATAAATTAGATTTTTAATTAAAACAGGGAGCTAAAATTATTGCTTCCACCTAATTACCTTAGAATGACGATGCAACATTCTAAAATGATTTCAAAATGAAATATGAGACATTTGAAGAGAATTGAGAATTAATTATTATAATAAAAATATGATACTATAATTCAAATGTGAAAGATTACATTATCTTCTTAATACTCATTATGTTGTCAATGTATATAAAGATAAACTAACAATTGGCAAAAATGTATGAGTTGATTTTTATACATTTAAAAGGACCCTCCAAAGTATGAGTACTATTTTACATTATAAAATGTATTACATTGGTATGTAGATGGACTCAAAATCTAGGCCTTTGGTATCTAACACAATGATGTTATCAAGTTTTTTAAAGCCAATCACAAAGATCTAGAATTGTTAAGAAATATAAGTAGAAACCTAATCTATTTTGATAATCTTATAGAATTGTATAAACAAATTGATATAGATGATTCTTCCAAAATATTGGATTAATTGTCTCATCAAACTTATACATTAAAATGCTTAAACTATGCGTAGTTAGAAAGACAAGTTTCACTACTTAGAGGTTTGAATCATCCAAGCATTCTTTCAATTAGAGAGTGCTTCGAGCATAATAATTAATATTACATTGTCACAGAATTCCTTGGTGGAATTAACTTGGAGAATTTCATTACCAAAAATCAAAAGCTTAGTCATCTGCAATGCTAATCAATTATTACAGTAAGTCTTAAAGTCTGACCCAAGCAACTCCTGAAGGCACTCAAAGTCTTACATGACCATCACATAATTCATGCGACCATATAAGCTAAATTTCTTATTTATAAATCAGATTTGATCAAAATTATAGATTTTTCCAATTCAATCCGATCCTAAGAAATAGATTCTCAAGATATAAAAAACTGTGGATCAATTTTATTTTAACTGTATTAATATATTATGTTATAGTAAATAATAGATATACATCTAAACTTTATAACAATTAAGACAGGATTACTTTATCCACTATGCTTTAAGCAAGTTCAATACCAAATTTAGCATAAGATTTAATTTTGAAAATGCTCTTTGATTAATAATTTACAGTTTACTAATCTTTAGAACATCCTTATTTTTCAAATAAATTAAATTCTTCAGAAAAAAAGAAAAGATTTTAAAATTTTCAGAGGATCTAACGATCAACATCTGAAATGGATGAATCAGAGGCTGTTTCACAATATATACCAGAATTGTAAACTAATAAAAGCAAATCACTAAGACAACTATTATGATTATTATTTATAAATTAGAAAATTATTTTCCATTTCATAATTTCTTTATATTTATTTAGAATGAAAAATTGGTTTTTAGTTTTGGATTTTATACATATAATAATGGAATAGTTTTAGTATTTATTTTATAGAAAAATTTAAGAGATATTTCATTAAATTCAATTGAGTTGTTTATTTAGATAAAATAATAAACTGAAAATTGAGTAGATTATTAAATAAGATATTATCTAATATTTCTTCATATATCTTGATTACAAATACAAATTTATAAAAATGGAATTATATTTGGATATGAATTCTGAAAATGAAATACCAAAATAAAGAAGGATTGATTTATAATTTGTTTATAAATAATTATAATGGCCTTTGTTTATTAGGCTGAAAGAGATCTTAATCAATCGACTACTTAGGTTCCAGCTAATGTACTTATGAATCATAAGGGAATAGGTTGGTCCAGGAACATATACAATGTTGAAAACTCAATCTGTTAGATAATCAGTTGCACCATTTAATACACAGACACTTCGTAGTAAACCTATTAAATAGAACTCTCTTCCAGGACCAGGCAGTTATAATATAAATTTTGTTAATGCAGGGTATGTATTATATAATACCTTATAGATAAAAGGTTGTTCTACAATCAACTTAATCAGAAGTTCAAATATTAGAGATGCCTAAGCAACATTCGGTGTTTGCATCAAAATGCCGAAGGTTTCAAGAGGGCTCTAAGAATGAGAATCCAGGGTAAACATAAATAAATTGTAATTCAGTCCTGGGTCATATGAACCTGAAGTCATTCAACAATAACGGTACTAAGTTGCCTCTCAAGAGAATTTAGTAGAATAGTTAATGAAGTTAAATAAATACAAATCAATTCCTTCTATTCCAAGTAATTCTCAAATTCATGGTTACACTGATAATGGAAGTAATGATCTAGATTAAAACAAAAAGCTTTGGAGTTGAATAAAAGTCCATAAGAAATACTATCAGGATTAAAAAATGATTCAGTTGGTCCAGGACAATATGACTTAAAGGATTTATTTGAATAAAATAAAAATAAAGGATTTAATTGGCATAAATCTAAATAACCAAAATTAGCACCTGTAGTTTCAAAAGAAAAATAATAATTAGTGGGTCCAGGCAATTATGAAATTCCTGAAGATAATTAACCTCTTTATAAATTAATGCCTTCAGGTTCTTTTTAATCAAAAACACAAAGATTATTTGATATGGAAAGAGGATAGAAAGCTAGAAGTTTTATGAGATATTAATTTGAAAAAAAGAGAAATCAATTGCTATCAAATCCATAATTTGCTGATCTTTAAGATGAAGAAATTGAATATATAGAAGTATATAAATTATTAAACTAATAAAGGATGCCACTCCAGGTCCTGGATATTATTATAAAGATTCAACAACTGCATCAACCTATTCAAAATCAGCTACCAAAATAGAAACATAATGTTTTGGTTCAAAATCTAAAAGATTTGGAGATGAATAAGTTTCAACCTCTATTGGACCAGGAGATTATAGAGTAGATGTTCAATTAGCTAATAAGAGTCTATCTTATAAATATCCTCCATTTATGTCATCAAATAGTCGTTTTGAAACTAAATTACAAGAAAAAAGACCAGGACCTTAGACTTATAATCCAAAATAAACAGTAAATACTAATAATTATAATTTTTTAGTTAGAATATAATTTGATTAAGAAATTAGAAAGAGCTCCAGTAGGAAAATTTGGATATAATTAACCTAGATTTGATGATAATTAATTTTAAGTGCCTTAACCAGGACCTGGATAATATGATTTTAATAGCAAAAGTCCAGAAAAAGGAGCCTAATCAGTATTTAAATCTTCAACCAAACGAGCAGGTCCTGGATCATAAAGTAAATCTGAGATACCTGCTCCTGGTTAATATGATCCAAAAAATTATACAATAGAATATAAGACGAAAGTAGAGGAAGAAGAGGATCCTGCTTTAAAAATATAAAAACCTCCCTTTATGTCATCAATGCCAAGATTTTAAAATAAAGAAGAAAAGAAAATTGAGGAACTTGAAGAAGAGGAAGAAAGTTTAAGAAAAAGTCCTTAAAGAGAACCATATAAAATGCCTTTTTAAGTTAAGAAACATGCACCACCATTCAATATATAAGTTTTATAATTATTTATAATATTTACAATAGGAAAAGCGATTTTAGTATGAGAATTCTAAAAATTAATCTCCAGGCCCAGGGGAATACCATGATCCAAAAAGAAATCCTTGGGATAAGAAAACTTATAATATACAATTCTCTGAAATTTGAGTAATAAATAAATAATACAACTTATCATTTTCTATAAATTCGAACATCTGATCTAGTATGTTAATGCATCCTTAGAGGTAAATGTAAAGCATCACTTATTTTAAATTGTTTGGATATGGAGAGACTCTATTATTTAATTTTTGATGAAGAAGATATTCTAAGTTAAATTCATGTTTACTTCGATTTCTATTAGATTGTTTAATTATTATTATTTTATGGGGAATTCATACTGTATATTTGTGTAGGGGTGAGCATTTTCTTTAAAGGATCTTTTATGATTCTTTATGTAAAAGTACCAACTTAAGATGATGTTTATTATCCTGTCTTTGGTGATAAATGAAAAGTCTATTAATTTTTAATAGTTCTTGAAATAATTTGTTTGATTGTCTGTTAACTTACTCCAATTGAAACTTTATTATTAATTTTAGGTGAATTTAGTTAAATATGTTGAGTGATAGTCTTCTATTTTTATTTATCTATCATAAATTAAATGAAGTTCTGTAACTATTCTTGTTCTCTATTAGATGGTTAAAGATTTAATTCACCTACATTTATTTATAAAGCATTCAATTTATTATTAATTGTTTCAATAGTTGTTGAAGCATCCTAAATGTCAGATAGAATCTTGCTATACATTTATTAGGGCTTTGTGGTTGTGGGATTATCTTCTAAAGGTGAGTCTCCAACTATTGCCTTTTTTGGTTTATTCGGATTTTATCTATTTTCCTCTTCTATTATTCTTTTAATCCTATAATATTCAATCCTTCTCTTCTTATCATGATAGCTGGCCTATGTCTCTAAATAAAATACTTGCTCATTATTCTGCAATAATATGGCATGAAGAATCTTGGAATTTCATTGTGATATTTATAGTATTCTGCAAAGAGGCGAAGCTTTTCGAACACCTCGCCTAATGAGGATTATTGATGATGCGTACTTACTTAAGCAATAAAATCGCTTTAAATATTCAGAATCATCCCTAAAGGCCATAACTTAATAGAATCTAATCACATCTAATGTTCTCGCAGAACTCACAAAATCATTGAGAGTTTTGGAGTAATAGTAAGATTGACAATGTGCATACTTTTTCTCTAGAAACCTTTGCATATTATATTTATTGGCCATTTTTATTATTAATATTTTAATCGATTATTGTTTAGTTATCTGAGGATTATAAACAAAATCAAAGTGGTGTATAATTGATATTACATTTTAGAAATATACTTAAATAATATCCTTAAAAAGAAACATGAACTAAAGATGATATTTTTGGAGTATGCTTTTAATATTATAATTATATATCATCAATTTTTTAAGTAATCAATTGTATCACATTACATTTAGTTACAAACTTATAAATAATTGATTAAGTTATTTTTAGTTATTTATTGCATTACTAAATTAATAATACGATAATCTAAAATCTTAATAAATAAATAAGACTTTAATTTGATAATCTATGGAAAGTTCTGACTTTGATTAATTGTTTATATCTTAGGTAATAATGTCAAATGGAAATTTTAACAAATCATCCTGAAATAAAAGTTTATTTATATAATTCCCATTCAAAACATATATAGAATTTGTCAAATCTAGTTTAAAATTATAAAATTAAAATATTTAGTTAAAACCATCAGAGAATCTTAATTTAGATCAAATCCTTAACAATATACTAAGATATCTTTATTATATTATAAATAATTAAAAAGAACAAATATAATGAAATTTGGAAAATCACTCTAAAAGCAAATGAATTTGTTCGAATATAATAATTATTAATTAAAATGATTTCTAGTAACTAAACGAAATCATTACTTGAAGTAATAGAAAAGAACGAAGATCCATCAGCTTTTGCAGATGCTCTAGGTCTTTTAGAAAAACTAATAACTAAGTATTTTCTAAGATTTAAATTAGTATTATAAACAATCCCAATGAAGATAAATTTAAACATATAAAGATGACAGTTAAAACATTAGCAACACGATTATTTAATATAAAATAAATGGCAGAGTTATTAACATCATTGGGTTTCATTTAAGTATTCAATCAACTCTATTTAAAATATAGTTAGATTAAGAATTCTATCTACCTGATGAAGAATTAGTAAAATTACTAGAGAATTTCAATACTATCAAATGGTAGCATATTCTAGCATAAGGAAGAGTAGACGGACCTTAATAATATCAAAAGGCATAGGAAATGTATTATATTATTTTCTATGATTTTCTAGAGTGAGACAATAACAAGAAGTTTAAAGATAATATGAGAAAGAATAAAGAGAAAAGGAGAAAATCCAATAATAAATGAAATATGATAGACAAGAAAGAAGTTTAGTGAAGGAGAAGGATTCAAAGGCAAATGATTTGTAATTTGGTGCCAAAGTTAAAACTTGTGAATAATTAGGTATAAATAAGAATACAGGTAAACGTGGGTGAGGTTGAGCGAGGCGAAGGTTTAAATACTTTCGCCTCGCATTATAATAATAAGGAAAATAATCAATCAGCCAATAGNAAATAATATCCTTAAAAAGAAACATGAACTAAAGATGATATTTTTGGAGTATGCTTTTAATATTATAATTATATATCATCAATTTTTTAAGTAATCAATTGTATCACATTACATTTAGTTACAAACTTATAAATAATTGATTAAGTTATTTTTAGTTATTTATTGCATTACTAAATTAATAATACGATAATCTAAAATCTTAATAAATAAATAAGACTTTAATTTGATAATCTATGGAAAGTTCTGACTTTGATTAATTGTTTATATCTTAGGTAATAATGTCAAATGGAAATTTTAACAAATCATCCTGAAATAAAAGTTTATTTATATAATTCCCATTCAAAACATATATAGAATTTGTCAAATCTAGTTTAAAATTATAAAATTAAAATATTTAGTTAAAACCATCAGAGAATCTTAATTTAGATCAAATCCTTAACAATATACTAAGATATCTTTATTATATTATAAATAATTAAAAAGAACAAATATAATGAAATTTGGAAAATCACTCTAAAAGCAAATGAATTTGTTCGAATATAATAATTATTAATTAAAATGATTTCTAGTAACTAAACGAAATCATTACTTGAAGTAATAGAAAAGAACGAAGATCCATCAGCTTTTGCAGATGCTCTAGGTCTTTTAGAAAAACTAATAACTAAGTATTTTCTAAGATTTAAATTAGTATTATAAACAATCCCAATGAAGATAAATTTAAACATATAAAGATGACAGTTAAAACATTAGCAACACGATTATTTAATATAAAATAAATGGCAGAGTTATTAACATCATTGGGTTTCATTTAAGTATTCAATCAACTCTATTTAAAATATAGTTAGATTAAGAATTCTATCTACCTGATGAAGAATTAGTAAAATTACTAGAGAATTTCAATACTATCAAATGGTAGCATATTCTAGCATAAGGAAGAGTAGACGGACCTTAATAATATCAAAAGGCATAGGAAATGTATTATATTATTTTCTATGATTTTCTAGAGTGAGACAATAACAAGAAGTTTAAAGATAATATGAGAAAGAATAAAGAGAAAAGGAGAAAATCCAATAATAAATGAAATATGATAGACAAGAAAGAAGTTTAGTGAAGGAGAAGGATTCAAAGGCAAATGATTTGTAATTTGGTGCCAAAGTTAAAACTTGTGAATAATTAGGTATAAATAAGAATACAGGTAAACGTGGGTGAGGTTGAGCGAGGCGAAGGTTTAAATACTTTCGCCTCGCATTATAATAATAAGGAAAATAATCAATCAGCCAATAGAAGTAAGAAATTACTTCTTAAATGATCAAAGGGCATTTAAAATTAATAGATGCTTTTTGAGAGATGGATTGTGAGTTTTCTTTATATATATGCATGGTGAAGTCAATCAAGAATCATAATAAAGTCCCATTCAATTTATACCACATTTGTCTTATATCATCTTTTGTTTTAGTCTTAATTTCAGATGAAATTTCTGTCCATTTAATAGTTACACCTATATTAGAGGGTATATTAATAATTGATTTAAGTAAATCAAAGATTTCTTTATCTTCCATTTTCATTTTTCTATAATTAAGTTTGAATTTAACATTTTCAAATTATTCCCCCAATTTTTATTTGAGAATTTAATCATAATTAGGTATTAAAATAGGATAACCACTTAAAGCATGAATATTATTCATAAGAATAAGAAACTCTTCAATTGTCCAAAATTATTTATTTCGAAACAAATGATTGTGTTGACCAATTTGAATATATTTATTTCTTATATTATCAGGTGTTCGATTAAGATATTTACTAATTTCTCTCCATTTTCTACCATATTATTATATGCATTTAATTAATTCAGCTTCTTCTTCTTTATTCCAATATCCTTGTCTATTTTTACTATCTAAACTACGTCTAATCAATTTATAAACTGAATCAACTGTTCTTGTTGGTATAAATTTTGTAATCTCAAGCCAAATCTTAGAATGACCTAAAGTCTTTAATTCAATATAATCTTTCAATTATTGATCAGTAAGATTATTTTGATTTTAGTAATTATGTACAATTTGCATAATGAATTCTTTTTCTTCTTATGAAAATTTACCATTTTTCATTTCTTAAGGATTGACTAAATTATCCAATTCTTTATGCCAAGATCGTTTATTTACAGATCTATGCTATTAAGGTATAGTCTATTATTCTTATTATTATTATTAAGGTTTTCTAGTGACAATTATACGAATATTAGTTTTTCTTTGTTATTCTTTTTAGATTATTGGTTAATTTTATTGTTCTGTTTTTTAATCTTAAAATATGTCATCATATTCTGATTCTTGAGATTTAAGATGAGAGTTGAATTTTTCATTTTATTTCGTAATCTTTTTCATCATACTTATTATAATTAGGTTATATTGTATTATTAATAATTTTTTAACACTCATCAAATTTCATTTTAATTTTAAATTACGCACTAAATATGCATCCTACAACATAATTGCTTTAAGAAGCAAGAGACAAAGTAACCTTCCCTATTTAAGACCTAACCAAACTTATTTATGGAAATGAAGAAATATATGAAACCTTTATGAAAGCTTAAAAGATCATCGCTAGTGAACCTAGTATTAGAAATCATCCTGATTATCATAATTGGGGACGTAAGGAACAAATTATAAAATCCTATGAAAAACTAAGAATTATGCATTAACATTTCAATCTTGCCAATGCAGCTCATTGGACACCAATTTTAAGTTTATTCTAAGGTACAACACCATCAGCAGTATCATTTGGAATGACTGTTCCTGCTTTGAGATTTCTTGGTACAGATGAATAATTCAATCTTTGGGGTCCCAAGTTTCTAACTATGGAAATTGTAGCAGCTTATGCCTAAACAGAAATTGGACATGGAAGTGATGTCTAAAATTTAGAAACCACAGCCACCTATGATTCATAAAGCAATGATTTTATATTGCATACACCTTCAGTTTCAGCTGTTAAATGTAAGAATAAATTAATATGACTTAGTTTGGCCAGGAGAATTAGGATTTTTATCAAATTATGCACTTGTCTATGCTAAATTAATATTCAATGGTAAGAATAAAGGAGTTCATCCATTTATGGTTCAAATAAGAGATAACTCCACACATAAACCACTTAAAGGTGTTGTAGTTGGAGATATAGGACCAAAATTAGGATATTCTACAAAAGATAATGGATTCTTGGCTTTTGAGAATTACAGAATTCCATTAAATAGTTTATTGGCTAGATATGTTAGAATTGAGAATGGATAATTTTCAAGACATGGAAATGAAAAAGTATTGTATATTATCATATATAAGATATCTTATGCATCCATGATGGTATCAAGATAATTAATAATTTTCATTTATCCAAGAATGGCTGCTTAGAGTTTGACAGTGGCAATTAGATATTCAATTACAAGATAACAATTCACAAATGATAAAGGAATTGAGAACTCTGTCCTTGAATATTAAACATAATAAGATAAATTATTACCAAGATTGGCAACATGTTATGGAATGATCTTTGCAGGATTAAGAATAGCAGAATTAGTTGATGATAATTTTCATAGAGTGTAAAAGAAAGACTTTAGTACATTATAATAATCACATGCTATATTGAGGTATATAAAATTTATAGTTTTATTTATAGTGCTTTAAAGGCTTGGTCTTCATAATGGGTTGTTGATACTGCTGAATGGTGTAGATTATCATGTGGTGGTCATGGTTTTGCACATTATTCAGGAATACCAGCTATTTATTTTGACACTGCTCCAAATGTTACATTAGAAGGAGAGAATCAAGTTATGTATCTTTAAGTTGCAAGATACTTACTTAAAGTATTATAATATGTAGAGAAAAATCCAGAAAAGGTTCCATTTTATTTCAATTTTGTATTACATATCAAAGAAACTTTGGCCAATCAAAGTACAGATTTTGGATAATTACTTAAATTGACACTTACACTTTAATTAATAAGTGTGGCTAAAAAGATTAAGGATAGTATGGGTACAGGTAAGAATTTCCAATAAATATGGAATGAAGTAGTTGGTGTACAATTATTATCTGTTGCTTAAAGATATGCTGAATATTTCACTTATTTAGTATTTTAAGAATATATATCTAATGCAAATCCATAAGTTAAGGAAATATTGTAATAATTATGTGATTTATATTCTCTATAAGTAATATTGGATAATCCAAATACTCTTATAGAATCAGGTAGGATTAATGTAGAGTAATTCAAGTAACTCAATGAAACCAAAATTGAATTACTGAATAAACTCAAACCATAAGCTTTGGGTTTAGTTGAAGCTTTCAATTTCTCTGATAATGCTTTGAGAACTTGCATAGGTTGCCATGATGGAAAACCTTATGAGTACATTTATGAATGGGCCACAAAAGAGAATTCAGTTAATATCAAAGGGGTACCTTAAGCTGTAAATGATTTGATGGGCACAAAAATCAAAGCTAGATTATGATATTAATTATTTTTAATAAATGAGAAAAAACATTCAGATTATTGCTAGATAATTCACATCTACTAAACCTGAACTTTTCAAGGCTCAAAAGATAGATGTCAAAACATTTGAGTATGAACCTTTCAAATTTGGAATCGAAAGACAATCTATGATTCATGGATATACAATGGAGGAAATGTATGGCAGGTAAAAGAAGTTATTTAAACTCTAGATTTTATGGAATTAAGCATTCACCTTTGATTTAGAAAGAATTAAAGAAGGACAATCTTATTGCTCTTGCAATTCTTTTGGGAGGTAGTGTTATTACATTCTATTATAATGAATGGGGAGCTTAAGATCAAGCTAATTGGCTTTAATACTATTATTCTGATTTAACAACCAAGAGAAACAATCTCAAATGATTGACATCAATTTAAACATATCATAAAGACATAAAATATTAGTATTCATAAACATATTAAAAATTGCAGATAAATATATAATAAATATTCGTGATCTATCCATGATAAAACAATCTAATAATGTTTCCTGCTCTGTTATAATCAATTTCAATTATGCTATTTCTTTAGTATAATTTTTTGCATTTTAAATCATTTCATCTTATAATGCCTCTATTTTAGCATTGGCTTTATACAATTTAACTTCCAATTTCATTTTATCTTATTCTCAATCAACCCCACTATTACTAAAAGGTCTATTAGTTCTTACTTAAATCCTCTTTTATATTAGCAACCATTTTTTCTAATCTATAACGTTCTTATTTAAAATGTTTTAATACTCGAATATCCTCTCCTTATACTATTTCTTTTACAAATTTAGATTTTCACTTTTCAGTTATTCAACCTCTAATTGTGTTTATACAGCATTTTATGATATTTCAATCAATCACTCTTATTTAGATACACATAATATATGAGCTTTAATTGATAATTTTATTAGAGATGCATTTTCTATTATCTAAAAAACAATAAAAAAAGACATTATTATGACTTGTCTTCTTAAATACTAAATTTTAGTTCCTGTTATTTTAGACTCTCTGTTTTGTCATCTACTTCTTTCATTAATCTATATATCATTTGATAATTTTGTGAAAGCTCTTTTAACAAAATATCCCATTTGGTTATGTCTACTCTTTAAACTTTTTAGCCAATGCCTTCATTTCTCATGTTTTAAGAATTAATCTCTTAGATTTTTTGATAATGAGACTCTATTCATTGCAGAATTGTCTGCTATCACCATAAAACTCAATTCTACATAACATCTACTATTCATAAATAATGGTTGTTGTTTAGATTCATCAGACCAAGTAATCAAACAAAAGGCTTATTTTTTATCATCTGATTAATATAAATTACAATGTCAATCATCAATTATTTCTGAATATCTGACTATTCCATTAGACATTAAATGGATTGAATTAACAGTATCATATATAGTGAGTAAATAAAATGCAATTCTACTTAATAAAATCAAAACATATAAGAATACTTCCAATTATGATTTGGGTAATGTAAATACTGCTACTGTATTATTAACTTTATGAGGTCAAATCTTCATTATTGATGATATAAACATACCAGATTGAGCATTACTTATAGCATGAGCCATGGTTGAGCTTCCCTATAAATTTTCTCTCTAATCTTTGTTAATGCAAATGATGTTCAGATGGACTTTAATTATCATATTATGACCAACCCAATTTTACAAAACCTCTAGGTAAACTAGACTGAGAATCGCTGTATAATGGCATTTTCAAACATGCCTTAATATCATATTAATTTTGATGTAAAACTCACAAATGGGTCGAATGCAGAAAGAAGCTGAAATATTTCATGTAATTCTAAAGGTTTCTCATTTCTGGGATTATTTGCTCTTCTGCTAATTTAAGATTTATAATATATCTTCCCACAATTATTTACTTATCATCAACCTAATTTAAAAATGCCCCCTCATAATAACCCAATCTAATTTTAATTTTCTAATTCAGTTCCACGTCTTTCTTCACGATTGATTACAACATATGCTTCGAACTTTCATGCATAATTCATTATTTTATATGCAAGTAATTATTAATATCCAATTTAAAATTAGAAGGTAGTATTAAGAAAGTACTACTGGATCTGAGAATTAGGTTCTTTTCTCTTAAATATTCATTTTTGCAATCTGCCTTTTCCTTAACAACATGTAATTATTGAGTAATGGACTATTGATAATCCTTAGCAAAAAATATACATAAGGCAATCTTAAAAAAAGTGATAAACACAGTTAATCTATAGTTTAAATAAGAAATATTAAAATTAATATACAAAATTATAATCAAATATTCAATTCCTAAATTTTCATATATTTTCAAAAGTAATTCTGATGTGAATATTTGGGTATATTAGAATAAATAATGAGCTTTTTAATTACTTTATAATTTTTCTAAAAGTTTTTATTAAAAGTTTTCATTCTATGCAGAAATATCAATATTTATTTTTTATTATTCTGTTTGAATTAATATAGCAATATGTAAGATTAAATTTTAATGATTTTCTCTGTTTTTTAGATATGATATACTGATAAAATTAAAACAGAATATAATTAATTGAATTAAATATTAACAAAATTATTATTTAAGAAACAAATAATAATAAATAAAAATTAATGATTATTTATGGAAAAGTAATTTAGTTAAATTTCTTTATTGATATATAAAAAATAACATTGATTATATATATTTTATATGTAAATAATTCAATTATATTTTGTTATAATTATTTATATCAGTAGATAAAAAAAAATTTTGAAACGATAACATAATTTTTACTTGATATATAAATTATAATAAATCATAATAATTGTATATTTATTTAATTAATGAAATCAAGATTCTCTTCAGATTCCATTTTTATTCAAACAGATTCTTAGTTTTGGAATGATTAGTGGATTTAAATGAAAGAATCAGATTTTAAAGAGGATTATTTTCTGATCTATTCTCATAATAAAAAAATTTATAAAAACAAGGTTTTCAAAAGACATGGTCCAATTATTAAAAAGGTGAAAAAAAATGTAAATTTATTGTGATATATAAAAGGGATTAGAATTATGGTGTGATATTACTAATGCAATGATTGAGACTATTTAGATACAACATGTTGGTTTAGGATTAAGAATAACAAAGAATTCATATTGTTTAGAGTTATTTGGATATATTGATGGTTGGTTTAAGGAATTAAAGAAGTTTTGTATTCAAAAGTAAATAAAAAACCTATATATTATCAGTAATAAATTAGGTTGCGGAAACTTTGCAGATGTATAATAATTGAATTATATTTTAATAGGTTCATAGATTAATAAGGAAAAGTGATTAAAAAGAATTTGCTGTAAAAATTTACGATAAAAAATCTCATAAATTTGATTCTGAATGTATCATTAAGGAATTAGAAATACTGAGAAAAATGGATCATACAAATGTTATTACAGTTCTAGAAACATTTGAATCATAGAAATCTGTATTCATTGTTACAGAATTATTGAATAGTGGAAATTTAGATCATATTCTTTCAAAAACAATACTTACAGAAGATGATGCTATCAAAGGTATTTTCAAAATTATAGATGCTTTAACATATATACATTCTAAAGGAGTGATACATCGAGATATTAAACCAGAAAATATTTTATTTAGAAAACCTAATCTAGAAGAGATGGTTATATCTGATTTTGGATTAGCTGAATATCATAATGATGAAGGTCAATATAAATATCATAGATGTGGAACTGTAGGTAATATGGCACCAGAGATTTTAAAAGATCAATCTTATGATTATAAAGCTGATTGTTATAGTGTTGGGATTATATTTTATTAAATGTTAACACAAGTGCAATCTCCATTTATAGTAGAAGATTATTAAGAAACTATTCAAAGAAATGAATAAGGTTTAATAGATTTCTCAGTCGTTAAATCATCTTCTGCTGTTGTGAACCTTTTAAAATAAATGTTAGAATTAGATCCATATAAGAGATGTTCACTATAATAAGCTAGATCTAATATCATATTCAAGAAATTTAATAGATAAACTATTATTATTAAAAGAAAAAGATTTTATTAGGATTAGACAGCTTCTAGTTATAGTTCAAGAAGTTCCTCAATTTATCAAAGTCCAATGAATTAACCTTCTCCTCCCCTTCCTATAAGTCCTACCTATAAATATATTGGATTATAAAATCTTTGCTCCATTCCATTAAGACTAAGAAGTAATGATAGAAAATTAATTCCATCTCCAAATAAATGCAATTCTGGAGCAAACAGTGCTACATTATAATTGAAATTAAAAAACAAAAACTCAAATTTTAAAATCAATCAGAAAAATAACATAACTGGTATGTACTCTAGTATATGCTCAAATAAAGCTAATTGATTCATTAATCAACTTATTATGATTAATGATAAATAATATATATTTATATATTCAGCATTTTATATCAATATCTTTAGATACTTGTTTTTAGACTATAATCTATATAATTAATAAGACTATTATCTATATAATTAATAAGATTAAAGTATAGATTACTTAATAAATTACATGATATTTTTAACATGATAATTAATCAATTTTTACTTCTTTGTAAAAATAGTGCGTTTTATGTTTCCATCTAAATATTGGGAATATCATTTAAATCATCTTTTGTTATTAATGCATGCTCTAATTCAGCTTCTGTCATGACTTCATTAGAAATCTAATTTTAGAAAAAAACTTACACTATCTTAAATAAATTCTTATACTATCAATTATTGATCTTTTGATTCCATTTATTATTATTCATTAACATTGATAGATGATGAATAATTTTCTTATTAAAAAATCAAATCATTAGGATCCAGTATAACTGACTATTCTGTTGTTGTTAATGCAAGAGTTAGACCTAATATTAATATGAATTGCAAATATTTCATGAAATTTAATTAATTATGTCTACATTCAAATAATATGTAGAAGACATCATCAAAAAAAAAGAACATAAAATATAAGATACACAAAAATGATAGAAGATCTTGAAATCTAGATAAATAAACTTATTTGATCAAAACAAATTAGATTACTAATATATTATTATATTTATTTCTAATAAAAGTCAAAAATCTTATAGTAAGACATTTAATAAATAATTCAATAGATGTGAATAATATATTGAAAAGATAACTAAAATTTCTCATTAACATTACTTTATGATAACCTTGTAAATTAAAATTTAGAAAAACAAATTTAATCCTCTTGTATCATATAGAATTCTATTCATACGTGGGAAAACTCTAAGCACTTAAACATATTACTTAAAGAAAGAACAGAAATTAGGAAATTCATAAAACCTTTAAATCGACACTTAATATAACTTGACTAACCAATAATTATTTCTAATTTATTATTCACATTATAATTTCAGAATGGTTCTTCAGTTTTCTGTTCCAAAAATCTGATAATTAAGATAGGTTTTATTTTTATTCTTCTTTGATGCTCAATTTCCTCATTTAACCTTTCACAATTATCACTCAAATTCAATGTTATTATTGTTTAGTGAGATGGTGTTGCCAAAAATCTACTTAATTTTTAATCCAAATACCTTTTTTTCCTTATTTTAGGAGGAACACTTATCTAAGTATCTTAGTTTTCAAACTATAGGTCTAACATATCTAGCCTCCTAAAGTTTGGAAAAATAATTTATGAATTTACATTTTCAATATCATATTAATATTAGATTAAATTCATTAAATAAGAATATTCAAATAATACCTCATAATTATAACATAATCTTTATTTATTATTATCCCATAAGAGAAATACTTTATATTTATAATCTCTATGATAGTTTATTTATTAATTATACTATATATAAAATTATTTCATTTTATTATCTAAAATTAAAAATTGCAAAAAAAAAGAAAAATCTTAGACTATTAGGATATTATCTCTAATTAAGGAAATAAATAATGATTTATTTTCTATCTCTGAATTTATCTCTAACCATTGTTATTTAAATGCATAACTTATAGAATGAAAGAAACAATAGAGATTAACTTCAATTTAATTGTATATATTCATAAAGGATATTATAATTAAGATTATCTATATAATGTATTATATTATTATAATTGGTTAAACTTGGTTTTATTTCTTTTTAGTAATCAATATTCTAATATAAATGAGTTCTAAGAAATATTGAAATATAAAAAGAAAAAACTGAGTAATTATTAATTCCTTAAGTATTATCATATAGGAAACATAGTTGATAAGGATTTGATTAATTTATAATTAATTATTTTACATTAAAGTTATAATCTTTATTCAAATTATTATATACAAGATCAATTATTTATATTGCATAAATTGAATATTAATAAACTAGTTAATTATTAAAATTAATTTTAATTTTATAATTCAAAATAAATTTAAATTGATTTAAACAAATCATTTGTATATCATAATATATATATTTCAATTATTTTTAATTTATTGCATTAAATAAAATTAAAAAAGTAATTGATAATTAGATTATTTTATTCTATTAGTAGTAAAATAACAATAAATTGCCCTCTCAAATACTTTAATTTAATTTATGGAGCCACTAAAGTAAGTAATAATAAGTATATTAAGTCTAAATAATTATATAAATTTTGAATAATTCATAAAGGACAATAATTTAAAAGTTATTAATATATATTTATTTTATGAATTGATTGAATATTCATTATTTATTTTAGTCAATCCAATCTTAATATGTAGCAAGTTGGCCTAATTTAATAGTTTAAGAATCCATTTATTTTTCTAATGCCATGAATTGATTGGAATTATTTTAAATTTCATTTACTTTAATAATCATATCTTAAATATTCTTTTCTAATTCAACCTAAAATATAAAGAATTATACTTTTTAAACTTCTAAACTCTTTTCTTAACCTAAAAGTTCAGCTAAACCTCTTTTCTCCGTAATAAATTCTAATTTTTCAGTTTCATTATTATCATTAATTAAAAACCATTATTTATTTTAATTGTCTGTGTAAACACAAAATATTCCTTTTTAAACACCTTAAACATATAATGATTCAGCTATTTGTTTATTAAATTAAAAAATACTATGTTTTTTATTATGCTAAGATTAATTCATTTAATTGTCTTATGGTTAAATCAATAATCCAAGACCATGTTTAACATTACAATCAAATTCACCATAAAAATCCTAATGTTATTATTTCAAATGTCCAAAACCATGTTTCATTCCTTCAAAAAAATAGCCACTAAAAACAGTATTATCAGGGAATTAAATTTGACATAGATGATCTAAATTATCTTATTTCCAATTTCCTTTAATAATAGTTCCATCAGAATAATGACATTCTCCTAATCCATCTCTTAATCCATCCTTAAATTATCCCACATATTTATAAAGTTATCTATTATATAATAATTAATAATAACGTTTATATTATGCCATATTTTAATTTTCTCTCATCCCAAATACCTTAATATGTTTAATTGTCTTTAGTTTTAAGAATTCCCTTTCCTTTAAATTCATTTTTTTAAACTTCTCCCCAAAAAGAATAATCATAATGAAAAAATGCATATCCATTACCAGCAGCTTATCCATTTCTATATGTTCCAAAGAATTTATAGAGTTGTTCTTAATCATTCTATCCTATAAATTAATTCAATTAATATATATACCTTTTTATAATGACTTCTTTTTAAGGGATAAAACTCCATCTCCCTCTCTAATAGAACCTTAACATCTTCCATAATACTCTCCATCGGCTATTTCATGTCTTTAATATGCAACAGGATCTAAATCAGGGAATTCGTTGGTACTAGAAATTATTAATAACATAAAGACATTTCTTAAGATATAAAGATTCTTAATCCTTTTATCTGATCAATATTAGCACTCTTCGTTTGATTCGGTTTTGGTTTAGGCTATATAGGAGGTGCTATATTAGACTTTATATGAATATTGATGGTACTATTTAGGAATGATCTAATTTAGACTTATCATTAGGTTTATGCACAGAATGAATAGATTGATTGTTTGGATTCTCTTGAATAGCATACAATTCAACATAATCTGATGCTAGTACTTAGCCCATTAAAATATAAATATAATTTATAGAAATTTAATAAATGTAAAAATATATATTTATATAAAAGAAATTTATTTTAGTAATTATTTTTATAAATATTCTCCTAATGAATTTGAACTCAGTTTTAAAACCAATACTTGAGGAAGAAGGAGGAACTACTGATACTCTTTACAAGAAGAAGCAATTACAAAAATAGGAATGGAATAAATTCTATGATACTATGGACATTGTTAATGTATTATTATTCAATTTATTATTAGGGTACTCCAATCTATTCAATAATGAATCATGAACCTATTGTATTATTAATTCATGGAGCTGGACATTGTGCTATGACTTTTGCTTTATTGTGTTAAGAATTAAAAACATTTTGTAGTTGTATTACATATGATTTGATGTAACATGGATAGTCTCTGAAAACAGAATCATTAGAAATGGATAATCTAATTAAAGAATGTGAGGATGTTATAGATTACATAAGATTGAATAATCCAAATACTAATATTCTTTTATTAGGACATAGTCTAGGAGCAGCAATTGCTTGTAAATTGAAACCAAAATCATTTATAAGAGGTCTTATTGTTATAGATATGATTGAAAGTAAAGCTATTGAAAGTATTAAATTGATGGAATAAGAATTGAGAAAGAGACCCTCTTAATTTTATTCATATTCTAGTGCAATAAGTTACCATTTGTCTAATAATTTAATTAAAAATCCTTAATCAGCTTAAATTACTGTTCCTCATTATTTAAATGATAATTTAGAATGGAAAGTAGATTTAATTTAAACTAAAAAATATTGGTAATAATGGTTTTAAGGAATTCAAAATGGTTTTGATAATTTCCCATATTCTAAATTATTATTTGTTGCTGAAATGAATAGATTATGTTCTATTTAATTCAAATAAAATAAATACACAATTCATCTTTTTGATAAATCTGGTCATTCTATGCATGAAGATCAACCTGAAAGAATGGCAAAACATATATCAGATTTCATTTTCTAAGAGAAAATTCCAATAAATTCTAAAGAAATAGAATAATTAAATAATTAAGGTGTATAAAACTTTGAATCTAAAGCTTTGTAATATGATAAATAATTGAAAAATATTATTTGATGTATTTGATATAGTTCTTTTAATGTAATATCTTTAAAGTATGAACTTATTTTTTTTGAATTTAAACTAAAATATATTTTACAATAAATTGTCTACATCAAAAAATTTATATTTTTATTTTATACAATTTATTTGACCAATTCTTTTAGACTTGAATATTTTTGTTTTCTATTTCCAAAACTTTTCATCAACATATTAGTTTTATGTAAATAATAAAACAATCTATAATTTTCGTAGAGTATTAGCATGTAAAATAATTTATATGATTATCAATTATTCAATTTAATAAAAATATTATCACAAAATTATAATGAAAAGTGATAAAGACCAGATTGATTAGATTATCAATCTATTTTATGGATCAAAAGTAATTGAAGAATTACCAGAAGAAGATAGTCAATTTGAACTAGTTATTTAATAACCTGATTAAACATTAATTTAAAAGATGCTTGTATAATAAATTTAGATTCATTAATTTAGGATGATAGTTTATAGAAGAGATAAGAGTTTGTTTAGAGTTCTGAATGCAAAGAGTATTCACAAATGCTTATAATTTCATAAATTCGAATGGATTTTACAAATGATGATCCATTTCTTAAACATTTAATGAATGTCGAAAAAGCAATTAAAAAGGCAATTAGAAACATTCTTTTACAACTATAGAAATTAGATAACAAATAATAATTTAAGAATGCCTGTGATAAATTAATAAAGATATTTTATTAAGATATTAATATTGGCTTTATAACATCAACAGGATAAATTAAATCTACTGCCTATGCTTTTATATCCAAATCTATAATTGAATTAATAAATAGAAAGAAAATTAATTTGCAATTTAAAAAGATTCCTTTAAAAATAACTTTAACATTTTTTGCTATAGATTCATTACAATAAATAAATCCAATACAAAAACAATATGATCCAAGAACTGCTTTCATAAGAAATAATAAATTTTTTAATGATTACTTAATCTTATCATAAACAAATCAAGATGAATTAAGAAGTGGAGTATCAATATTTTTTGTTTATCGTCCAGAAGATGATCAAATTTATGCTTTAAAAAGGGTATATTTAATTAATATTTTAGAGTAAATTATAAGCAACTCATCTTGATTTTTTCTCTGTATTCTCTACAACAGCTTCTAATGCCCCTATAACACCTGATATTAGAAAAATAAGAGAAGCCAAAATATTATCAAAATTAACTCACCCAAATATTCTAAGGTATTTTAATATTTCAATATTATAGACTATTTGCTTGGTGGATAGAATCAACTAATGATGGTTATTATCTTTACATGCAACTTGAATATTGTTCATTTCCAGGATATAAATATTAACCTACAGATTTACTCACATTTTCTTATTATTATTTAAATGTAATGTAGAATTAAGAAAAAATAAATAAAATAAAATCTATTCTTAATTAAATTTTAGATGGATTAGAATATATTCATTAAAGAGGTATAATCCATCGAGATTTAAAACCTGAAAATATATTTGTTACAATTAATGTCAAAGGAGATTTATAAGTAATTAATGTTTAAAATTAACTGGTTAGGTTGCATTGGCAGATTTTGATTAAGGAAAAGATGTTAGAGAAGAAAAACTATCAATTATTACTGATGAAAGATTACCTGAAGAAGAATTAAATTCTATAAAGAGTTAGAATACTATAACAACTGGCACTATTGGTTATTAAACTGCAAATTATAATAAAGATTCTCATTATGAAATGGCAGATGAATTTTATGCAATCGGAATCATTTTATTACATCTTGTTATCGCATTTCCAGGAGAACCCAAAAATAGAAATTTATATGCTAAAACTTTCGTGATGGCAGATTCAATTAAAGATATTTTATTATTATTCGATTCTTGGGCTAATAAATTTGTAAAAAATAAAAGTCCTGACTTTTCATTCACACATTATCAAAATGTAATGGAACTTGCCAAACTTCTTATAAGTTCAAGAAAGCTTACTCATGCAGATGTAAGAAAAATGATTAATGAATTATGAGTTAGCATTTTATGTAATCAAAATTAATTTTTATAATAATGATAACTACATTTGGAATTCCATTTTCAGAATATTAAGAATAAGCAAATAACTTACCAACCTTAGTAAACTTTGAATCAAAGTGTTTTTTCATTGATCATAAATATGTATTGCCATTTTTATGTAGCTCCCTATAGATTAAAGATTTATTCTTGAACTCATAACAGCTACTTAGTATAATCAAAAGTAAATATAAGTAAAGGCTCAATTAATATATAATACTTACATCAATATCCCTTAATTCTATTTTACATTATAAGATTGTGAATGTAATAAATTCCATGATTCTTTAGCTTCTGATTACATACCTATACATGAATTTATATAAGATGAAACTGAATAATAAAACTTCATAAAAGATGTAGAAATTTACATTAAATTTAGATAAATCCAGCTACAGGAATTGCTATGATAACAATGCATAATTGCTTATTATCTGAATTCATTCATTTTGTAAGTGAAGGGAAATCCTTTTTATTGACTTTGATTTCATATTACTTTTCTAAATTGCACATTTATATTAAAAAGTCAGAATATTAGGAATGAAATAGAATTATTATTATTATATATAGTAAATTAGAAAATTATATCATTTCATTTGAACTCCCCGATAGACATAAAATGCTCATCTTTCTTTTTATAAATTATCCAAACTATTTTAAACTGTATTTTTCATTAATTAAAGCTTATATACATTTTAGACAAAGACTATTATAAGTTTAATTATTATTTATGTAATATTGTGTATTAATCGATTTGATTTATAAGCTTCAAAGATATTCTTTGAAATTTTATTTACATTATTAGGTTTTCAATATTTCTCTATTGTAATTCTATTCTGATATCTGAAATTATCAAGAAACTAAGATTAATTTTCCATTACAAATAATTTATTCATAGTTATACAATTCTTAAATTTGAAAATTCAAATCTACTCTATTATTAGTAAAATATGAATATTTCTTAATATATTAATATTAATTTGGTTTTCTTATTAAATAAATATTTTTTTCATTTACATTTTTATCATAATGATTATTTCATTTAGAAATTATATGATAATCTTTTTAACGATTTTGATTAAATAATATTATTATGAAATTTAATTAAATTAATACAGTTTATTTAGATTCTTAAATGAAGTCATATAAACAAGTTAATTAATTTCAAAATTATATTAGTTAATCCTTTATTTTAATATTTTTTATACATTAATAAAAATAATATAAAAATTAGAAGTAATATCTCTTGATGAACAACATTATAGAAAACTCACTTAACTTTTGGCAATAAAGACTCAATAATTCATCATAAACATAAACAAATATTCTTTTAAAGAATAAATAAAGAACAATAGTAGACAGAGTAGTGATAGGATCAACTAAATATTGGAAATAAATTGCTGATGAATTTTCAGCTCAAAGTTCTACAAATAAATCTGTCTAAAGTTTGTCATCGTAATCTCATAATTAATAGATATATGATTGCTGAATTGTTATACAATAAATTATCAATAATGAAGACCATTTCTTTTTTGGATAGATATAATTATCATTTGTTTAAATTAATGAATTTTAAGATTAATTTCAATTTTCTTATTTATGTATAATAGCCTTCTATATGTATAATATCATAATCTTACCTAATATAATTTCAAAACAATTTATTTAAAATAAATCAATACAATAAACTGCTAAATTGAAGGGAGCTTTATTTTTTATCTTAAAAGTCCCTATTATTTACAATAACAGTATAAAAGTGATTAATTATTCTTCAAAAATTATTTATTTGAATAGCAGGATTTGTTTTATTTAAAAACTACATGCTCAAAGATATTATTGAAAGAAATCTAAGAAATCCTCTTATTACTTAAAAGGGAATTAATAAATAGATAATAGAAAACTAATTTAATAATAGTGTAAACCTAAAATTAATTTTTGGATCTACAATTATTAAGAATCTCTTTAAAAAAAAAGATTTAAAATACAAATATGCTATATAATCTTAGATTCTATAAGGTGAATCTCATGCTTTTATTTTCATAAAATATAAAGATAGACTGACTAATCATAAGATATCGTACCTATAGTTTAAACAGTTTAAAATAACCCTAGATCTAGTAAAATTAAAAATTTAAAATAATTATCATTTAAATTAGTTGATTGGAAATAGTCTTTGGAAAGAATAACTTAAGAAAGAGAAAGTTTTTTTCAAAAATTCGATTAAATTATATAATTTTCCAATAATTTTTTCTTACAGTTTAAATTCTTAAAATCTGCAACCAAAGTCGATTCATAATTAAGTTAAATCTACTTCTAGGACTAAAGATTGCAAATATATTATAATTAAACTTGTATATGAATTCTCATTTATTTTTAATTATGATACGATCCTTTATTTTTTCTTGACCACTTAAATGATTTTATCCTAATTTTGTATCCTATGTTGTTTGCTTCTGAACAATAATTGTTTGGGTTGTATTTCCTGTAGCGCTTTTAATAATTTTCATAGAACCGGTTTATAGCTAAAAATTTGATTCTTGAGTTGGTTGAGGTTTTTCTTAACCCAATACCAATACTCTTTTAACATTCTCTTATATTACAATCCTTGGAGTTTCTTCTTTCTTTTCAATTACAACTTCAACCTATTGAATAGTTGGTTATTTGGGAGGTTAAATATTTACAGATGGTATTTAATTTTATTAAGGTAAAGTATTCTAGACAGGAATACTTTCTAAGATTTAAATTTTTTCAGGTGTTTTAACTGGCTCTATAATTTCTATTTATTTTTCATGAGGAGACAAGGATACAGATTTGCTATAAAATTCATTTTCATACTCATATTTTCTCTTAGGTTTCAAATCTTCTTAAAGTTTAATATTTTTTGAATTGGGATTTTATGTTATTTTTATTTCAACTTATCTATTTTTTTAACTTTATGATGAAGAAGAACTTTTCCTTTTGACCTCTTATTTAATTATCTTATGCTTTCTATCAGATCTATCTTTTTCAACCCTTTTCTCTCTGTCTCTTCTATCATTTGAATAATTCTATTTATCTCTTGATCTATCCCTTGATCTTCTCCTCTTTTTATCATCATAATGATGAACATTCTTATCCTTTTATTAATAGTGTTCACCTTTTTTTTCATATCTATTACTTCTATATTTTTCTTTATCATATTATTTATCCTCATCTTTTTCTCTATATCTATCTTTCTCCTTTTATCTTTGCCTATCTTTTTCTCTCTCCAATTCTTTTTCTCTCTACTTTTCCCTTTCTCTCTCTTTCTCTTTCTCTCTTTCTTTTTCCTTTTCTCTTTCTTTCTCTCTTTCTCTTTCCCTTTCTCTTTCTCTTTCCCTTTCTCTTTCTCTTTCTCTTTCCCTTTCTTTTTCTCTTTCTCTTTCTCTTTCCCTTTCTTTTTCTTTTTCTCTTTCTCTTTCTCTTTCCCTTTCTTTTTCTCTCTATTTTTCCTTCTCTCTTTCTCTTTCTTTTTCTTTTTCTCTTTCTTTTTCTTTTTCTCTTTCCTTTTCTCTTTCTTTTTCTTTTTCTCTTTCTCTTTCTTTTTCTCTTTCTCTTTCTCTTTCTCTTTCTCTTTCCTTTTCTCTTTCTCTTTCTCTTTCTCTTTCCTTTTCTCTTTCCTTTTCTTTTTCTCTCTATTTTTCCTTCTCTCTTTCTCTTTCTCTTTCCATTTCTCTTTCTTTTGCCTTATCATTCTCTTTCAATCTATCATACTCTTTATCTTTTAATTTAATTTGCTCTTATTCATATTCAATTCTTTTATCTTTATCCCAATCTGAAGATTATCTAAGATTTATATTATCTGTCATTTTCTATAATTCTCTATCTCTCTATTCTCTTTAACCTTTCGCTCTTTCTCTCTCTCGTTATTCCCTTTACTATTTTTCTTTTTCCAATCTGTCTTTATCTTTAAATCCAACTTCACTCTGTACTTATTCTATATCTATTATGTATTTGTATACTGTCATCAACAAACTCTTTATGAAATTGCCATTTATTCTAATCATTTCTATTTTTTCTATCTTTACTTCTTCGATCCTCACTTTTTATATCTTAGCTTCTCTTGCTTTTTTCTCTACTTCTTCTATCTCTACTTCTTCTGCTTTTATTATGTCTATCTTAACTATTTCTATAGCTATCTTTTCTTTCATGTTATTCATGTTTTCTTTTATCTTATAATTTTCCTCTATCATCATTAGTGTCTTTGCTTGATTTTCTCTTATCATGTGATTTCTCTTTATCTTTATCTCTACTTCTGCTTCTACTTTAAACTTTTTTTCTTGATATCTATTCATCACTATTATTAGGATATTTTGGTAATGTTTGTTAATTGTATGATTTTGGTAATCGAATATCCTGCAAAGGTTAAGGTTTATAGGTTTTTTATTTTAAAAGAAGTGAATGAAGCTTAAGATTAGAATAAGTTAATACCTCTTCTGCATTTGATCCTGATAATTCTTAAACTTCTCTAGATTAATTCACCGGCAATGAGTTATTCAAATCATTTTTTATTTTTTAAGTCTTTTCATAGCTGAGCACTCCTTTAAGTGTCCAATCAACTTTGAAAAATGAATCCTAATTGCCTTTCAAATCACTTAGATTAATTTTTTAGTCTTCCTAATTTGTTAATAATAAGGAATACAGTTAAGAATTCAAATTCAATAGATTACGATTGTAAAATCCCAAAGGCTAGGAATGATTTTTCATCCGAACAACTTAGAAATATCCCTACATATTTGGACTTTTCCATAACACGATCAATTTGTTTATCAAATTTTTTTGGTATGAAAATGACTTTATTGTTTAAGCTTGAGTCAACTTAAGCTTTTAATTTGTATTTAACAATAAAGAATTTACTTTAAGGGAATTTAAAGATTTCTAATTAAGAGATATTGTTTACCTTCCATTATTAATATCAATAATAAAAATTATATATAAATCTATAATCTTATTCATTTAATATTATATATTACTTATTCAATTTCTTCTAACTTCGGCCTTTTAGTTGGATCATAATCCATCATTTTCATCAGTAGATTATAAAATTCTGGATACTATTCCATAACTTTTTAATGATCTGATTTGAAAATATTTAAATATTAAGCTTAATCTGGTCTATCTTTTAGTCTGGAATAATTTTTATTTTTATCTCTTAATAATATACATTATATAATATATCCTAATTGCCATATATCATATGATGCAGTATATTATTTTTAGGTTCCTTCAGGAGGTTGATAATCAGGAGTGCCTTCATAATAAGATTACAAGTTTAAATTCGATTTAATTGTTCTTTAAACTTAATCAGATCTATCAAAATCAATTAATACACATCTCATTTCTAAAATATTTTAATTTTCATTAAGGTATTCAAACATTATATTTTAGGGTTTTAAATCTCTATGAATAATTTATCTGGAGTGAAGACCCTTTAATGCTAATAACATTTATTTGATTAAATACAATAATTAAATTTTATCTAATTAAACTTTACCTATTTTGTTATTTAAGTCTTCTAAAGTTGCATGATAGAACCTCATAAATATTAATTATTCATCATAAATATTGTCATAACAAAACATCTTTGTACAATTTTCAGAATCATTAACCATTTCTAATAATTTGATTTCTCTATGTAAATAGAGTTTCAAATTTTCTTAACTATCATATTTTACCCATTTGACAACAATTGTATTTCTTTCAGAATTAATAAAATAAGGTTTCTCAATAAGATAAACCCTTGAATGGGATTTATTATATTTTGTATCCAAAATTTTTAAATTATAAAGGTGTGTTATAATCATTTTGTCAGAAATTCTTATTTGAGAATCATTTCTTAAATCTTCAAAAATGAGTTAATAAAGCTCTTTTATAATATCTTAGGTAGGGTCCTCTAATTAAAATATTTCATTCTTAAGATTAAAACCTAAAGTGTAAACTAAATGTAAATCAAATGCAATTACATAACTTAAATAGTATTTACTACGGTGTTTATTTCTAAATAATGTTATTTTATTGATCCTCCTCGAAAATAAATACGTTAGCATCTTCTTCTTCATTTTTATTCAAGTAAATCTGATCAATATTTAAGTTTTTCAAAAAGTTTTGTTTTCTTCTATCGCATTCCCACACCACTAACATTATCAATTATTTTACAAATTGTAACATGAAACATTACTTTTGATAAATATATTACATTTAGAAGTCTTCTTTTAATTCTCTATTCTAAACTCTCAACTTCAAATAAGGGTTCTTATTTTCTATTTAGTACACCTTTTAATAATATTGGACAAAGTTATCCATTTCTTACATAGTTCATAATTAATAGAATTATGAATAATATTTATAAATATATTTAATTATAGAATATTAGTATTTGTCTTTCTATCGTTTATTTAATGTATTTTCAATTATTATATAAGACATTATATGTAATGATAGATTGATCATTACAAATAATAATAATTAATGAAAATATTAATATATGCATGAATTATTGCTGTAATTCAATTAATTTTATAATTAGAAATGATATTTACATTAATTCTAATATCATAAAGAAAATGGTTTAAAAATTATTTATAATAAATATTATTATTTACATACTTTAACAATCATATAAATTTAGTTAATTTTCTTCTAAATATTAAAATTAATGATTACAATATAAGAATAATTATAATTCATAATTATGTCACTTAATTCAACCATTATAAGAAAACCATTTTATCAATCTTTTTTGTTCTTAAAATGATTTTATGGTTTAATAATTGATCTACTGTTGCTCTCTCTTCAGGTTTCAATTTTACACTATAATTTTATAAAATTAATTACCACATAGATATAAAATTTTTCATCTCAGCTGAAATCTTGGCTTGAACATTTTCAATATTAAATGTACTTATTTCATTAACCATATCTATAAATTAAGTTTTCTAAATTGGATGTTTTCCCATTAAACTTTCTGTTGTCAAAATACCAATAGACCATATATCAGAATCTTTGCCATACATTTCTCCATTCAATCTTTCAGGCTATTTTAATAATTAATACATACAGACATATAAACTGCTGTTCCAACATAAGTCTTTCTTTATTGCATTGTTTCTATAGTACCTGATATACCAAAATCTGTAATCTTAATTTCACCTTTCTTATTTACTAATATGTTTTATGGTTTAATGTCTCTATGAATAATTTTCTTTTTATTATGCAAATAATCAATTCCTAAAAGAATCTGATATAATAACAAGGCCATAACAGGTTCATTTAGATTTTTCACTTTTTTTATCAAAGTGTCTATAGATCCAACATCCATATACTCTAAAATGATGTGTAATGTTCCAGATTTATAAAATGCCCCGTAGCATTTTACAACATATGGTGAACTACATTCTAAAGCTAATTTTAATTCATCTGAAAGTTGCTTCAAATATTGTGGATCTGAAGCAACAGGAATTTTCTATATACTAATTATGGATACTTTCATTGCAAAATATTATCCTGTCACCTAATCTTATACTTTCTCTACCTGACCTGATGCACCTTAACCTAATTATCCAACTGTTACTAAATTTTCAAGTGATAAATTATGAGTTGATTCAGAGAGTGAAAAATCCCATTAATCATGTGTATGAGTAACTTTGAGTCCTTAACCATTTAGACGAAATTCTTTTAGAATGAGAGATCCATTCTCAGAACTAAATTCAAATTAAAATTATATACAGATTTAAAACAGGTTAGGCTTGTTCTGATTAAAGACTAATCTTTGCAACTTATGGTTTTTTTTTCTTTAAGTCAGGTGTTTGCATTTAGTAAATTTAAATTAAAAATATGCATAAAAGTTTTGATTTATTTATAATATTTTGTATATATATCTATTTTAATGAAATTTCAAAATTGAGAGTGATATTTAGAAAATTAAGTTAGATATAAATCTAATTCTCATATTTTATAATAAATATAATTTAAATGGTTCAATTTTAGTTAATAGAATTATGTAGAATAAATGTAATAGTAATGTTAAATTAAAAAAACAAAAAAAAGTCTATTAAGGAGATACAATAGTAATAGTAGGAGTAATTTATACAGAAACAACTAAAATTTAATATTGATTCAAGTTTTGTATTAATTGAAAAAATAAATTATTCAAAAAAGAATCATATATCTAGATGATAATTTCATATTTTATTAAAAAAATTAAATTGTAACAGAAAAAAAAAGGCTAAATTCAAAATTTATTTCATTAAAATAATCTATCAATATTAAGTTTATTGAACTAAAATTAAAATTAATTATTTATCTAATTTTTTATAGAATATTAGAATTCTTTTATATAAATAAATGCTTGATTAATTGAAGATTTTAAATACATGATATATTAATATATTCAAAATGATTCAATTATATTTTATTATTCTGTTCATTATATATAATTTATTCATTATTTACATTTGCATTTACTAAATTTTCAATCAATATTACCTATAGTAGTCACTAAATATGAAAGTCTTTGAAACTAATTACTATGATCAGTATAGAACTGCAAACAATAAAATATTCTTTATATCTGACCTAATTAAATCATAATATTAAATGTTCATTAAAAAGTAAATTAACAGCATATTACTCTCATAATAAGCTGTATAAATATTCATAATTTATCTTACTTATTAAAATTATTTGATTAAAATACTTCACAATGAATATAAATTGCTTTTTTTATTCTAAATTGACTGAATCAATCATTTTATAATATATCATTTATTTGAAGTAGTTAAGGAAGCAGACTAATGAATTTTGAAATATATATTTATTATATAACAAAAATCATCAAAATATCAAATCATTTAATTTAGCTATGAATCAAAAATATTGCTTTAAATCTTATTTCTCTTAACAATGTACTTAGTTTTGGGATAATACTAAAATTGATAAAACTCAAAAATACATAATGGAAAATCTTTACTATATTTAGACTCCTTTTGAAACTATACCTTGCAATCTGAAAGTGATAAAAAAAAACCTTGTGATGGAGTAGGATGATGTATAATATATAATTATAATAAATAGAGATAGTATAGTACAAATGTAGAAAATGCAGGATTGGAATTAATAACAAGTGATTTCAATAATGATTAGGGAGTAAGAATAACAAAAGGAAATTATACTTTTGAATTTTTTGGTAAAATAAAATCTATATTTGATCAACTGAAAAAGACAAGCATCTAGTTTAATTTCACACAAAGGTATACAATAAAAAAAATGATTGCAAAGGGTACATTCGCTACAGTAATAAATTATGTTTAATATTAGATATATTTGGCAGAGTGCAGATTTACTTAAAATGAATATGCAGTGAAATGTTTTGAAAAACGACACATTTCTAATGAGAAAGACAGAAAGAATTTAACAAAAGAAATGTAGATACTTCGTTTAATGAATCATAACTAATTATTAACTATATATGAAGTTTTCGAAAACTCAAATTACATATATTTCATTTAAGAATTATTAAAAGGTGGAGATTTACATGATTATCTGGAGAGAAGTGAGAAATTAAGTGAATTAAAGGTTTCTCAAATAATTTATAATTTATTGAATGGAATATAGTATATGCATTCTTAAGGAATACTTCATAGAGATATTAAGCCAGAAAATTTGATTTTAAGATAAAAGAACAATTTAAATGATATAGTTATAGGAGATTTTGGACTTGCAGATTTTTATAAATTTGATGGGAACTATTTATATAGAAGATGTGGAACACCAGGATATGTTGCTCCTGAAATACTTCGAGGATAACCATATGATTATAAGGTAGATATTTACAGTATTGGTGTTCTATTATACATATTATTATCTGGTAAGAGACCATTTGTTGGTAAGAATAATTAACAAACTGTTAAATTGAATGAGATAGGAGATATTAATTATGATGATATTGATTGTAGTTAAGAAGCATTGTCTTTGATGAAAAAGATGTTAGATTCATAACCAGAAAATAGAATCTCGATTATTTCAGCAAAATAGCATCCTTTTTTTATTAATGCTTAAAAACGAGATACTCAAAAATCAAAGTTAACTTTAAAGTTAGATGTTAAAAGTATATAACAATAAGACCAATTTTCAGTATCACCAATTTTGACTTCTAGACCTTTAAATAGACATTCAATGATAAATAATTTTACTATTCATACTCCACGATAATTGCCTAGATTAAGTCATGATGTAAAAACAATTATAAAAACAGAATAAAATGAAATACATAGATCAACTGTATCTCGTCAAAGTCACAGTAGAGCAAATTTAAGATTAAACAATTAATTCAATAATCTAAATATTTTTGTATGAATAATAATAATAATATTTGAAAATTGAATAAATTTTTAGTAAATGCTTTTAATTTATAGTTATTATTATTATTATATTTTAAAATCATAAAAATAAAATAATTTTTTATCATAATAATAATTCTTCACTTTACTTTTATTTCTATAATATATATACTATAAGATATATACATAATTTAAGATCTTTTGTCTTTAATAAGATCTTTGTATGATTGTTAATTAGTAAATTTGGTTTTAATTAATTTATTTATTATTTTAGACAAATTATGTTGATATAGATTAATAAAATAATCAAATCACTCATCATTGGTCTTTATTAGGAACAATCGCTAACATTAAGCATAATCCATCTCCTCCTCCAATAACACATTTATTAGATGTGTTTGCAAAATCCATAGTGTATAATCCTAAATTTAAGTAAATATAATTAAAACCTTTATTAAATCCACCCAATTACATGGCTTCCTTATAGGATCCTTTAATTCTATCAAACATCTTAAATTCATTAGTTCCATGAGCTACTCCTCCAACACAATATCCTTTTCCTTTTCCAAACTAAGATCCATATATAAATGCACCAGCTGCATCCACCTTCTCATCCCATTTTATATTTTCAATCAATTTTAAAGTACCCAAATCCCATATTTATAATTATTCACTCATTCTATTTGCCCCTGTCAAAATAGTACCTTCTCTAATATCGATTGTGTCACCTGCAATCTTAGGGCCAACAATACATCCAGCTTGAGATTTTTGTCTTAAATCCTTTAATATCATTTATAGAACTACCCATATAACTAAATTCTAATCCCAACCACCACTGATAACTAAATTTTTTTCATAAGGTACAATTTTAACACTGAATAATTTATTATTGTGACCAGGTTAAACCCATTATATAGCTTCTAAAGTAGCTTATAAAGTTTATGCCTCAATATCATAGACTCTAACCTAAAAATACTGAAGAACTTCATTACTTTACAATCTTTTCCACAAGTTGCTAATTAGTTTTTTAAAGCATCTATGCAATAAACTTCATTATCATCTTCTTCCTTAAATTAATAGATAGTAGAATCAGTTTTCACATTTTTATACATTATGGTACCTAATTTAGATATATGTTTATACCATCAGTGTTTGCTGAAATTAAGACTTGTCTCATTTTTGTAGATTTTTCACTCGAAAACCATCTATTTATAGTTTTAAATTAAACCTTAGAGCAGTACATGGCAATTTCATATTTGATTTAGAACTGAGATATGTATAAAATGCTGTCCTTTCACCTAAGATTCAATTAAATAGTACTTCTAGTTAGATCATAAACACAAACTTATCCATTTGAACATCCCAAAGCTAACATTATGTCATCCTTATCAAATCTTGAAGAATGTATTTCAGAATCTGATTTGAAATATCCTTTAAGAAATAGACGTGATTATGGGTCTTTAATTCTATTAGATAGTTTGATTAATGTACTAAACATTTAAATTGAACTTAGTCTTTAGCTCTTAAGTGATTGTATCGTTTCTATTGTAATCCATAAAATTTTAATATGAATTTTTTTATCATATCAACTCTTGCATTAATTTCTTATCTAACATTAGATATAATCTTCGATGATTATTTGTGGATGAGAAACAATGATTTTACAATAATTCTATAGAATAACACATTTCCAGGAGAAAAATTATTATTTTAGTTTTTTTCCTATGTTATTCAACTACCAATATTGATTGGAGGATTATAGTTTATGTTATCTAAAAAAAAGGTAGAATCTATTTTATACATCTTTTTATGCATATTTGGATTTACAAGTAATGGTCTATTGAAAAATGCTTATCATTAACCTAGACCATATTGGGTAGAAGATGAAATCATAGGGTATGTAAAATAATTATGATACTTCAGTATTGGATGTAATATGGAATTTGGTAAACCTTCTGGTCATGCTTAAACTTCAGTCATAATATATTTCTCATACTTATTCATTTTTTATCCTTCAACTTTTAGATTGAATAAATTCAAAGTCACAGACAATGAAGACAGAAATAATGATGAAGAGTCACAATTTAGTAATGGATTAGTAGCATTATTAAATGTCTTTGCTTTTTTATGTATAATTATGACTGGACTCTCAAGAGTATTCCTTGGAGTTCATTCAATTGGATAAGTTACCTTGGGATGGATATATGGAGTTTATATTGTTTTAAATTATCAGATTTATTGTCATGAATTCTTATTGCAGTACTAATTCTTTATAATTAAGCTACATTAAAAATCAATTGTAAATAAAAAATGATGATGATGTTAAATTTTAAAGAATGTCAATTTTCATATCTGCAATTTTCATTTTCATTATAATAATTGATGTTACTTTGCTTGAATTGAATAGGAAAATGTTTAATCAAAATGAAGAAGAGATTAACAATTGGTTACTCAAAATTACTTAATGTTAAAACAAAGAAATAGGTAAATATACTAAAGATCATACAAATGTACTATATAATGCTTGTTTCTTACATGGAACATTATTCTCATTTATATTTTCATTTATTTTAGGATGCTTTTTTAGTCAAGGAAGTTTTAATTCATTAGAGTACTAAAATTAAATGGAATATTAAACTGTAAATTTTAAGATATGTAGATTAATGTTCTTTTTGCCTATGCTATTACCTTTACCATTATTGTTAATTTAAACATATAATGTTTATATAACAGCTTTTCTTATAGTATTATATATCATAATCTAGTTTATACCAGTTATTTTTATTGAATCTTGGTACATGACAATTATGTATCCAATTTTATTGAAAAAATATAAATATTAAATCAAAGGAGAGTTTCTGGAATCAAAAATAGGTTATTATGAGTAATTATCTTAAAGTTGAGGAAATGGAATTGACATTATTTTGATATCAATATATACGTTGTTAATATATGAATCCTTATTATTTATTATATCTTTTAATAAAACAAATAGTATTAATAATCAGAATTTTGGAATCTCTTTAAGTAAATTAATAATTTATTATGATATTGTTAAACTAATTAATTTACTTAATTAAATATTTTATAAGGATAAGGAAATGATGAATAATCAAGTATTTTTATTAAATTGAAAAATTAAATAAATTCATTGTCATTTATATAATAGAATTATAGTATTTTTGAAAGATAATGAGATAAAGAAATCTTTACTGAATATTATTACTATGAAATTTGAAGTAAAATTAGCAAATATATTTGAAAAAAATCTTATTGCTTACTTTTAAGAAAGAATGTAATTAGAATTGAAGTAATTGTAATTTATTATTTATATGATTTTGTTTATAAAAGTGAGAATATAAGCTTGAATATTATAATTAGATATTTTTAAATTATTTGGGATATATTTAGTTAGTAGTACGAATTCATTTCAAGCGCATTACTTAAAGAAACAAAATCCATTGGCATCATTTTTTTAATCATTTCCACCATTTTTACTCTAAAATTATGGTAGATTTAAATACCTTCTTGTTGTTACTTAAACTATTACTATAAGAGGTTCTTTGTTTAATTGAGGAATCTTATAAGTTGACTTATTATTATTGAGTTTGATTAGATTGATTGATTTGATTTGTTTGATTGTTTGTTGGAGCAAATGTTATTTATTTTTCGAATTGTTATTAATTTTGGTTTAAAACTAATGCAAATACTATTGCACCAGTATCAATGAGTTATTATTCATTATCCAAAGCTAAATAATATGAATTTGATTACCTGGTAAATCATCTTTTGGTTTGCCATTCTTTTTTGCTACTTTCAATTTAAAACGATCTGTCTAACCTGAAAATTAAAAAGCTAATTATTATTTAGAATATATATACTGGAATCTTGTATTTTGATTTAATCAATAGTAAAATCTATACAGTCGCCAACAGTGAAAATGCTGGGTAATTCAAGTACAATTTATTTAAGGTCTTCTTCTCCAGACTTTTAATAATAGATTGCATATTTTTTATTGTATTATGCTTGATTACCCTAATTATGTATAATAAATATTAGGATACTTGTTAATTATCTTGTTGTTTAAGATTCATATTATAATTAATATTATATTAAAAATAAATTTAACAATTTAGATGTCTTATAAGTGTTTTAAATATATTATTATAGAAGTTAATATTATTTATGTAAATATTCATTGTGTAATTGGAATTGTATATAATAATACAATTATTTAATATAAATGGGTTTGAGATAATTGGATTTTTTTAGAAAATTAAATACTGATATTGGTGATACTTCATCATCTTTAGGAGGATTCTTAACCATGATAGCATTTGCAGTAAGCTTTTAATATATTTCTTGATAGTTGGTTACTATTTTAACAATGAATGAATGTAGATTATTCTTTAGCACAGAATTAAACTATTAAACTGTGATTGACAATGACACTGAATAATTTATCAAAGTTTATTTAGATATGATTGTTGGAGCTCCATGTATGGTGTTGTCATTGGATTAATAAGATGAAGTAGGAGTACACGTAATGGATGTTTCTGGTACATTGAAAAAGATATCTCTTGATAAAGATAGACATGTGTTGCCCTCAGTAATTAAACAATAATATTCATATAAAGATTGATAATAATGAAAGACCTAATTATAGAGGAAGTGAATAAGAATTAATAGATGCAATTGAAGCAATCAATCAAGGAGACTAATGTTAATTGAAAGGATTTTTCTAAGTAAATAAGGTTCCAGGTAATTTCCATGTGAGTTATCATGCACATCATCATTTAATATAAAGAATTCATCAAAGAGATTTGTAAACTTATAGAAAACTTAAATTGGATCATTCAATATATGAATTAAGATTTGGAGAGATCTCTACCTCTTCTAAAATGAAGAAATATCCTAAATCTTTATAGAAATTTTAATCTTCATGGAAATCAATAGCTAAATAAGCTCCAGAAGGAGAAAAACAAGATTATGAATATTATATTAATGCATTGCCAGTTAGATTTTATGATGAGAATGAACGAAATTATCAAACTCTTTATAAATATTCCATAAATGAAGCATAAATGACAAGAACATTTACAGAAATTGATTCAATCTATTTTAAATATCAAATTAGTCCAGTTAATATGGTCTATTCAATTTAAAAGAAATCTGTATATCATTTTATTGTTCAACTATTGGCTATTGTAGGTGGAGTATTTGCAGTTATAGGAATCCTCAATTCAATTATATAAAAAGCAATTTGAGTTTATATCATTAAATATTCATAAATATATTAAATTTTAAATTTATATATGAATGTTATACATACATATAATCATCATTCATTATACATTTCTTATAATTAATTTGGTCTTGGAGGTCTATAATTATTATTTTGTTTAATATCTGCAACAACATCATCAAAATCAGTAGTCTGATATTTTTTGGTAGTATCTTTAGAGAGTTTTCTATTTATCCCAGAATTTTTATATTTTGTTATATCATGTACTGAACTTCCTTTCATTTTCATAATAGGAATAGGTTGCATTTAAGCTTCCTTTTCAATACATTCATCATCATGAAAAGAAAAAGGAGAATTAAATATGAAATTTTTCTTTTATAATGGTGATAATATTTTTATAATAGATGAATGTTTTCTTGAAAGTGAATTAGCACTATTAATAGTATTAATAAGAGTTATTTCTTAAACACCAAAATATTCATGTTTTAAAATTGAATTTGAATCAATTCTTAATGTAGGATCAATTTGAAGCATTAATTTTAATAAATTTATTGCTTATTTTGAAATTTTTGGATTACCATTTAATAAATCAAAATTTGTAATACATTTAGCATTATTTTCTAAAATCTCATCATGATTTGATCCTTTGAATAAATCATTCTATGTTAACCTTATAATAATAATTAAATATATATACATCTTATAGAATATAACTCCTAATGAAAATATATCACATTTTTCATTATATTCATTAATTTTAGTATCAAGATTTAAAATCTCAGGAGCAATATAACCAGGTGTACCACATTTAGATCTGCCTGAATCTTTTGTTGTTAAACCAAAATCAATGAGTTTCAATTAATATATACTATCACTAAACATAATATTTTCTGGTTTTAAATCTCTATGCATATATCCTTTTTCATGCATAAAATTTACAACTGTAACTAATTATTTAAATATGATATGGATATCTTCATCATTTAAATCATTTAGAATATCAATAAATTCAAGATCATAATATTACATTACCATATAATAAGATACATCACCTTCAAACACTTCCAATATTTCTGCTATATTTTAATGTTTCAAAGAAACCATAGCTTTTACTTCTTCAAACAATCCTTACTAACATCATAACACATATTAATTACTCTACCAATTTATTCATCTACTTAAGCTTTGTCTAAACATTTACAAGCATAATATTCATAACTTTTTATTTTACTTTGTAATAAGTAAACATTTGAAAATGTTCCTTATCCAATTTATTATAATGGATTATATAATGTATTTACCCCTTTAAACACCACTCTTGCACCTAAAATTTATTTTANTACATTTCTTATAATTAATTTGGTCTTGGAGGTCTATAATTATTATTTTGTTTAATATCTGCAACAACATCATCAAAATCAGTAGTCTGATATTTTTTGGTAGTATCTTTAGAGAGTTTTCTATTTATCCCAGAATTTTTATATTTTGTTATATCATGTACTGAACTTCCTTTCATTTTCATAATAGGAATAGGTTGCATTTAAGCTTCCTTTTCAATACATTCATCATCATGAAAAGAAAAAGGAGAATTAAATATGAAATTTTTCTTTTATAATGGTGATAATATTTTTATAATAGATGAATGTTTTCTTGAAAGTGAATTAGCACTATTAATAGTATTAATAAGAGTTATTTCTTAAACACCAAAATATTCATGTTTTAAAATTGAATTTGAATCAATTCTTAATGTAGGATCAATTTGAAGCATTAATTTTAATAAATTTATTGCTTATTTTGAAATTTTTGGATTACCATTTAATAAATCAAAATTTGTAATACATTTAGCATTATTTTCTAAAATCTCATCATGATTTGATCCTTTGAATAAATCATTCTATGTTAACCTTATAATAATAATTAAATATATATACATCTTATAGAATATAACTCCTAATGAAAATATATCACATTTTTCATTATATTCATTAATTTTAGTATCAAGATTTAAAATCTCAGGAGCAATATAACCAGGTGTACCACATTTAGATCTGCCTGAATCTTTTGTTGTTAAACCAAAATCAATGAGTTTCAATTAATATATACTATCACTAAACATAATATTTTCTGGTTTTAAATCTCTATGCATATATCCTTTTTCATGCATAAAATTTACAACTGTAACTAATTATTTAAATATGATATGGATATCTTCATCATTTAAATCATTTAGAATATCAATAAATTCAAGATCATAATATTACATTACCATATAATAAGATACATCACCTTCAAACACTTCCAATATTTCTGCTATATTTTAATGTTTCAAAGAAACCATAGCTTTTACTTCTTCAAACAATCCTTACTAACATCATAACACATATTAATTACTCTACCAATTTATTCATCTACTTAAGCTTTGTCTAAACATTTACAAGCATAATATTCATAACTTTTTATTTTACTTTGTAATAAGTAAACATTTGAAAATGTTCCTTATCCAATTTATTATAATGGATTATATAATGTATTTACCCCTTTAAACACCACTCTTGCACCTAAAATTTATTTTAAGTTAATTAAATTTTCATTATCAGCGTAATACCAGTGATGTTTATTTGTTATTAATCCTATAGCTTAGAGTTATTTATTCTTAACTTTAAAATCAATAAACAAATTATAATTTATGTCCAATTCATTTCTCTTATTAGGCAAGTCTGAAATGTTTGTAATTATAATTTTATCAGAAATAACTTCTATTATACATAATTTATTTCCCAATAACTTATGTCTATAGCAATTTATTTTGAAGCTAGATTCCATTTTAGTTCTAATTGAATTAAATTTAATTTATACAAGTAATTTTGTTTATATCATATTAGATAATTATATATATATATATTATGTATTTATATTTGTATTGTGAAGGATATTAATGAATTTTTTAAACATTAGTTAATACTTGTTATTTATTTAAAATATTTTATACTTTTATAAAGAAGATTTTAAACACAAAAAAAGAATTTTATCAAAGAGGGTTATCATTATAATGATTGAAGAGTTCAGTCATTATTTTTTCTGAAAATGGCTTAATTCTATTGAGTGAACATTTTAACTATTCTTCATTTACTTTTGTATGGAATGCTAAAAATTTTGTATTTAAGCCACCTTGTTTATAGAATATAATATCAGCAGCAATTTTTATTGTTATTGCAATTTAAATGTTTATGTTTAACTTGCCAATCAAATAAACTAGTTGTTTTTTTAAAGTTTCACATACTTTAGAAACTTAATCACCAAAACCCATTTTTTAACAGATATGAGAAAAATTTAAGTTTTACTATTATTCAATGTATTTAATGACGTATTCGACTTTTTTTTCAATAGGAGGCAATTTTCTATTTAATTCTTTTAGACAGAAAAAAATCACAGCTTTTGCTGAAGTGAGAGTATTTTATAGTGGAATTATTTAAATGATTTTAGTTGCTTTCTTTTCGATCTCAAAATCCAAATTCATTTTAAAAATTAAATGCTGAACTTCTTCTAATAAAGACATTTCCATCTTTGGAGTTAAACATTCATCATTAAATTTTGGGACTGGAGGTCTGATATGAGTCATAAGTAATTTAATTATTGAATAATCTATAATTACATTTATGTTTTTAATTGATGACTCAATTATTGATGCACAAAAGCATTCTACATTATTTAATATATAAAAAATAATTTATATACAATGCCAAATATTTGTTCAAGTAAATCTATATTAAATATATAAATAATTCTTAATACTTCTTAAATCTATCCTAATATATATAAATTTTAGAATTATTATAAAATATAGACGACTTGAATTAATTTTGAAATATTGAATTTATATTTGATAATTTAAATAAGGTTAATGATATGAATTGAATATATTTTATTGTAAAGTGATTAACAAAATTAAAATATACATTTATGTTAACTGAATTATACATATATATATATATAAATGGAAATAAAGAATTAAGAAAAATCAAAGATCTCATAAATTTATATTTCTCACATAATTGAACAACTTTCACAACAACAACATTTCTTAGTTTAAGGTTTAATAATTCTATTTGTTCCAAATAATTAATTTTTTTCATAATCAATTTCCCATTTAATTATTCTTTATCCATCATTAGTTATCAAATATCCACGATCTCTTATCCAATTACAATAATAAAATGTTTATTGCATTTCATTATTGTATAGATGTCCAGTATCTTATTAAATTGATTATAAATCATAAATTATTATTTCTTTTTCAGTTGATACAAATAAACATTTTTCACTTAAATTAATTAAGGATAATACACATCCAGTTTATATAGATAAAGTTTATTTAATTTCAAGTTTCATTCCATGTTCTTTCTATAAATAAGAGATATTCAATATTAAAATTTCATTTAATTTTTATCCATTAACTACAATTTAAGTATCATTTAATAATTCTACATGTTATGCTATATAATCTAATTTTAAATAAGAACTAAAAAAAAATAATTAATATAAATTATACAATTAATTGCTAAACAAAAATCTAACACTTAAAATTCTAGAATAATCAGATGTTATCAATAACTAATTTAATTTATCAAAATATATTAAATTAATTTATGCTGTATGATCCTTTAATGTATTTAATACTTTAAAAGTTTTATCAAATTATAAAACTTACACTTATCCATTCCCAAGACCAATTAATACATTTGCTTCTCTCATTTAACAAATTACATTAATTTATTATGATGCTTAAGGTAAACTAAATGGTTAAGATATATCATCATCTAATACTTATATTGTATTATTTTCAAATAATCCTATAATCTTTCTTGGTTATTCAGTAAAACATACACTTTTTAAATCTAAAATTAAAAATAGATATAAATACTTTATATTTATTTTTTATAAATGATTTATCCATCAAAATTTATTTAAATTAAGTAATTATCACTAAAAACAATAATACTTTGATCATCTGTAATTTATCCTTTTGTTATTTCATTCAATTCTAAACAATAAATTTAATTTATTTTTCTTAATTTAATAGATTATGATTTATTTGTAATAGTTTTTTCATAAGGTATATGTAAAGCATAATGTTTTTCTCTATTTTAAAGACTTCCTCCTTAATTCTATTCTAAACTTCCATTAATTTTATCTACTCCATTAAAACAATTTATTGCCTATTACCAAGTAAATCTAGATTTCTCATCATAATTTAACATTCCTGTTAATAATTCTTTGATTTTATCATGATAAATTTATTATAATAAATTTGGAACTTTGTTTTATTTTAAATCATTTAATCCAGCAATATCTTGATCTTATAATAATAAATAAGTTTATATCATTGTAACTCCTAATGAAAATACATCGGATTTCTCTAAATTATGTCTTGTAAGATATTGTAAAATATTACTTAACATCATTGTATTAGCCATTGATGTAAGCTTCCCATAATTTTGGTGATAAATAAAGTGGTGTACCAACTAAAGTATTTTTAAAATTAGTTTTAAAGTGTTCCAAAGCTTTACTAACACCAAAATCAGCTATTCTTGCTATAATTTTTTCATTTTCTTTATCATATAATATATTCTCTGGCTTAATATCTCTATGATAAAGTTCTTTTTGTTATAAAAAAAGAAAAGCTTATAATAATTGATTAACAATATTTAAGAAACTTAATTCTATAAATTTTGAATGCAAAAATACCACTAAAAGTTTTACGACTTGCTTTTATTTCATCCTCTTTTAAATCTTTCAAACTACCTTTAGCCAATTTCATTTAAAAAACTAAAAAATATTTTTAAACTGGAATAGTTTCAGACCAAGCATAGATTTTATCAAAATAAATTATATTTGGATGAATATTAATTTGTCTATTCAATTAAACCTCTTTTAAAGCTTAATCATATGATTTTTTACTAACATAAAAAAGAGAACTTTACTTAATGCATTAGACTATTTTTACTGCACAACTTTAAGAAGGATTTGATTTAAATGTCATTTTATAAACTTATCCATATGATCCTGATCCTAATAAAATTTAATTGGCAGTATCAAAATCATTTTAATAATCTTCTGCATTTGGAAAACATAAAGCATCAAGACTATCTCCATCTTTTTTACTCATTTAATATATAAAAATATTAATTAATGAATAATAAAGTACGTATAGGAATAATGTCTACAGCTGAAATAGCACATAAAGTATGTTTAGCTATAAATTGTTCTGAATAAGCAGAAGTATATTGTGTAGCTAGTCGATCTTTAGAAAAAGCAAGATAATGGGCTGATGCTCATAACATTAAAATTGCTTATGGTACATATGATGAATTGTTGGATGATCCAAATGTAGATGGAGTATATATACCATTACCAACATCATTAAAAAAAGAATGGGCAATTAAAGCTGCCAATAAGAAAAAACATGTATTAGTTGAAAAACCATTACCTGGTGCTGATTCATCTTAATGTTTGGAAGAAATGATTAAATGTTGTGAAGATAATGGAGTTTAATTTTTAGATGGAACTATGTGGTTGCATTCCTTAAGAACTTAGATTGTTAAATAAAAGAAATAAGAATTAGGAAAAATCTCTAAAGTGATTGCTGCATTTACATTCAAAGCTCCAAATGAAGAATGGCTACATGGAGGAAATGGAAGAACAAATAAAAATTAAGAACCTTAAGGTTGTTTAGGTGATTAAGGATGGTATCCTGTAGGAGCTATACTTTTTGCATTTGATTATGAATTACCATAATTTGTTTAATGTCTTTAATACAAATTAAATAAGGTTGATACAATAATTGAATATTCTGGATTCATAGAATTTTCAAATTAAAGATATGCATATTTTGATTGTGGAGTAACTTCTCCTCATAGATCATTTGTTGATATAGTATGTGAAAATGGATAAATTAGAATAGATGATTTAGTTGGAGGATTTGGTAGAACAGGAAATTTTAATGCATATTTTGAAAATTTTGTTGGAAGTGAAAGATTTTTTGTAGATGATCTTTAAGGAAAAGAAGAAGTTATTAAAGTTGAAGGATCAAATCATACAGTAAAAATGATTGATACATTTGCTAATATTATTAAATCTAAAAAGAATGATCATTAATGGCATCATAGAAGTTTAACTACTCATAAGGTTTTGACAGCATTATTCAAAGCAACTTAAAAAGTTGGAGAGAAAGTATAAATCTTATAATGATGAGATTTATAAATATATATTAAATAAATCAATAAATATTGTATACTTATTTTCTTTCATATTCAAAGAAATTATCTGTATTAAATTCAGATACACTTAATCTATCTTAATTTTATTGAAGTTTCACTTTTCTTAAATGTTATTTACATTCTATAACAAATTCTTTACATTCTTTTTTAAAGCTTTTTAATTTTTATTGATTAATAGTTAATTTATTTAACATTCCAAAAAATTTAATTTGTTTACCATTTAAACATAATAATTTATAGATCTCAAATAAATCAAATATTTATTCATTGTTCTAACTTTTAAAATCAATAATTAATTCTTTTAAATAATCAATCTATTAACTTTAGAATTATTCGAGATCTTTAAGTATAAGAGCAAAACAAAAATCTAATTTTGGACATTTCTATCCTTCTATTATACGTAATCCCATTGAACAAATATTTTATATAACATATAATTCAATTATTGGTATTCCACTTGTTTAATAATGGCATATTCTTTTTAAATATGTGTAGTATAATTGTAACATAGATTAATATGATAAAGGTTCTCTTATTATATGTCTTTCAGTTTATTATTTCTCTGAATAACTTTATAAACAATCCATTCTTTTTGTGTGTACTTTTTATTATTTTGACTCTGTTTAAAAATGATGATGATTCATATCTGTCTATTACTGAGAAGATCTTAAAGATGAAAATTAACTACTTCTTGCAAAAGTGCTAGAAGAACTCATTTCTGTTGATAACCTTTCCATAATAAAACTATTATTCAAAACATTAGTAATCCAATAAATATTACATTCTTAAAATATTTGTACATCAAGAGTATTTTTATGAATCATGAAGTGAAATACACATAATAACTTAATTACTTATTCAGGGAACACTATATTAGTAATATCTGATTTAGATAAGTAATTAAAGACGTTTTAAATACCTACAAAAATATTAAAAATTAAATAACCTGCTTTTTCTAATTAAACAGCACTTTCAGCTAGATTTAAATTGTTCATATTCATAATCTTTGATATTGTTTGACTAATCATTAAGAACTTTATAATTAATTATTAAAAATTGATAATTATAATTCTAAATATATGTAATTTTTATAAAACTGAAATTGTCTTAAACTTAATATTCTTAAGATATCACAAAAAAAGATTAATTTATATAATCATTATTTAATTACTATTACAAAATTAAATATCTTATTCATTATATAAAATAATATAATAAATAGATTATCTTAAATATTGTTAAGTTTTATCCTTTGTTGAATCATTTTGTACTCAAAATAACTATCATATCATTAATTATTATTTTTATTATTAATACAATTATTATTTTAATATAAATATTATTTGTAAATGAATAAGTCTAACTATTATTATTATACTAATGATTCAAATGAACTTCTCAGAAGAGACAGGTAATAAGAATATTATCTATTATTATAGAGACTTTTTAATACATTAATAAAAATTAGAAGAAATAAAACGATCAAAAAGTGCTATAGGATGCAATAGAAGAACTAAATCAATAAAATTACCAAAATCAATTAATATTAAAGATGAAATGAAATATGCTGAAATTTAACATAATAATTAATTATTGGCTACAAATTTAGCTAGAATACATTCAAGACCATCTTAGCTACTTCAAAAAACTTAAAATTAATAAATTTCATTGAAATCTTCTTAATCAAAAGAAAAATTAAATTAACATACATTTAAAATATTGGATGAAAATATCAATTTATGCAAAAGAATATTAGATTAACAAAGTTAAATTGATTTTAAATAAAAATTATAGGAATACAAACAACATAAAAAAATTAAATAAAGACTTTTAAAAGTTAAAAGATAATTTGAATAATAAGAAAAAATAGGTTTTGATTAAAGATTTAAATCAAAATCTTTTTGTTAAGTTTAGATGAATAAAATTTGAATTAATTTTAATTTAAAGTAGTACTTTAATTTATGATTTATATTCAATTTTGCAGCGAAAATTTATCGCCATATTAAGCTTTAAGATTAATATTCAGCATTTTTAATCTCTCCTTTTTTAATTCAATAGGCTCTTAATTATTCTAAAAGTTTTTAACATAAGGTGATTTGTGAACCATACCTGGCAAAAGAATCTTACTGCCAAAATATGGCATTGATTTTTAATTTTTTTTGCCACTTACAACTCTTTCAAATCTTTATTATTGATATTCTTAATGAAGTTTTTTAAGTTTTCTAAGACTAACTGAATTTTGTAGATCTCCAGAACTTTTATTCACACTTTCTCTTCCACTCCCTATATCTAATGATCTGTTCACATATTTTCCAAGAGCAGATTTTCTAGAAGAACTTGGAGGACGATATGATGGAGGTCTGTTCAATCTAGTTGTATATCTTTGAGCCATTCGATATTTTAAAGGATTATCTAATAAATTTGAATTCTTATTATTTAAACTTGAATTTTAAGTTTTAGGAGATTTTTACAATTAAGCCATTTATAAGACAGGTGGTAATTTAAGATGAGATTTTTGTTTTTAATGTTTACTAAGAAAATCAAATATTAATACCTTTGTATAGCATAAGTTTATCCTCCTGAAATCTAATAATAAGGAGAATCTACTCCAGGTAAACTAGGTACTATAAAACTAGAATTGAGAGATACCTTTTTTTGGTCCATTTTATTAACTAGATTTAGATTTTGCACTTTAAATATGTTTTATTTATTATTATTAATGAATTTAAGTTCTTAATTGTCTAACTTAGTCATCTTATATAGATTCTTAATATCTTCTTCTTTTTTCCTATATTTAAATATCAATATTTTCCTATTAAATTATTATTAAATTAATTACAATTTTAAGTTCTCCCTATTTAATGATTCCTTATAAATAATTTTTTTAATTTAAATCAGGGATTTATTAGACTTATTTTTAAATATCAACTTTTTTGATATCATATTCAAGTAATTATTATTTCATGTCATCTTCACTTTATTTAAGAATAGCTTTTTATGTTTTGGCATTATCAATTTTTTCCATTAATTTCATTTAATCAAACTTATCTAAAGAACGACCTTTCTAATATTACAAGAAACCAATATTCTGTTGAATATGATTTTATTATTATTCAATATCGTATAAATTGTTTTTAGCCTCAATAATATCAGAAATATTTTGATTTATCATAGATTCTAATTCATTGACTTATTATTTCAAATTTAATGGGGGAACTGGAACAGTTTTTTAATTAATTGAAGGTAATCCTAATTATTAGATTTTATTTATTATACTTGCTTAAGGAGTGATAGAATTTAATTATTATTATTGAATCAATTATTTAAGTTCTTCATTTTCTTATCTTAAATTTTGAATCAATAATGCATAATTACTGATATGATTTTATGCAACTAAAACATTTCTATTAGCTACAGTTTTAATGTTTTTAGCTCTATTTGCATATACTAATGTATTGTAAGTTTCTTCAAAACTACTCACTGCTGGAGTAACATTAGAAATCATAACTGTTCTACAATTACCACCTAAAGAATCTTTTAATAATCTAGTTAATTTAGAATTTCTAAATGGTATAAATGGATTTTTAATTCCTTTTTCATTTGCTTCTGATAATGATTAAATACAATTTCCTAATACTAATAATGATTTATTAATATTTGCTCCCTCTATCATTCTTTAACCTCTATTATTTGTATTGGCTGCTCTTTCACTACCTGCTAAATCTACTAAACTAAATTTGCTTTAAATTATTTATTCTTATAATCCTGATGCTTTATCTTTACATTCTACTTAAACTTATAATATAGCATGAGATCTAGATGATTCTTTATTTGCATCAGTAGCTTCTTTGGATCTATTTCTATTTCCAACTTTTAAAAGAGACAATACTTCAGTAACTGTTTTAACTTCAATTTCAATAACACCTGCTATTTATATTCCATTATTTTTGTCCTCTCTAATTTCTAAATTTTTATCTTCTGATGTCAATAAATCTCTTATGTTCTCATTATATATTTCAACGTATGACACTTTAAATTAAGTTTCTTTAAATCGATCTGATTAAGAATAATTAAATAGTGATTACAAGGCTCTTGGCATTAAACCAACATCTTATTAGGTTCCTATCATACTAATTGCTATTTATATAAAGTATACGTAAATGTCTTGCCAGAACCTGTTGCTCCATAACAAAATACAGTTGTATTGAATCCTTCTAATACTCCTTCTAATAAAAACTCTGTTGTATTTTCATAGATCTTTTATTGTGGAGCCCATTAATCAAAAACAAAATCAAATGCAAAATTAGTTTCCTTCAACCTATTTTTTCTTAATAACTATTCTATATAATGTCAATACTTCATCTTCTCTTTCTGATTCTGGATCCATTAACACTATCATCTTTCCATCAAGTATTCGAATCGTTTCAAACTCTGAAACACTTCTTTCCTTCTAATTTAGAGGTCTAACTCTTATAGCTACCTAAAAATTATAATGATAATTACTAGAATATTGCTGGATCCATTTTTTAATTCTTCTAAAAATTTCTTTGTTTCATTCTCAAATTAATGCATTTAATGTATTATATAAATATAATAATTATGTAATAAATTATCAAAAATATTAAGAAATGAATATGTCTCAGTATATAATATTTATTTGAATTATTTCAATCAAACTATATCATATAATGGGAAACTGTCAATAATGCACCAATTTTGGTCCAAGTAATTAGACAACTGAAATAAGATCTAAATCAACTAAACCTAAACATACACTCAAATTTACAAATAAGTTTACACACCAAAATATCAAGGGAATAATTAGAATATAAGCTGCATTTAAAGGCTATATGGCTAGAAAGTAATAATTTTATTTAAAAAAATTTTATTAGATAGTTCTCTCTTCTATCCACATAATAGAAGTACAATTCACCTATTTTTAATCATGACATTATGATTTAAGACACATTCAGCAATACTGATGATTGTCCAAATTAACCTCAGTATTTAATCATGAAAAAAAGCATGATATAAGATTATTTAAAAGAAGAGGAAGAGATAAATTAAAAGTTTGCTGAAGTTAATTAATAATGTTAATCCTATTGTAATAAGGATATTCCTGATAATCAAAGTTAGATTTCAGAAGGCAGTCCACTATCAAGTCTAAAAAAATAATTCTCATTCGATATGACTAGCCTTTGCTTTATTCCTAAAAGTAAAAACGATCGATTATTGACTCTAACTCAATCATAGATTAAACTACCAATTATCTAAATGATTAATGGTGCTTATTATGAAGGCTAATGGAATAACGGCAAAGCAAATGGCTTTGGTAAATATGTCATGATTGATAATTCATCATATGTTGGTGAATGGGTAAATAATCAAGCAAATGGTTTTGGAACATTTTAATTAATGGATGGCGAATTTTTCAGAGGTCATTGGATTTAAAATGTTGTTGAAGGTTAGGGTAAATATACGTTTGTTGATGGTACTTTTTATGAAGGGGAGTGGAAGAATGATTTGCCAAATGGTATCGGAGTCTAAACTTATTCCAATGGCTGGAAATATGAAGGTATATCTGTTTTATATCTAAGAAAGGAAGTTTTCTTAATGGGATTAAGAATGGTTAAGGAATATTAAGATTTCCGGATGGTTCAATCTATGAAGGTTTCTTTGAAAGAGATGTTCCTTAAGGAATGGGTACTCTCATATTCTAAGATGGCAGGAATTATACAGGAGATTGGAAAAATGGAGTTAAACATGGAAAAGGAATTTTTAAATGGCCAGATGGATCCAAATATGATGGATATTATATTAATGATGAAAGAGAAGGATATGGAATTCTCTATTGGCCAAATGGTTAAAAATATCTTGGATTATGGAAATAAGGATTATTTCATGGTAATGGATAAATCATTAAACCTAATGGTACTTCTATAAGAGGAAAATGGATAAAAGGTAAAAGAATTTAGTCTAAATTAAATACTAATGCATCAGGAAAAACAAAAACATCTTAAATTGACTGAATATTTATGTCATTATTTACTCATTTTTGATATTATATACTTTTAAACATTTATTTCTTTTTATTACTGAATTAAAAAATTCTTTTGTTTTTTTAAATTATTTCTTTTATTTTATTAATTTTTCATTTTAGTTTTTTGGTTCACCATTGTTGAAAATTTTCTTAAATTTCAGTATCATTTTTATTTACTGATCTTTAAAATATAGAAGGTGTTTAATCTTATCAAAAGTTCATTATGTGATAATTATTTATATTCCATTAAGATCTAATAAAATATAAAGAGTAAAAAATATTAATTTTTCTTGATAAAGTTTTAGAATAAACAATTAAGATAAACAAAAATAAAAAATTTATTCTAAATAATAGTTTTATTCATACAAATAATTCATGAATAAATCTTTCAGTTAATAGATTTACCTATTATCTTGTTAATTTAATTAAATTATCTAAATTTTAAGATGTTTCAAAAGGTAAATCATTAGTATATTATTTAGGCTTTTTAGGTTCCTTACCCAAGATTAAATTGTTTAATGGAAAATCTTTCTTATTTAATACCTTATCAATTATATTATTTTATAAAGTTAACAAATCTTATAATTCTGATATTTAGGCATTCTATTCTATAAATAGAGTTGTAAAAGTAGAAATTTAAGGTATCATTTATTCTAATTCCTACATTTCTTTTTCAATATTTTGATATGCCATTAATTACCTTTCTTAATTTGCAATAGATTCTTATTATTTATAATATTCAGGTTTAATCATATCTAATTGACTTTTTAATGATCTCATTATATCATCATTTTCCTTATCTCTATATTCTAATTGTTTCTAACTTTCTTTTAATTACCCTAAACAAAAATATAGAATACTTCGTTAATTAAGTAATTTAATCAGTCATATTAATTATCTATATACTTAATTTAGTATTCTAATTTTATTCAAACCTTAGTTATTCATTTAAATGATTATTCTAAATTTATAATTCCTAATTTAATTATATCAATTTTAATTTGTCTCTTTCATTTGAGTTCTATCTATCCATTATAGACTATTGATTATAATGAGTATATCATTACATTAGCTCTTCCTTTTTTTGGAGAAATCTCACCCTTTTTACTTCTATTAGTGATGGTGGGATTTCTGCTATTACTATCTTGAGAAAATTAATCAAATAAATTTTAAGCTGATGGCTACAAAGAATTCATGTTGGGATAGCAACTTTTTTTTTCTTTTTTTTAAGTAACCTGTTTTTTAAAATATTCTAAATTTATACAAAATTTTGTAGATCAGCTTTCCATTTTTCATCTTCCAATAATATCTAAACACTTTTTTTTCCTGATATTCTTTCAGTATAATTGCTTTTGCATTAATTAACCTTTTTTAATTACACTTAATTAAAATGTTATTGTCTTTATTAAAGGATTTCTTATAATTTCTTTAATAATGCTTGAGGTTTAATTTATTATGCACATCCCTATTTCTAAGAGTTTTGATTAGCACTAGATGATCTCTGCGTTTTTGATTATTAATAAAATGTTGGATATTTTTGAAACAAGTTTTCATCATCCATTTAACGAATTATATATTTTTATTCATTTTTTATAAACTTTATTAAGAAACTCTTGTTATTAATTTTATTATAAAAAACTATACTAATGTAAAATAATCAACATATGCAACTTCAATAAGAAATGAATCCTATTCCTAATCAAGAATCACTTTCTTAAGGAGTTTATTCACCAATACAGAATTAATCGATTTAAGTAGGGTAACCTATTTCATAAGTAATTCCACCTTAATAAATTATTCAACAAGTTCCTTATCAACAAAATCCTTATTCTTAAGGAGAATAACCAATTTATAATGTTTAACAAATTTAAATAAGTAAGTGAGATTGTTATAATAGTTTAACCAATATATTCTAAATATCCTAGCATAGTAACTTGTATCTATTGTTAACAATAAATCCAAACTGTAGTAAACTATGAAACAGGTACAGGAACTTACATAGTAGGAGGATTATTGGCAGCTGTAGGACTTTGGTTAGGGTATATATATTAAAATTAAATTTAAAGTTGTTGTTTAATACCATGTTTTATTTAAGATTGCAAAGATGCAGTTCACTTTTGTCCTTAATGTTAAGCTAATGTTGGAAAGAAGAGATTTATTTTTGATTGATAAAATATTCATTAAGATATTTTAGATTTATTATCTGTTCTAAATCTCAATTAATAGTTTTATTAATATTTTAATTAATTGTGGATTTTTATGTTTTATTGAATTAAATGGATATGATAAAGATAATAAAATAATTTTAATAATAATATATTCTTTTGATAGTTTTCAAAAGATTTAATTAAATTGATTTGAAAATTGAAAAATATTTATAAAATTAAGGACTTTTGTTTTACTGGACAAATTTTTGTAGAATATATCTATATAAAATTAAGATTAATGATATAAACCTTTAACAAATCAATAATCATAAACTCTTAAAAAAGTATATTTGAAGCATATATTAATTTTATTTGATTAAAGAATACTATTAATAAAAGTATATTCTTAAAAAAAACATCATTCATTTTTCAAAGAGTAATTTAATAAAAATCTCATATCTTTGTTAATTAAAGAACTCCATTCTTAATTTGTTTATTAGGCCAACCATATTTTATCAAATATCTAATATTAAAAGATTGAATTACTTCAGAAATTGGAATAAATTATTTATGTACTTTCTTTGTTATTTTTTATTAAGGTATTTCTTTTTTTTATTCTATTATTATTTTATTAGGTTAATTTAAATTAACTTATCCATGCATTGCTCTTTCAATTTATTCACCTATTCCTTTTTCTTTTTCTACTTTCTAATGATAATAATAAAAATAATAATTACAATTTAGACCTCTTTAACTAATTCTTCAGGTTGTACTATTACATCATTACCAAAAATTTAAGTAATAATAATATCAATCAAACCTTAATATTCTCCAATTTATAATCCAGTACGTTTCCAAATAAAAGAATGCATATTTTTTAAATTGATTTGTTCAATTAAAAATGTAATCAAAAATTATTTAATTTCTTAAAGTTCATTAACTGTATATTTAATGTATTTTTTTGTTTCTGAATCCAATTCTGGATGAAGTGATTTTAATTTTGCAATTTTAATATTGAGTTAATCCAAAAGTAATTTTGAATTTTAATCAATACATTAATATTGTGCACTAAATCGATTGAAAAATGGTTGTAAACTATTATTTATAATTTTTTCTGGTTATTATATAGCTATCATAATGCGATTTTGATATTCTTCAAGAATATATTTTTCTAATTCTCTAGCTGTCAATAGAATTAATTCTTCATTTGTTAACTAATATTCAATATTAATTTTACTTTATGATAATTATATATAATCTTTTTCTATATATTATCTCCACCTAGTCTCCAAGCTAAACATCCTGAACGATAAGGAACTCTTCCACAACAATAAACAAACTATAAATAGTAATTTAATTCTTACAATCATCATAAAGCAATCATAAATATATCGTACTATAAATCTAAGAATTCCAAATAGAATTATAAATATTGCAAATATTGGAAAAATTAACAAACAGATAAAACAAACCATTATTTCAACCATTCCTATTATAATATCTAGAAAAGCTCTGAATAATGGCATAAAACAATGAATATAATCTATTTCATTATATTCATGTCTTTCTGCTGTATCAATATCAAAAAATAATAAACATACCATCCATCTATTATATTGAATAATATTTACTTAATTATAACTGCAAATCCTGCCCACATAAATGAAGTTATAAAAATAAAAAATAGTATGCTTGAGATTAATAGTATTAACATAGGTTTCAAAATTAATGTACAAAATACTCCTACAAACAAAAATCGAAAAATATAGACTTCAATTAAATTACAGATTCTTAAACAACCTTTACCAAACATATCAGAATCTTCAGATTCTTCAAATTCTCTTCTTGATTTTTCCATTCCTCTATAAATCTATCTCATAGTTGAACAAATTGTTTCAATCAATTCATCTTCTGTAATTTCACCTGTTAAACTACTTATTTTTTTATCGTTATAAAACTTTTCTATTGAAAATAAGACTTTTAGTCCAAAATGACCATATATTCCAAATTAATAAAACAAATAATAACTATTGATTATTAAGGTAAAATATAATAAGCAAAAACTTAAAAATTTCCAAAAGTAATATGAGGAATTCACTTCATAATTAATTATTTTTAAAAAGAAATATTTGTTTCCTTCTAAAATTATTGGGTAAGGAGGAACAACTAAACGAACTCTATAATCATTTCAAAATATTTACATAAAAAAAACTATATTAGGTGTTGAAAATTTTTCTTTAGCTATTTTCTTAATTTCTTTTACTCTATTCTTATACTTTTATTTATTCTCTATAAATTCTATATATATATTTCTATCAACAATATTTTTTTGGGATAATTCTTAGATCATTTGATTGTAATACTGTTTTTTTAAATTCTTCTTTTTCAACTTTAAAGTTTCCTTAATATATTCTTCTCTATGATTTTATTTATTTAAAAAGAAAAAGTCTTTTTCATATTATTATAACATTTCGTTTTCATAGTTTGTCAATTCATTCTAGAATAATGATAAAGAATGATACTTTCAATAGTTCTTAATAATATTTTTATAATTTATAACATTCTAAAATGTCTTAAATCTATTTTAGAGCAGGTTCAGGCAAATCTATCATATTTTTTTACAAATATCTATCTTGAGCATTATTAAGTTATTCACTTATAAGTTCTTCAATATCTTTATTTGAATCATATATTATTTGATATTTTTCTTAAAGATTTCTAAATTCTTTATTATTTTAATTATTTTAATTGATATGTCTATCGCTCAATAATGCTGCTATTTTCAAACAGTCTTATTCAAAATTCTTCAATTGATTTTTTATATAATCAACTTTCAATTTTATAGCAGATTAACTTTCTTGAGTATGATAGAAATATTAATATATAGCAAAATTCAAATTCTTATTTCTTAGAGATAATTACCTCTCTTTTTCAACTTAAATTTATGCTGCTTTAGTAGATGTATCTCCAATTACTTCCCTGTATCCAATAAAAAGGGATGGAATCAATAATGATTTCTAATTTCTTATTATTATTTACTTTAATAATTAGATAAATGCCATGTACAATTGAAAAGTTCCATAATCTATTAAAATTTTTTTTATTGTATATAAAATCTCCTAATCCAGTTACACAATCTTAAGCTTTTAACATATCTTTATAAAAAGAGTTTTTAATATTCTTAGTTCCTTTTACTATCCATTTTGAAACAATCCATCTGTTTTTTGTATTACTGTTATTCTACTATATAACATCAAAAGTAGCTTCTTTCCATATTTAATTTAATTATTCATCATCAAATTATACATAGGGAATAAAATCATATTAATTAACTACTTTTTTTATTTGATCTTCATCATTATTTCTTGAAATTACAATTTTTTTCTTAAAATATGAAGGTGGTAAATTAAATTGATGAACTTCTTTCAAAAGAACCCAACTTTATCTAATAGGAATTGTTTTTTAAACAAGCTCATTTGCAATACTTTTTAATGGTTATTAGATATTGTCATTTTATGATAATTCCTAATTTCTAAAATATGATTACCTCTGTTTGTGCAAATCCTTTAAAATTAATTTCTCCTTTATGTGGTAAAACTATGAATATCTCATCATCAATATTAAAATTAAGAGTTGATGTGAAGTTTTGACTAATAATCTGTTACATCTAAATGAAAATATATTTTTTAATGTATATTTTAAATAATTCAAAAGATAGTCAACATTCAGTGCTTTCTCTTTCTAATATCTTTAGACTTTATGCTTCTTAATTACCTTGTTTATTTTACAGCAACTTTAGCTTTGGGTTTTTCATTTTTACTTCTATTTTTGGTGTTTATTTGTTCTGATATTTACTTTTTTTTTGTAATTTTTTCTTTTTATTTTTTTATATTTTTTTTTGATATTTTTTTGTTGATTTCAATAGGATTCTTAATTTTAGAATTTCTTTTGTTTCCTCTACCATTAGTTTATTATTGATTTTATGTTTAAACATTAATCAAATTTTTATTTTATGTACAAGTTTATTATTTTTCTATTTGAGGTTGCATTTAATTGATTGATAATTTTTTTTAAACTTTTTTTAATTATTCATTTGATTGCGTTTTAATCTAAGGGACTTTCTTTAAATTTTTACTGCTCTCATTTCTTTTTATTGAATTACTGCTTCTCATGCTAACATTAATTTTAGGTTCTACTGATCGAGATTGATTTTTTTTAATTAGATTTTATTTTTTTTATTAAATTTCCTTATTATTGGGTTTAATTGATTAAATGCTTACACTTCTGGTTTTTGACTTAACAATTTATTGCTATGTAGATTATTATTTGTTTTTTTATTATTTCTATTGGCTTACTTATTTTTATTTTCGATTAGAATCATTTAAACTTTATTGTTAAAACACTAAATGTTGTTATTTACTAGACTATTTATTATCCTTGATTTCTTACTTTTAAGTCTTAGAATTTAATTTTGTAGTTGATACCTATTGTGCATCAGAGTGTAGAGTATTCCTACTTCTACCCTATCGTTTAGTGATAGGTAGTTCTTGATTTTTTTAATTAAGTTATTTATCTTCTTTTGATTTTTTTTAAGGTGTTTTTATCTTAGATTCATCAATAGACTTTTAATTATCTTATTTCTTTACTTTTTTATTTATAGGTTTTTCTTATTTAGTATCTAAATTAAGTTATTTGCTAGATCTTTTTTGTAACACTTATTAATTACTCTTAGTATTATCTTCTTTCCTTGAAACATCTTGAACTGATACAATAGATTTGTCTAATGATGCTTGTTTACTTTTTTATTTGGCATCATCTTAAGATTTACCTGATTATTTTTAGTTCTTTATTTTATGTTATTATTTTTTATTTGATTCTTATTAAATTGCAATACTCTTTGTATTAGTAATCGAATTAATTTTATCATCTAATATTTTACTCCTTCTTGTTTAGTTGGTTTTATTTTCAATTTCTTAATTTTTTGGAGTTATAACTTTAGGTTATTTGACAATATTTGGAGAATTTGATTTTTGTAATTTTATAGCTTTTTGAATTGATTAGTTGGTTTTATTGGATATTTTCACTTTCTTTTTTTCTTCTTTTTCTTCCTCAATATCATCTATTTTGTTTTCTTCATTATATTATTAATTTTATTTGTTGATTTATTTATCTTCTTTTTCATTTTCTTAGAAAATTTATTCTTAAGGGGTTGAATCAAAACCACTACTTGATTCATTATCTTAAAATGATTATTTAAAATAAGCATCCTCGAAATCTTTAACTATTTCTTTCACTTTTCTTAATTTCTTCTTAGGAAACCATTTTGCATCTTTACCAGTTTTACCTTTAAACCTAACCAAATATTCTTTTTTTCCATTAGTACGCTTTATTCCAATAATAATATCAATTTAATCTATTTCATCCTACTCATCCTCTATCTTTTATACGAATTATAAGTCTTGTGGTTTTTCATTCTATTGATTTAAATAATGTTCATAATCTGTAATATATTCTTCTATCAAGGCCTTAGGTAGATATATAAAATACTTTTATAGTATCCTCACAATTTTATTATGCCTTTTATCCATATATTTACTTTTCCTCAATACTTAAATCATCCCATAATTATTAAAGATTAGTTAATTCTTTATCTACTCCTTTTTCTTAGAAAAATAACACTGATCCATCAGCTTTCTTTTTTTTAATCAAATTAGAAATAGAATGATATTAACGAAGCAATTTTTCATAAAGTTCGTCATCCTTCTTTGATAATCGAAAATATTCTAACATCTAACATAATTGTACCATCTTTAAGTTCCTTTTCTAAATTATCCCATTATCTTTTTGCCTAATTAGAATAATGATTTAGATTTTTATCTTTGCATGCTTATTCATAATTTCCTATAAATCTTTCATAAGCACTGAATGGTTTTTTAGGAGGTTGAATATATTATGATTATCGAAATAACTTAAAAAGCTCTTACACATAGCCATCTTCCATCTTTATAAAAATGAATTTTATTGGATAATTAATATTAAATTAGAATTTTGAATTTTGATTAATTTGGGAAAATTAATTGAATAATTATTAGTAATGTATTTAACTTAGATTATTTTGAATTAATTCCAAAGCATAATGATATATATATATAATCTCAATATTTAAATATAAATACTATCTCTTATTCCAATTTCTGAATAAAGATTTATTGATCCCAAAGTAAATTCAGTTTATGAAAATGGAAATCATTATTGAATAATTATGTTATTATAATTAAATTATTCAAAATAATATTTAATAAATAAATGGGTAACTAGTAAAAAAAATGAAAATATAAGTAATAATGAAAATAAATTTAAGAGGTAAAATACTATAATAATACTCAATGAATAAAAAAAGAGTATTAAAGACCAGAGTCAATAGTGATTTCTTATCAGATTTTAGTAGAACAAGAAATTGAGAATTTATTCGATTATGATGATTTGGAAACCAATTTAGTGGTTGGAGCAAAGAATAACTCATATAAATTATTGTGGTCTTGCATTTTTTTTAGTCTGACAAAAATTATCAACTTAGTAGATTTTCAAATCTAATGATAGAATTCCAATTTTTGGATAAAAAGAATCAATAATAAAATTTATTGCATTTCATAATATCAAATATGAAATGAAAAAAAGAAAAATACAAAAATTTGATTTTGAATTTTTGTAAATTATACAATATCTAATGATTATTTACAGCAATGATGATTGTAATTCTTAAAATATATAAAATTCAATTATCTTCTAACGTTTATTTTAGAATTTCCTCTAACAATCTTTTATCAATAAGTTTTGATAAAGCATTATCAAATCCTTATTTTATTAGTTCTTGTTTTTATTCTTCAGTGAAATCACTATCTATGGCTACTATCACTTATTTAGGAACTTAATATTTTTCCTCCATTTCCCTTATTTATTATAATATCTAAAAATAATTCAAATATAAACCTCTAATCCTTTTTTTTGTGTAAAATTCTATTTAATTAAAATTACATGATAGATTTTTTTTTCTTCAAATAATTTATCAAAACGTTTAATTCCAGCATCTACTGTTCTATCAAATTCAACTTTAACTTTGAAACTAAATCTCATGGATGATAAAGCACTAATTTATACACTAGAATCATCTAATATATAAATAGTAACAATTGGATGATAGAAGGCTTTTCTATTTTATGGTTAATTTTAAGGAACAGGTATATCTTTGAATGAAGAAATTTTTTGAGGTATGGATAATTAATCTAGATCTTTGTGAATTTAATTAATTTTTTCTTATTAATCTATGTTTGAGCTTTTCAATATTGGCTTCCATATAACCACAGGAGAAGGATTCATACGATTTTCAATCAATTATTCTAAATATTATGACTTTAAAGGTTTTTCTTAAACTTCATCAAATCCAGCTTCTAAACAAGATTATCTTAGAGTTTAAGATATATTGGTTTCTATACCAACAAAATATTATTTGGGTAAATTGTGTTAATTTTCAAGCTATCTTATTTCTTTAATAAACTAAAATATAAGTATAGAATACTTAGATTCCATTCTTTAAAGGAAGATTAATCCTTACGATAATAAAATGATATATTTTATTTCGTTCAAACATTGATTTAATCTTTTTGGTTGCATCTGTGCATCTTATACTTTGATCAAATTAATGAGTTTATTTAATTTTGAAATCTAAAAAATCTGTTGAATCATCTACTACTAAATATGTTAGCTTCTCTTAATAAAATTATTTTAGATCTACAGTTTCTTATTATTTGATTTCCTCAGCTTGACTATCGATTTCATTGATAGTTACTTATTTTTAAACTTTAAAACAAGGTGATTTCTCAGATCCTTGAGATTGTACTGGTTAAACAATCACTCCAAGAGACGTTTATGAATGCTATGACTTTTATATTTAGGGATCTTCTTATGCAGATGGAATAAATTTAACAGAATTTTTGAGATCATCATTATTTTCATCTGGTTTAAATTGATTAAATTGATCACTTTACTCTAGATGTTATACTTTAGAATCATTCTCTCTAAGAGATTTAAGTAATTAAGTTCCTTAGTTTTTTTTAGGTTATATGACTGAATTCATTTATTATTATTATTAATGAGAGGATGTGGGTCCATTTCCAAAATTTTATGATTATGATATGGGTACTTGTTGTGTAGCATTTTATTTAAATAAAGATTGATTGGGAAATTGTTATAATTACTACAATTATTATTGATTTACATTTGTTTCTCTTTGTTCAGGAATGGTAGTTCTAAACTATTATAAATTTGGTACACTTGTATTTCTTTAGTTTTATTGTTATTAAGCTGATGAATCTAATAAATAATATTAAGTGATTACTGCTTGGAGAGGTTTCAAAAGATTTTTGTTTTTATTTTGAATTTCTAAAATGAACATTGATTCTTTTTCCTTTAAATGTCATAATTTCAGATAAAACTTACTCTAATACCTTAGAAACAGCTTTTTCTACTGAATGCATTTATGTATTTATTCTATCTTCAATATCAAATGTAGCTACATCTGTTTATTTTAAAGTAGATGGCTTGTTAATAGGTGATAAATTAGGACTTATTATTTTATTAGATTCTAATTTCTCCTCTTCACTTATTACATTAGGACGATAAGTAAATTCAAAACATTTACAAATTTAAAATGGCTTTTACTCACTTAATGATGTTTAAACCTTTACAGCTTCATCATTAACTCTAAGAGGAACTGGTTATGGAGCTATCCTTTATGTGGATGTTATCTTTTTTGTAGACTTTATTCTAAAAGCTTAGAATAATTCACTATTTATTGAATATATTTTAGATTGAGTATCCAACTTACCCATGCTAATATAATGATCTAAAAGAACTGAATGATATTCATTTGTTACTCTCATTGGAATATTCATTTAAATCTTAATATTATCTAATCTTTCACATAATTCTATTTGACCTTCCATTGAATAAATCTAATGTAAAATATGAACAAATGATGTATATGATAAATCTTCATCTTATAATTATTATAATCTAAAATCATAACTTTTTAATCCTTCAAAGTCAAATCTCTAAAATAGCATTTCTAATTCTTAAATTTAATTATGATAATCTATTTAAATTGTTATTTACAATTCATCCCCTTTAGAAATAGTAAAAGAAATTAATGAAAAATTGTTCATATCTCTTTCAATTTACCTTTCACTCTATTAAATTAATTACCTTTAGGATGAAATTCCTTGCATTACTTACTTTCTATGATGTTCCTAATAAATGTAAGATATCAGTTATGTTAAAATACCATGCATCTTTACTATATCTATAAAGGCTTAGTCGGGAACATCATTCTCTATTCTAACATTAGGATTAGTTTTATAAATGATCTATAAACAATCAGCAAAAAATTTAAAGTAATTCTTCAAATTGCATACAATTTAATCAGACTTTTAATAATCTGTTTTACTCAACATAGGGAATAAAGCCTACAATAATTACTACTTAATTCCTTCAGGTTATTTAGATAAAATCTCAGAAATCTATTGAATCTTCATGATTTATAAACTCTATGAAATTCTTTCATAAATCAGGGATTAATCATCAGATTTCTCAATAAATATTGCTTCCACAACTGAATTCTTATTAAAAACCTACTTTCTTAAATGACAACTAATGGGTAAAGGATGTCCTTAAAATGCAAAAGATACTATTATAGGATCTGTGGATTCCAAAGTTTCCACAAAAACCTTCTGAAATTTTACTTTGTCCCCTTCCATCAAAATTAAATCCTTATACGTTTATACTGCATCCAATTAATATTTTTTTTTTACTAAATCAACTGATTTTGGTAAATATTTATATGAAATCGAATTCTAGAATTGTGCTTCTCCATTTGAATTAAATAATATAATACCAACTGGTAATTCATAAAGAAGTTTTTCAATCATTTGATTATTCTTTTTCATTCTTTCATTATTAATCCAAATATTTTTATAAGCATAAGAGTAGGCTGTAACTATAAGAAGTTAAATTATTTAATAAAATATCAACAAAGCTATTAATACAATTATTTTAAAAGTACTAAAATAAATTTAAAATATACTTATAATCTTTGATTAAATACCATTTAATGATTGTTATTGATGAAATTTTTATGATATTCTAAAAAAACATGTTAAATTAATCATATTAAAATATCATAGATTTAGAAGTTTGAATTCCAATTTGTAAAGCAAGTCTTAATATAAATTCATTGTCATTTTCTCTACTAAAGTTTAATATAGAAATTAAAACAAATACATCAATAAGATGATTTAATAAATTTTAAACTTTACGGAGTTTCTATTTAATAGTTAATAGCAAATGCATAATCACTAATAGAAGACAAATTGCAGGCAATTTATTTTCGTTAGTTTTTAAAGTGAATCTAATAATTATTATTGATAAAGCATTAATAAAGTCATAAAAGTAGTCTTTAATTGAGTTATGCTTTAGTAAATGTTTGCTGAAAAACTGAGCAATTTTTTGATCAATAAATTGACACCATTTATTAAGTTTGTATTATTCATCCCCAAAATTATTATACATTTTATATTTATATATATAATAAAACTCATATTATATTTAACTTATTGAAATAAATTGAAAATTTATGAAATATTAGATAATCGATTAATACTATTCAAGTATTATGTTTAATCTTTATAATGTTATCATATAGAAATGCAAAATTATCAATTTATTAAGATTTTATTATAAAGAATTTATTGAAATTTATATATTAAATTCTTAATTAACCATGTTTACAGAACTAGCATATAACGCCTCTAAAAGAATAAATTAAATACAGACAGATTTATAAACAAGAGAAAAATTGAAATAATAGAGTAAATCTACAGGGCTAATTGATGCAGAAATCAATTCCACTTTAAAATATTTAGGTGAATATGAAAATTTGATTTAGATAATGAATTGGATTAATTAGATTAAGAAATTAAAGGATATACAGCTAATTAGAATTGCAATTTGTTAGCTAAAGAAATTTAGAAAAGAAGAAATTTATATAATGAATTAGCACAAAAACGATAAGAGATTAAAAAACGAATTGAATAGAATCACTTACTATATTTATAACAATAATTGACATAAAATAAACGTATTTTGTTTAATTATAATTGTAGAAAACAACAAAAAAAATTATGAAAGTTTTGGATAAATGGATGCTCTTAAGATGCATGGTGAAATAACTGATAAATAAGATGAATATTTGAGTAAAATTAATGACAAAGTTCTTAATATTAAATATTCATCTTAAAATTTAAGTAAGTAAATCAAAGAATAAAATGGAATTATAGATTAATTACACGAAGATGTATTGTTTTTATTTAAGATTAGACTGATTATGCAAATTAAGCTATGAATAGATTAAAAAATAAAATGAATTATTTTTTAGATTAATCCAGTTCTTGGAAACTACTAATAATTTTATTTTTGGAAATATTCGTGTTTATTTTTGTAGTCGTTATCTGATTAATATGTGTATAAGTTATAATACATTCTTTTTACAGAATACTTCATTTATGGGGTGATATATGTTTTGAATAAACATATGATTATTCTTCTTCAGGTCTAGCTTCCTTGATTTGCTGTTATTAAAGGCTCTGAATTTAATTATTATAATGTTGATTATGATGAATTAATGGTTATTATTATTTAATATCTCTTTCATTCTTTGAAGTAGATCTCTATCTTAGTCTACTATTGATTCTTTATTGTTAATCATTTATTTCATTAGATATAAGCTGAAATAGAATTATTTAAATATACTTTTTATAACTTCAAATGATTTTATTTATCTTATTGAATATTTGTAATTAATTATTGAACTTAATTTTTCTCATCTGGCTCTATTTTTTATAGTAATTTTTCTTGAATAGATGGATAATGCATTTCTACTTTTTTTGATTTTTCTTATAATAAATTTGGATGACTCATCAACCAATGTAGTTTGTATTTAAAATATTCTTATTTTCGATCTTGTAAAGATTCATAATATTCAACTCCTTTCTAAACAAACATCAGTAATAAATTTACCATATATAATTATACCAAATGATTCAAGGCATCTAAATTAGTAAAATTGCTTAACACAAAATTAATATCATGTTGTAAAATTTATTCAGCAAAGCCATGAGGTAAGTCCTTTTCTGAAGCAGAAGAATCAGAAAACTATATAGTATTTTATTTATACTAATTTGCTTATTATACGAGCCATGTGTAATAATAATTAAATTAATAACTATTCGAAATTCATAAACAAAACTTCAGATTTAAAAACAATATAATACATAAATTGATCATATTTTATAGTAATTTATCATTCAATGATAATAACAAGTATTTTAGTATTAAACATTTTCATATTTGAAAAAATCAGTAGCAAACTAAAAAATAAGTTATAAATACTTTGATTAGTTTTGAATTTCTCAATACACTCTAACAAAACTATTCACAATTCATAATTTTGAAATCATTTTTTTGAAAATGTAATCTTAGCTCAACTATTAATTAATAATTAAACTTTTCGTAAGGTATATTGCGTGCATCTACTACATTATTTGATTCTATCATTGTAAATAATTTTGCTACTATTCTTTCATCTGAATCTTTTGTTGCTTAATATAATGAATTCTCCTCTTAGGCTGAAGTATAAGGACTATCGTTTTTAAACTAACTCTCTTCAGAAAATGATACATTTGGAGAATCTTATGTTTTAGGTAACTATGTCACACTCTCTTCATTTTCCAATATAGAAATCTTAACTTCTTTTTTTGGAATCAAAAATTCAAATGATTTGTTTTAATACAATTAATTGAGTCTGGGACTTTTAAGTTAGACTTATTTTTATTGAGTTGGCTGCAGATAAAATTAATTTTAATTAGATTAGGGACTCTTACTTTTATTAGTTGAACTAGTATTATTAATTTTTGGTTTAAAAGTGAGATTTGGATCTTTTTACTTTTATGTTTATATTTATATTTATTCTTGTTCTTTTTTTTATTATTTGATATTATTAGTTTATTTAGCTTATTAGTAAAGTCTATCATGAATATTCATTTCTTCTGTTTAAAACCTTTTATTTCTAGATAGATTTCTTTCTGATTTTAAATTAGGCTACATAGATTTTTCAGGAGTACATCTCTTAGTGTTCAAATTTCTAGTTGGTGTTAATTGTTAATTTTCTTTATTTTATTGTTATTTTTTAACAGTTTCCCATTGAGTTAGAGGTTATTTCTCTTTTTCTTATTTCTATTGTTTTAATCAATGTATTTACTTTCATTTAGTCATACATCAACATTTATTATATGATATTTTATTTAAGTGGTTCAACATAAGCTACACTTAAGTAATTATCTGTAACAAAATTAGATGCTAATATTTCTGGATTAGAATCTTCATATATGTTAATTTGACTATATTTATTTTCATCTAGTTCAATAGTCAAAGTTATTAAAGGTTCACAGTGCATTTTAGTTTCAGATGCCTATTTTTATAAATACTTCTTCATAAAAGTGAATTAGCTCATTAACGAATATTTTTTTATTAACTAAAAATTATTATGTGATGCACAATTTTAATACTAATAATCAAAAGAATTTTGATATTCATATTTTGATAACATGACAACTTGGTAAAATGTTGTTCGATATTAATAGGAATCAGCTGCTTAGATAAAAATATCTGGTATTAATTAGAACTTTATGTAATAGATTTAATATGTAAATGAATAATATTTTGTATTAATATATAATTCAGATTTTATTACAATATATATCTAAATAATTATTATTGATAATTAAATATCTATTGAATATTTTTATTAATTATATATTTATATAAGCATTTCTAGCATCCTCGCAACATCTGAAATGTAGAACTTTAATAATGTCATTGATTTTCTAAAAGGAGAAGTATTGGATAGAGAGGAGGAATGGAAGAAAGAAAGACTTGAATATTAAGTAATGATTATTGTGATATGAAACAGACTGCAATAATGGAATTGAAGGGATAATTGGAAGAATAGAGAAATCTGAACAAATAACTAATAGATAGACTAGACAAATTGGAATAATTTAAAGTTTCTCTAAAACCAATTGCAGATAATTTAAAACTTTAAACAAAAAAAAAATTTCATCATCGTGTTAAAAGTGATAATGGAACATTTTTTAAAAATGAAATGAATGAATAAAAATTAATAACTCAACCAAATATTGAAAAAATATTGTAGAAGGATAAGAAACCTCTTTTACAAAAGTAATGAATTTAATAAATTTAGCTTTCTTAAAGAATTGAAAAATGAAGATTTTCAAGAGGATTAAGTATAAAATTAAATATAAATTCATTCTCCTATAAATTTGTAATTACTCTAAAGTGCCAAAATAAACTAAATTTTAATTAATCAGAATACTTATAATACATGTTCATAAAGATAAAAACATCATCATTAAAGAAGTAATAGCAATGGAGCTTCAGAATTACTCAATTTTGCATTATAAAGAAAAAAACAAACTCTGGAAACTAGTCAAAATGAATTAAATAGTATGAGTATGACAGAAAGAGAAATAATAGTTGGAAAAGAGATTTTTTCAACGAAAGGATAATTGAGGAGTCATTTAGATGGAGTAAGATCAATCTTATTTCAAAATAATTATATTGTGACATCTTCTGAAGATTGCACAATAAAACTGTGGAATCTTAATGATGTTTAATAAATGAATGCTTAGACTCATTTAGAACCTATTTAAACAATTAGATGTATATTTATTTATATTAATGTTAAATAGAACATGATAGACCAATATTCACAATGACTTCATATTTTAAATCTCCTCAAATACATTTGTATTCTGCAGGAGTAGATGGCACTATAAGAACATATATAGTGTCAACAAATCAATATTTTTCATGGCGTGCTCATACAGATGTAATTTGGTCTTTGAAACATCACCCTCATGATCAAAGATTGTTATCATCATCTGCAGATGGTTCAGTGAAGATGTGGAAATCTCTTGGAGTTTGTTATTAACATGATTTAATAAGAAAAGGGAATTTAAATTTAGAAATGCTATAAAATCCTTTGGCTAATTTCACATTCAAGAAATCTATGACTGGATTATCTATACCAACAGCAATTGAATGGATTTGTAAGGGATTTAATGAAAATATTATTTGTGGATACAGTGACACTTTAACATTCATTGTATATGATGTGACTACTGTTAAAGCAATTTAATAAATTAGATTTGATATTGATAATTAATTCAATAGCTTTGCTTAACCAAACAGAATTCTATTTAATAATGAGCTCAAATATATTGTTTCTGGTCATGATGATCATAAAATTAGATTTTTAGATTTGAATTCAAGCAAAGTCTGTAAGACTCTTATTGGCCATACAGATGCTGTCACTGATTTATGTTTATTCTCAAAGAATGTATATCAATTAGCAAGTGTGAGTCATGATGGAAGTATGAGAACATGGGATATTCGAAAATTCTAATGTTTACATGAAATACCAGTAATTTATTAATTCATTTTATTAGGCACATAAATAGAAGTATGATGAAGGAATCTATACGATAGCAAGTAATAATTAGTTTGTAGCAACAGGAGGAGCAGATGGGATTGTTAAAATTTTTAATTACCAAGATGTCATATGACTTTAACCACTATAAATGATATTTATCATTTGTTTAATTTTTTTATCAGCTTTGATTTTTAATTTGAAATTGTCTTATTTCAATTAGAAAAACATTTACATAATTGATTAACATTAACTCATATTTTAATTATAATAAGATTAAGAATGGACTTATCAAATTATAGAATTCGCACCTAAATTATAGCATTGTTTATTATTATTGTCATCATTGTGTTGGCAATCGTATTTGTTAGCAATATAACTCTTTTTAGTTATATGTAAAAGGCCTTTCTGTCTAATTCAATGAATGTATTAATAAAAGAAACTAACAATCAATTAACAGGTTAATTGGCTTAATATGATCAAAGGTTGAAAACAATCATAAACTAAAGTATACATTATAAACAAATTATTATTTAGTATTCAGAAAGTAAAGGATGTTCCAAAATATTTATTTATTTGTTGATGTAAATGAAGATATCATCAAAACTTAAACTCCATTTTACTGTCCTTCTAATATATCGTAGGAACAATCTAAATCTTTCTTTTGCCTAATGGCGTATTAATATGATTAAACTAACTATACGAATTTATCAATTGCAATCTAAAAGTAATTTAAAGTCATTTCGATATTTCACGAAACAATTTAGATGTTTGATACATCCTAATTCATCGTAACTGGTATAGCATATACATCTAATGATTCTATCCCTATTTTAGGGACTTGGCCAGCTTTAAATTCAACTTTATCATATAATGCTCATCAACGATCTTGGTATTTAAGCCACATGAGATAAATGAAAAATGGACATTAATATTTGTTTAGTGATTTATTTACAACCATTATTGGCTCTTATACAATTGCCATATCATAAAATTTAACTAATAAAAATAATGAATTTGCTGGAATTGTTTTTAATTTAATGGATTTTGGAGTCTTTAAAAAAAATTTCAATGCTGATTACATTTTAGCTAATAACAACGGTTAAATTATTTTAGGATAATTCAACTATCCTCAAAATACAACTAAACCAATTTTCTTTTTTAATGAATCAATTACAGGTTTCAACTAAGTTGATTGGAATTCCATATCAATTTTAATTAATGACACCTCAAATTAATAGGACATAAAATCTCTAAGTAATTGCTCCTAAGATGTATCAAACTATCTCTGTAGATATAATTCATTGTATCATTAGGAAGTTCTATTAATTGCATAGTAGCTTGAATATCCTCCATATCCACCACACATAGTGATTATGTAACTAATTCAATTATTATTCAAGATTTAAAAATATGACAGAACTTTATAAATAAGTTGATTAACTCAATTAAGATATATATTAATTATTTGCTTAAGAATTTTATAAAGATTTATAAGTCTTGATCATAGTTGCCGTTGGTATAATTTTACTATTTTTAATAATACTAAATTAAATCACTAAATCTTTAAACCTTTTAATCAAATACTCTAAATTTTAATAAAATAATCTTTCATACTTGAAGGAACAATAATAAATGAATCAGTAAATTGAAGCCATATCCAATTTATATAATTTCAAAAAAAACTTAAAGATGATTAAATTCTCTGAAAATGCTTTAGATCAATTAACTTTACAATATTTCTGTAATAATTTGATTATACTGTAGAATTACTATCTATATTGAAAGGTCAATAGGGAGAATTTAAGAAATCTGAAGAATGCATCTAATTAGAATTAGCATAGTATCCAAAGACTAGATATTACTTAAAATTATCAAAACCTACCTCCTTATATGATTACCAATCTAGTATTGATGGAAAAACTGTAAATCAAATTATTTAATATTTTTTAATAAAAAAATAGAAATATTGATTATTTTATATTTCAATGGGTAATCTAGAACATGGTTGTCTTTCTCGATCTTAGCAAATAACTAATATAAATAATAAAGAAAGACCGTCTTAACTAAAACGCTAATATGTGTCAGAAAAAATAAGAAATTCATTTCTTTATCCAATTCCTTCAAAAGAAATATAGATTTATGCAAAAAAATTAGGAATTTCGAATTACAATCCATATAGTAAAACATTAACGAAATAAATAATTGAAGTCTCAAATCTTAATTAAACCTTAGAATTAAGTTTATGCAGATTTCTTTTGGTAAGCTAATCATTCAATCTAAATAAAATTAATGAAATCTTAAAATAAAATTAAGATTTCAGATAAAGTATAAGACCAATAGAAAATGAAATCTTAAAAGAAGCAATAAGAATAATAGGATTGGATTTTTAAAATGGATTAGTATTGAGTATTAAATTAGAAAAAATCAATATTGAATTTATTTAGTAATACCTGTTATTTTTTTTTGAATATCTATTTTATGAGATAGCCAAAAATAATAAACTTAGCAACCATATTATGGTGGTTTATGATTTACAGTAAGAAGCAGTAAATTAAATTTTACTAAACTTTTTGGTAAATTTGACTTATAAGCATTATTTTCTAAATATTAGAAAAGTGATTCTTATAAATTTAAACATAGAAAAGGTTTCATCAGAAGTAATTGGAATGTTAAATTCAACCTAATATTCATATTTATTAATACCCTTAGCTGATACTGCTTATTTAGCTAGGCATGTTAGAAAATCAGAGTTATCAAATGAGTATGGAGGAGTTTATCAGAAATTAAGAAATCCAATACCAATTACAATCAATGAGGCTACTAAATTTAAATTATGAGTATATCTATAAGATATTGTATGATATTAATATCATTTAATAATCTAATTTTCACATCGATTGATTGTTAAAATTTAGTATAATTTTAATTCAGGATTATCTTAGTCATTATCCAACAGGATTAATTAATGATTTATGATTTTATCTAAATAAATTTTAATTACTTTTAAATTTGTACAATTCATGATATTAATTCAATGCTAGTAACGCAATGAATCATTATAATATATAAATATTACAATACATATAATAATTTAAAAATTAAAAAGAGTAATTCAGAAATAAATTATCACAGTAATTGGCTAATTAAAATTTAGAGGAAGGATTATCAATTAAACAATAGTTAACCCATTTACATATTTTTCTAAAGGAGATTGATAAATTTAATTGATGGAATTCTTTTGATAAAATAAATTAGGGTAATTATATTATAAAAAAAAGATACACTTATGAAGTACATTTTTATTTTATCTAATGACCCAAAAAAAAGTATTTGGATAGTAACATAACTAAATATTTCAGTCAATAATAGTGCTCTGAGCTTTATAAGAATACTGTGTATTTTTTTATCATCCAATAATATCATAAATATAAATAAAAATATGTACATTAGACCTCCTGAGTAAAATAATAACTTGGCTTAAGTTGCTATTGTAAATGATGACATTGAGCTTACAAGAAATTTAAAAGTATTCAAAAGTTAATATCATAAAGAATGTAGAATAAAAATTAACAGTTGAAGAAGTAATTGCCACTATTGGTCCTATTCCTGATGAAATAAACCTTGAACACAAATTTTACTTTTAGGATAATTGTTATGAGAAATAAGAAGAGTCCATTATCTTTACAGAACAATTAGGAGAATTAAAATTAGGAGGACATATTAAGTTTAAGTGTAAAGAACTTTACTGCAAAAAAAAATGCAGTTGTGCTAGTTGTGCTTGTTTTGAATGTTGTGTCATGTGTTGTAAATTGATTTCGTGTTGTGGATGTAATTAGTGTTGCAAGTGTAGCAAATGTTGTCCTCAGTATGAAGCTCTTCATTATTATTAAATTCCAGCCTATATTCTGTAAAATGAGAAAATCAGATTTGAAAATTATTCAACCCATGCAAAACTATACATTAAGGATATATTAGTACTTGAATTTCATTTTTCCCTTTATAATTGCTCTGATATTTGTTGTGGTAACTGCAAATCTAATGTTCCTCATATATATTTTAAAAATCCACTTAATGAAAAAAATGAAAAAATTTATATTGAGCCATTAGGCAATAAATGTCCAACAAATCCAAGACCTTGTTTCTATTTATGTGCTTTTTGTTCATTTTTTGGAATTTTATAATAGGAACGAAATTTTGCAGTTACTGTTGGAGAAAATGGGTCAGCCAAGATAATCGCTCGTAGATCATCAAAAAATGCCTTTCTTTCACAATGTGGTTGCTAAGATTGCCTTTGTCATTTCATAGATTATCCAGATTTTAACCTCAAATTCACAAATTTATCCTAAATACAAAAAATAGGTGTAATTATGGCAATAATTAGCTACACTATACATGGTAGATGGGCAAAGTATTCTTATAGAGGATTATTTAACATGAATACATCATATGTTGATTTTTGATTATTTAAACATTATAGTAGAAGACCAGAAAATGTAGAATAAAAATACATTATTTTTTATTTTTATTTAAATTCTAAATCATGTAGCAATCAGATTAGGCTAAAAATATTTTACAAAATGAAAGTTAAAATCAATAGAATAATGTGAATCCAGCTAGTTAATTATAGATTCAACCTCTGCCATTAACTCATGAAGAAGCTTTGGCTATATTACCTCCTCTTCCCGATAACATGAATATCGTACATACTTTATACAATTAATCACCTAATTGTAAATGTTGTGGAGGTAGATATTATGAAGAGTCAGTTATTGACATACCAGTTTTAGGTAAGTTATCTTGGAAAATGGATTTTACTATGCCTTCATATTGTTGTATTGGAAAGGGGAAACATCTTTTGTAAAGCCTTTTGAACGTTTTTCCATAAAGGAGTATATTGCTAAATAAAGTTAAAGATTAACCTCGTTGTTGTTGCTGCAACAATGATCATGTCTTTTAAAGCACTAAATATTTTTTGGAAAATGAACTCATTAATTTTGAATTGACAGATTATGGTAGATTGTATATTTAAGGAGTTTTAGTGCTAGAATTTTAATAATGCTATAAATCTATACATGATATATTATTTGCATCTGAAGATTCAACAATGCCTTAAATGATGGTTTATTAACCAAACCACAGATAAAATAATAAGATAAGGTTTAAGGCTGAAAAAAATAATTGCCCTGAGCACCCATATTCACTTTCTGGCTGGTGTTCAATTTGTGATTGTAGAAAATTAGAAAGAAAATTTGAAATTTCTGGTCTATCTTAAGGTGATTGCCAAATCATTAACACAAGAACAAAAAAACAAGCATGTTATAAAACTTGCGGATGTAAGGATGTGTGCTCTTGTGATTCTTGTAGATACGCAGATTATCCTAATTATTAAATCACTTTCAACAATGTCACAAAATTAGAAAAATTAGCTATAATCATGTGTTTGATTCACTTTATGATATACAATGAATGGGAATTTACAAATTATAAAGGTATATAGCTTAGCAGCCAAATAGAGAGAGCTCATAGATTAGCAGTTCAGTAATAAAAGGATAGTTGTTGTTCCATTTTTTGATTATTAAATTATCATAAAAATATTCAATTAATTTATTTTCATATTTGCAAAAATGTAACTAGTTAATTCAATTTTTAATATTGAAAACATAGAGTTTTTTTAAATAAATTATATAACAAAAGTAAATATTTTATTCATATAAGTAATGATTTATCCAAAAAATAAACCATAGTGATAGGCAATAGTATCTCGTAAAAACTATACACCAGAATGAAGTGAAGAAATAAAAAGATAAATAGCTGATAGATTATCTAAAAATATGGTTAAGATCTGGCAGAATAAATACATTGACAAGATAGCTATCTCAATAAAAATTAAAATTATTACTGCATCTGAAATTTAGAATAAGAAATAAATGGTTAAAAGGCATTACCTTAGCTATAATAGTAATAATCTTCAAATCAACTCAAGTAAAAAGATGAAGATGATTAAAATCACTTGTTTCTAACATTTCAGGAGCTTCATTAATACACACATAAAACTGAAAAAAATAGAGAGGAAAAGAAGAGTAAGAAAATGACTAGGTTACATACCAAGAAAATTAAAAATGACTTGGCATTTCTGAATGAAGAAAATTAATGAGGTGCCATCTATAAATAAAATATATGATAAGGAAACTGAAATTAAAAAATAAAGAGAAATTGAAAGAAAGAAAAAGATTAAAGAAGAATTGGATAAATAATTATTGAAAATAATCTAAAAAGATATTGAGCAAAAGAGAAGAAAATCCATTCTATGAAAATTATATATATCAATGTACTTTATTTGATTAAAAAAAAAAATTCAAAAAATAGTTTATTTACTATGAATTATTGGGCTTAATTAATAAAAATGATTGAGAAATAAGCTAGAGATTAAAAAGTTAAAGAAATTAAAAAAATAAAAGAAATAAAGAGAAGAATTAATTGGCGAATAATACTTTTACAATATTAGGTCGTGTAAAATTTGATGCCTGAAAGCCAACAAAAAAATACTTTAAGAGATGTAAAAAGAAGATGTAAGGAAAAATAATATTAGAGAAATGGATGCATATTGCAAATTTATCAATAAATAAGAAAAAAGTGGCAATAAGAAAGATATGAAAAAATCAAATGATATTCAAAAAATATTGTGGAAATGCAAGAAAAAGATTCGGAGAGTAAAAGAGATATCTATTTCATTAGAAAATATTGGATAACTATAAAAAAGGGCAAATAAATATGAATAAAGAAAAGAGAGAAAAATTCAAGATTTAGAAAGGAAGCCAAAAGAAAGAAGAGGAAAGTAAATTTAATGAGGTAAATAAAATTCAGTTGATTCAATTGATTTAAAGATAAGAGCTACTAATTATTTAGTTAAATTAATTAGTAAAAAGGGAAGAGACAGTGATAATAAGGAAACACTAAGTGGGATAACTAATAATCCATTTATTAGGCCTTTGAAATATGTTGTATGGTTTCCTTGATTCATTTCCTCTCTAAAAATAAGTGGAAATTTTATAGATTTATCAATATTGACATTTGAAAAGATGACTTAAAGAGGCTTGTAACAACAAAATTAATCAGAGATTATACCAAAAAATTTTAATTTATTATCCAGGCTTATCATCTTTCCCTCACTAAAGATGATTTAGTACTAAATCTGCTAAATAAGCTCGAAGATAATGATTTCAAGTCTAAAATTGAAACTATACTAAATGTGTTAAGGCAACACATCATTATCACAAACTCGTTAATTAATTTCCCACAGCCATAAAAACAATCAATTCGAATATTGAATCCAATTTTTTTAACCAAGAGCCAAATTTTTTAATACATAATGATTTTCATCTTCCAGAAATGGGTATATCATCTGGAAATTCGTGATAATAAAAAAATAAAAGTCATGTTTTTAAGTAATTTCTACCTTTTTTGAATTATTCAAATAAACTAAAAGATTGAATAAAGAATTTACAAAAAAATTAATTAGAAGGTGATCAGAATATTAATTGTTAAATTTATGAAGAGGCTCTATTAGAAATTGATTATTAAAAATAAAAGATCACAAAGAGTTGAAAAGGCAGATAATAAGGAAAAAATGAGGATATAGAAGAAAACAAAAAAAGAAATAAAATGGTTGGGAATGTATGACCTGCCATGAAATATTCAAGAATGAGCAAGAAGGTAAATTCACACTACTAAAAAACATAATAAAGATACAAATTAATTTTGAAGGATAAAGTAGTGAACAGAGCTTTCATGCAAACACATGAAACAACAGCAAGAGTATTAAAGATAGAATATGCTGGGAAACTATATAATAAGATACTCCAAAGAATAAATTAATTATACTTTCTTGGAATGTCTCTTCAATTAAACCAGAACCTCTTAGTGAAGCTAATCAAAAAGGAAAACTTATGTTTTCAGGAAACAAGAAAAGAAATAACTAACTTTCCTTCATATAAATATTATAATAAATTAAAAGGTCATAATCCAAATAGGGGAGGAGGAATAAAAGTTGGGATTCTTAAGCAATTCTTTCCAAGAATATATCGAATTTACTGTCTAAGGTCTATGAGTTATTCGAAAGTTTAATAATCCACATAACAGGTAAACGATTAATATTATCTATACTAAATATTAACTCACCTTTAGAATAGCATTATAACAAATCAAAAAAATCGCTAAGAAAACTTTATTCAACTATTCATACAATCAAAGTGGAAAATATTATTTATATTCCGTAGAGATATCAATTATTCAACAAATTAAATACCCTTTATGAAGGATGTTATACTACCTAATAGTACATATTAACAGAATTATAGATAAAAAAGAAATTACGAGTTAAAATAGACTTTAAATGGGTAAATTAATATTTGTAAGTCTATTATAATTTTTATTAAAGGTCTAAATTTGTCTTTTTGTGGTATGATTGGGTATGCTTTATTTAATGGAATCAGGCGATTTTTACCAAAGTTCAGAGCTAAATCTGTAGTATTTTATGACCATCAATCGGAGAGCATTTATTATATGATACTTAATGAAATTCTATATTTCATAAATTAAAATTTCTCAAAAGATATTGGATTCAATTTAGGTATTAGATTGTGGAGTCTTTTTACTTATAATCCTAAAGAATTTATTTATTACTAATGATAAGTGATTCACTATCTATGAAACAGTTCATGGTTTATAATTAAGATTCTATTTATCGATTTAAAGGAGTTTTCAGGAGTTTTCAGAATTATTACTTTTGATTTATTATTAAGCATTTTATAAAATAATATTTATTGATTGGTTATAGCTCTGACTAATTTTTTTTTAAGTTGTGCTGTTCTAAAAGTGGAGTTTTAATTAATTTTCTATTGTATTTCTAAGGATAACTTTTAAAATGATTGATATTCTTTTTTATTATAGAATTAAAAAGATATATATTGTTTTTCATTGTTTTTTCCAACTAAAATAAGGTGATCTGAATAGCATGTCTCACATAAATACAGAATAGTTTGGCGTTATTATAAGTGTTGGTACTCAACTATAAATACTTTAACTCATATATGACTTACAAAAGTCTAGTAAAAACGATTAAGAGTAGTTATGGTTATTGATTTTCGATAGGCTTACAACTGTGCAGAAATGTAAAAATTATTAACTTTTATTTATCATGCATGCATTGAAGAAATTTTTCTTCAAAACTCAATAAGTTGGTATTATACTTATTATGATAAACAGAAAATATGTCTACTTAGTCTGTTTCGCTCTTGATAGAAATAAATTAGCTTTTTGTAGTACTGATAACTCAATCCGTCTATGGGATGTAAAGACAGGATAAGAAATTAAATCTTCTGATAAAAATTACAAAGATATTCTTGAATAATTTAAGATTCCATTTCAATCACATCGCCATTTTTCCAAAGGTAGTATTTATTCCCTATCATATTTTTAGCTTCCAATTACATCACTACACTCCTCATATCATAATCCGCAATATTCTAAGCATAAGGAACACTTATTTTGAAAGGAGAATTTATAAACCATTAAGGAAAAGATTTAAAACCTTTATTCAAATCTAAAGAAAGTTGCTTTTTACAAGACTTAGAGCGAAAATGAATTTGATAGCTTTTCAAACAACAATTATAATTACAATTGATATCAAATATTAATTTTAAATTCTGTCTTTATGAGTTTCACTCTTAATCTTCAGTTCGAAAGCTAGGTAAGGTCTTATTTTACAAAGTTTTGTTCCATTTTTGTTATATATAGAGATTATTTATTGAAATATCATAAATGCTATTATCAATTAAAATTGATAGAGATTTAAATTTAAATGATACTACATTAAATTAATAATCTAAATAGAGAACAGTAATTTAAGAGTTTAAAATAAAGATCGATTTAATTACTTTAAACATTCTTTTATAAAACATTCTAGGATTCAAAAATAAAATTAATCTTTTAAATAATCTAACCTATCACAAAGTTAAAAAATTGAGATTGAATAATTTTTCAAATTACTCTACTCTATTATTGCTAATTCCTTCAGAACCGATTCAATTGATATGAAAAGTATTAAAAAGTAAAAACACCTTTTAAGATATATTAAATATCAAGAAGTATTGAATCCCGTAAAAGGATTAAGATTTAAAGAGATACTTATTATATCTTCCCTAACAATCAACTAACAATCTTAATTATTGATAAGTTAAAGAACTAAGTGATACATCAAATAATAAACATTTAGAAATCACTGAGATTATGTATAATCAATGTTAACTTCAAGAGGATTTTCACGAAATTAATTAATATCTAAACGAAAAATAAATCCCTTAAGACTTTAAAACTCATAAACTGGTTAAATTTTACAATTAAATTAATAAATTATCCATAATTTATAATAAATAAAAAGCAAATCTAATGTAAAAATTGAAGGAATAGATGAACAAAAGTAAACCAAAACTATCCACAATATTAAATCTTTAAAAAAAACGAAATTTTTATTCTCTATAAAAATGAGATTAATCCCCTATAATAAAATTGGATGATAGATTTTTAGAAGTAACTAAAAATATATTCAAAGTACAAAATTAATGATAGAATTCATTATCCTCACGTAATTTTATGTAAATATTTTCTTTTATTTCAAAATAAGTATTCACAAATATACAATTTTGTGAAAATTATAAATTTAAGAATTAAGGTTTATTGAAATTTTATAAAATACAGGATTTAACGTTAATTTGATAAAATCTTTTCACATGTTTATTTTCCAGGAGCAGTTTACATTTCAAGTTTGATAATTCAGATTGTAAGCAGATTAGAGTAATTTTGATGTAGTTCTGTGAATTGACTTAAAATCAAATTTAATTCAGTTTCTTAATGCTGCCTAAAATTTTAATTTTTGAGTATTATCTCATAATGGAGTACCCAAATGAATGAAAATCATCATATATTTAAGGTGGATGTTCTTTATAATTGAATAACGCTTCATTGTTCAGACATTGTTAACACTCCTTCAACTTCTGGAATTTTTGTGGATATACCATACTTTATTAAATTTTTCGAAAGAAGGTAGATATATGAAATATAGACAAGATGTAAAGATGGATTTCAAATTCATACCTTTTATTGGGTAGGAGGATCATTTAAACCCAGTTGTTAAGCCTGAAAATTGACAAGCCTAAACCTTAAAGCCTAGAATGATAAAATCAAAAAGCATCAACTTCATCAATGATATTAATGTGTAAATTCAAATCAATATTAACTCAAATTTTGAGAATGGGCTAAGCTAGCATAATATTCAAAATAATAACTCAAAACAACGCTTCAAAAATAGAGTATGATCTTCTTAGCTGAGTATAAGATATTGACTTTAGCATTATTTGAGGTTAGAAAGATAAATTAAGGAAATTTATGGAACAAGTTGATTTATTAATTGCATTTTATAATACGAAATTTTTATCGTTACTTAATAATGATTAATTTTTCATTAATATAAGTTTATATATATTTTTATACCGGTATGGATTTATTATTTAAATTTTATAACAAAAAATGTTAGCCTTATTCATTACGAAAATGTCTTCATTACGGGGAGGTGGTTGCGGATCTTTTTAGAATGAATCCAAGAACATATGCAAACTTACAGTCAGATATTTAAGATATAGACAATTTCATTATCAAATTTAGTTCTTTTGTTGAAATAATTTGTGCTAAAGCTGATGTTGCTATCAATTCAATAGAATCTTAAGAAATAATGTTAGCCATATAATGGTTTATTTTTTAAGAGGAACAAACTCAATAAGAATCCCTAAAATATCATGAAATCATATAACCTGATTGTATAGGGAATCCGAAAATTATTGAAAAGTTGTTAGATCTATATTAGAACAGATTAGTTTAAATTTTTGTATATCTAATAGACTATAGCATCTCTATCCAAAGTTATATTTAGTTTCCATGTAATGAATAGCGATAGAATTTTGAATTTTGATTATTAAAAGTAATTTTTAGATAAAATAATCAATAAAAATAGAGAAGATTTGATTTAAATTTAAATGGAAGTTTATCTTTTCTTAACAAAAACTTCTTTCGAGATAGCTCCAAATAATAATCACGAAAGGGAAGATATTGTAAAAGGATTTATAAGTGGTATATTTGGATCGTTAATACAATTTAAACCTAATTTCTGAATTACTTGAATCCTTATTTAAGGCAGCTTGTCAAATTCACAACATCCATACAATTAAAAAAAATAGAAAATAATATGAAGTGTATTTTTAAATAGAAATGTTATAATGGGAATTTATCAGTTTTTTTAGAAATGAAAAATAATTAATCCTAAAAGAAATACTTTTACAAATTTAGGGAATATATGAAAATCTTGTGAAAAATTCAAACAATAGGACAAATCATTTTTTGTGGATTTAAATGATTGGGAAAATCTTAATATTTAATCCTTTTTTAAAAAACAAAGATTAAATCAGTAAATGAACTCTAACGATTTTGGAATTAATCCAACTTAAATGTGGAAGGAATATCACAAAAAAGGATTAATTATTAAAATGAACCATACAAATGAATAATCTATCATTTTACTTAGTTAACTTTAAAATAATAAACTGATGTAACTTGATAGATAATTGTTAGAAGATAGGTTCAAAGGATGGGAAGACTTTCTTATACTTAAACAACATTTAATTGGTGAATTAAATGAAAATACACCATATACTATTAGTTCCTATTTAAAATATAAATTAGATTTGTTTAGAAAAGATTCCTAAAAAAATGAAAAAATTTTGGCAATTAAGAAAATGAAAATGCTTTGAAGTTTCATTATTCCAACTAAATTAATTAATTTAATATAATAAAATAATAAAAAATTGGGGGAGGTAATTAAAGTTTAGAAATAATTTAGGAAAAATTAGTAAGTTAATACTCTAATATTACAAAGTACTGTTCATTCTTAATTAAAAAAGATCATTTGCAACTTTTATGAATATTTGCAAAACACACAAAAAATTCTAAAAAAATTTAAGCTTAATTAGAATAACAATTACTGTCAGACAGAATAATTCAAATAGGCAGACAAATTTGAATTTAATATTTTTTTAAACTTAAATATTTGATGAAACTATTAGAAGAAATATTATTATAAGCAATTTAAGAAGGTAAAAATAAAATAAATCAATTTTGCAAGCAAGATGGCTTAAATGTTGAAATAGTAATACTTTAGTAATAGAAAGAATTGATTTAGGAGAAATTAAAAAATCTAAATCTGAAAGATAACCAGTTTTCTTTTGTCAATGAGTTATAGTAGTATCTTCTTCACTTGCTAATCGCAACTCTTGACTAAAAGAGCTTTTTGAAAAAAGCTTAAAGCATGTTAAGACTTATTGAAGATTTAAAAAAATAAATCTTAATGCTAGAAGTTATTTCACTAAAAAAAATATAAATTTATAGAATGTTTTTATAGTTTATTGAATTATCTATATTTTGAGTAAGATTACAAGGTTGAAGAAATTCAAAAAGATTTTAATGAATCCATTTTAAGTTTTAAAACGAATTTGAAGAAATTTAATAATAAAATTCTATTATGCTATCATTTTAATTTGTATACAAGCTAACTTCTTTGAAGGAGTCCTCTTAAAATATATTATTGGAAGAAATTTAATAGTTGTAAAAAGTTATCGATTTGGATGTGTTTCTTGTTAATGTAATTAACAATTATCCAAAAAAAATATTTTGCTGTTGTGACAATTTTTACAAATAAATTATTGATGAATTAAATATCATGTAAATTACTGAACAAGACTTTTAAAATAAATTATCAAAATAAAGAGGAATAGTAGAATACCTAATATTGGTATTAAATTTAGAATAATAACTGATTGATTTAGAAAAAATAGATTTAGAATTAATTGATAAGGAATTTGGAAAATTATTTAAGGAAGAATCTTGTTCTTCCTCTCTAACAGATAGAATTATGGCAAAAATAGAAAATGCTTCAATTGAAAATTCAATAAAAATTGTGACTAATGAGCAATTTAATAAATTATAATTGAATTTTGAGATTGAAAAATATAAGAATATGTGGAAATAATTAAAAATTGTTGAGAAAAATTACAATTGTAATAATTTATAAAATGTCAAATAATTAATCAATCATATTAGGATGGAATTAGGAAATTGTTAGAGGAGGTAAAAATTAAAAAAATAGAACTTCAATAATTTAGAATGACCAACAACATCGATAAAATGAAAATGATGAAATTTTTATTGATAACAATCTTACTCAGATTTAAGGCAATCAAGAACATGTAAAAGATTTATAAACCATCATCATTATTCT